CATAATAAATAATAAAATATATCTAATAAAAATATTGAGTAAAAATTTTGTATTACAGTTCTTTTCTTTTGTAGAAGTAGTGATAAATGCTGTCACACACTACGTATTTAATTGTATAATAATAATAATATATCAATTCTTTTTTGATATGATAAATAAAATTCTTTATTACGCTGCTGTAATGATTTTCCTGTGAAAAGAGGCACGAGAAAATTGTATGTCGTTGCTACAAAAAATTTAGCATTGCAAAAATCGCGTTTTGCAATGCTAAATTTTTTTGCACGAAGATACTCGAGTGTCATTTACAATCGAAAAATTCGAGTAAAGTCAGCGAGGGATACAGGGGGGAGGAAAGGGAGAAGAGGATAGATCGAGCAGGCTGATCGTATAATTTTGCACATTGTAAAGCTCAGCCCGTGACGGGGTGGGCTTGATAGAGAAAAGGGGAGTAGAATTACCTTTCGCAGTTGAATAGAGCGCACCTACGTAGGCACGTAGGACGAGTTGTATAGCGGAACGTAAGTGTGCCTTGGATCAGGATCGGATGGTAGAATTAACTTTTTATAATATAACATCGTGTGTGAAAATAGAATATTCCTCACAATTTATTTTAAAGCTCATTCTCGCAAACTTTTTTTCGCTCAATTAAAAAATTTTTATTTTTATTGATTTATTAAATTATTAAAAATTTTTATTTTTATTGTTTTATTAAAGTATTAAAAATTTTTATTTTTATTGTTTTATCAAAATATCTCTAAGAAAGAATATTTTATTCACTACATTTTTAAAATCGAAAAATCGTATTAATACCAAATTTAAACGTATATTGAGTTTCTTTGCAATTTTTTAAGCAATTTTGATCGCGTGAAGATGATTAAACCTGCGGAAGAAAGTTCTTTGAAAACACTGTTGTACGAATTTATGACTTGAAAATGCGTCCCTGCAACGGAGCATGGTGCGTAACAGAAGTGCGTAGGCATTGGTCGTGCACACGTGCAGGGGCACGCGTCGTGACAAAGGGCCCGCACTGATCCACCCCCTTTCTCTGCCTCATTTTACTCCCCGCCGCCGCCATCCCTCCTCTTCATCCGCCATCCCTCTTGCCTCGTATTCTCTGTGTGCGACCGACGTGACTGCTAGGTCGCTTAACGCGGTCTAGGTTGGAAGCATTCGCCGTGTTATTAGCGTTGTTTAAGCACGTGGGCCCCCGCAGCTCTGCGAATTTTACGCATACGCACGTTAAAGTCGCGCTGACTCGGTCGGGGAGGAATCGGGGGGACTTAACGCTTTACCCCATCGCACCGGAAGAGCGAGTCATGTTCGTACCAGGCAATGGCAATCACGTGTACCGAATAAACCTACGACGAATGAACCTTACCGCTTTACGATCAATATTCGAATGTAAGCAATAACATATATACCTTATAGGAAATAAAATTTTCTAGTGATTTGACAAGAAAGAAGTATATTTCTATGCGTATATTTCTATGCGTATAAAAGAAATAAAATGGAATTTAAAGAACATAAATTTAAGAAGAATACACAATCGCGTGCGAAAGAAGAAAGGAGAAGTTGATAATATGCGATCGGACATAAATATTGCTATTATCCCAATAACGTGCAGCCATCGATAACTTTGATTTACCCCCTTAATAATCGCAGGAAATTAGCGAGACTTATTGCAAAAAGGGAGGAAAGAGGGGCACCGCATAATTCAAATAGCTAAGCTGCAATGACGCGCGCGCGCAAGAGAAAACGAGGAGGCCGCCGAATTTATAACGGAATATATGAAGCACCGACCCTCGTCGCGAGAAAGAGGCCTTAATCTCCTGGCGGCACCGAGGGGGCGAACGGGCGCGCACGCCTCGGAGTCCCACGAGAAGTGCTGGGGATTATGCGCGAGAACCGGGAACCGCCGAGGGGACTCTACCGAGTCCCTCCATCCTCTCTCCCTCCACCCCTCTTCCATTGTTGGGGATCGTTCCCGACGCATAATGCCCCCGGATGAGCTTGTAAACTTATCAGTCGGACGGTCGCGAGCCGACATTCGATGCTCGATAATATCGAAACACCGTGATATACAGCCTTGCGGGAAATGGCTCGCTCAGGGGGAGGTAAAGGACGGGGGAGGATGATATCCCGATCGGGCGCTCCCGCGTGGATACGTAAATCAGGATCAGAGATCACTTTGTGCTCTCTCTGTGGCCCACGTCCTTCCATTTTTCTTGTTCTTTTTTTGCGCGCGGATCGCGCAAGGAACTCTGGCCTTTGAAAAGATTTGATTCCGATTTGCGCGCGACCACCGGATCAACATATCCGGAGACTTTACGGATCCCGGGAGCTCCTGCTCCAGAGAAACCGCGCGCGCGATTTCGGCTCCACCCTTTTATTCGCTCTTAAGCGACAAACGCTCGATACATACGTTATCCTCGCAATGATAATCGTGAAATTATGCACGTTTAACGCGCGATAAGACACGACGCTTAAGTGACCCAGCCATGCAATGTCCCGACACACGGGCGTAAGCCGCTTTATATATTCCTCGCGTCATCTTTTCGCGCATATGTACACATATTTGTGTATCATATAAAATCTGATTATATATATGCACCGACTTTACGCGAGAAAAGCCAACTTGCGCATCAAATTCTTCTTTTTTTACATTTGTTCCTTTTATTCAATCTGACAGGAAAACGTTTCATCATATCGCTAACGAACATCACATGCGAGGGAACTGAGCCTTTTCCCGGTTCCAATGAAAATAATGAGGAAGTGGAAAGGACGCAGTTTCATCCGAGAAAGATTTTATAAATCATCGTCTTAACCGCTGTTAAGGACTAAGCAGTGTCACGTGCAAGCCATTCGCACACGAATTGCGTTAATCCCCTATGGGAAGAACGGATCTTCCTTGCATGTGGGAAAAGCACAGTGTCGTATCGCGTTATTCCCATAACAGATTTTTCCCAGCTGTCAAAAAAGTTTGGATCCTTCCATGGAATCGCGCTAACTAATTTAAAATATATCGCTCATCGCGTATTCATGAAATATTAACTGTCAGATTTATACGAGACAATATTTTCTCAAACTGTAGACGCTTCTATCATAAATATTCTTTAATATTCTTTAATAAATAATCAGTCGCTTGAGATCTAAAAATATAATTCTGCGCGAATGGATTGTGTAGTATAGTCCCAGTTCATATATTATAAATTCGGGTCACAACGTTTTAGTCGTATGGTCGGTTTAGGCTCTCAAGTTTAGGTGCACAAATGCAGACTAGATCTAGGTCGATCCCTTCGGCATAATCAGTACAGCCCCAGGCATAAAGAGATTTTTTTTTATCTCGCGGTTGCTTCTTAAATTCTAATTTACGTATGCGCATAAAAACCGCAGTTAAATACCAATCTAATTCAATATTCAACCCAGTTATTTTGTGTGATGAGAATATGCGTAATGAGAATAGAGAAAATTTTATTTTTTAATATTTAAAGGTGAATCTTGGTGCACTTTTTTAAAAAATAATTTTATCTTATCCTCTCTTTATTTCTCGGATTAAATTTTTCTGAAAATTATCGCTAACGAGAGCAAGAACCTTAAAGCGACAGATCTTATAAATATGGGAAGCTTATGTAACGGAATTTTGACTAGTAGGCGATTTACAGAACCGGTTTTTTTTTATTTTCTCGAATAAAAATCATATTTCGCATTCGGTATGTCTCTCTCACGAGCGTGTACCGCCCTGAAACACGAAACTTCCGCGGCACGACGAGCGTATGTGGCTCTTCCTGTCTTTTGCCGCAAGTAGAAAATATGCCAGGTGGAATTAAAGTTTTCTCTTTTCAAATGATTACTAAATATAGTTTTTTAATATTGCAAACTAAGAATATATAAAATCATTGTAAATGCTATAAGCTTCAAAATCTTATTATCGTGCACATTATTATATATTAAGAAATAAAATATTTTATATAAATATATAATTTTATTTTATATAATTTCACATAAAATATTTTATATATTTCATACACATAATAGCACATATATATACGCATTTTTCCATGATGAATTCTTTCGCGTATAACGTATAGCGAATATTAAAGCCGGTTCGGATAGGGCAAAAATGCAAATTGCGAAATGCATTTAGTTGGCACGAATATCTAGCACGAGGATCTGCGTTATCTTCGATCACCGGATAATCTCACATACAATATCTCTGCATAAATAATTTTTTTATTAAACGACGGAGAGGAGATTCACGCACCGTAAAAGTATTATCCAGTTTAATACTCGTCGATTATAAAGAGAGTAATAAAATACAATACTTTGTACACAAGTAGAACATGCAGGATATGAACGGGCCTTTCGCTAAGTAGATCGAGAATATAAACACGACTGTATTTAGTAATATTATTTCGCTGTCCGAGCACGCGTATCGACGCCAATAAGGGCCAAAGTACATAATAACATAGCCCTCTTTAATCGCGTATCGACCGCCGTTCAATTACGCATTAGATTACCGGGATCACTTTGTCTTTCGTACAGTCTTCCGCGGCGGTCGACGCCACCGGTACGAGAAGCGGTAATTGCGTGCAAGGTACGCACGCACGCATGCACCAATATGCGCCACGCATTTATTGCTGGGTAGTAGACCCACACACGTAGCCGTACAACCGGCACACGCTCTCTCTCCCCCGGCATATGGCGCGTACGGTCCCCCTTTTTCAGTTCCGGGGGAGAAGAAACGAGGGGCTGCGGCGCGTGCTGAAAATCCCCACCATCTTTTATTCTTTCTCTCTTTCGCTCTTACTTTCTTTCTCTTTCTCTTCTATTCTGTTCTCTTCCCTTCTCTTCTCTTTCGTGGATTCTATGGCCCATCGTTTCGCTCCCTCTCGTGTACAGGCGCCCTTCTCCCTTCTTGCTCCAACCCCGCGATCCAACTCGGCGCGGTGTGGCAAGATGCTAACCCATCTATCGATGTCCGCGCTCATTCTCGACGCGGACGCCATGTAGTGCATATGACGGAAGTATGATTATCGAACAGAGGTGCTGATGATACGTGATTGTGAGAAACTTCCTTTCGGAGACTCGGCAAGTTTCTCTGAACCCTTTGTATTGTCAGCGACGCTCTCGAATGTATTTTCGTTTTGTAAATCAACGCGGGATTGTCCAGTGGTCCTGTTTGTGCAAATTACGCGAGTCGTGTGGATTGTTGTTGGTTGCGAATGAAGGAAAGTGAAGAGTGAAAATCTACAGTCGAACTCTGAGTGCGTCGCAAAATTTTCATGGGATATATTTTTCCTTGGCGAATATTGAATATCTGGAACGTTTTTTCTTCTAGAGAAGTATAATAAACGTTAATTGTGCCTTTTGTGTATATCATTGACGATTTAATATATACGATATATTGATTATGATAATTTTGCAACAATATTAAAATCGTGTCAATTACGATTATGATTCGTCTAAGAAGGGCATCGAATCGATATTAATCACTAATTGACTCAATCCATCATGTGTTCAACATAAATTTGGAATAAATAGCGCAGTGAATGTTGTCAGTGAAATCAAATTTGCAATCGAAATCTCGATTAAATATTTATAATATCCTTAAAAAATTTAATCAAGTATGCAACATGTAGTACATGGATCAACGTTTTAATGAAGAACAAAAGTGCATCAACAATAAAATATCGATGAAAAATGCAACTATAAATGTGAATGATAAATCCAAATGAATTATTGAAACCTAAATGTGCCTTTAATCTAATGAGAGGTTTCTCTCGCTTTATAAAAATGTTATTATTTTATATGTAAAAGACATAACGTGTATGTGTTGTTGGAGAATTTTATCTTCGTCTTAAATGTAAACATTGTACCATTTTCATCGGAAGTTACATCCTAATCTTTGGTGAGCATTGAATTATAGAAATATACTAGTTGTTTTGAAAATATAAAGGATAAAACATTCTCTTTTAATTGTAATTATATATTATTTACAAAAGTAACGTGCATTGTACAAAATTCCAGTTAGAAATAAATTAGATTTTTGTGATTAAGAGCCATGGCAATTTTATAATTAAATACAGCGAAAGTCTCTACCATTCTAAATCAAGTCTAAACAATTATTATTATACTTCAATTCAGCACAAATCAATCGAGAGCGAACGGACACGAATTCTTGATAATCTGCATGAAAAGATAGATTTGTTTTGAAAGATTTGTATAATAGTTTCCGAGGAGTCGACGACCGTCGCGGAGAAGAATAGATGGTGACCTCATGCTTTACTTAAGCCATGGCAACCGACAGTGAGACAATTAGATCTCGGTTCGAATCATCAGTTTCGTAGGAAAGAAAGAAGCTATATAGATCTGTTAGAGAGCATTTGCAAAAACTTGTAGCAAAATATATTTATGCATTTCTAATAATTTGTCTAATAAATAGCTAATTGTCAGTTTTAAGAAGAAAAATAAAAGTCTCTATGTAAAGTAAACCGTATATTACTAGATATTATTTATTCTAAACGAATATCAGAAGACATTATTAAACATATGTTGACAGCATTAATCGCGTTAAGTCTTACAAGGTTTATAAATCCTTTTCGCGAGCGACAAGTTTGACCTAGATTCGAATTGATATCCAATCGAGCCGTCTTTCAACGGTTTGCGTATTCGATAATCGTCTTTGTCTCCGACAAGAGAATACGCTTTATTTATAAGTCCGACAATTAGGCTCGTCCTCGACAAGCATTAGTGTCGTTTATCGACCGGTCAACTCCGCTGTCTTAACGCAACTCATTTAATCAATGCTACAGTGAAAACGGCACAATAATAATAGCATAAAATATGATATTTTTTGCTAAATCTATTTATCGAAATTTTTTTAATTAGAAGACTAATATATGATAATGTATGATAATGTAATATATGATAAATTATATTGATTATATTCGTGCTTTTATTATAATAATTATTTGACCCTGTTTTATTTATTTATGATTCAAAAAATTTAATTATAAAAGTTTTCAATAGTTTACGCGTTAATTATTTGAAATATTGAGAACTTTACGAAAAAATAATTATAAATAATTAAAAATAATTATAAATAATTAAAAAATAATTATCTTTTTCAGTTTGGGACAAAATTGCGCGGCGTCTGGATGGTAATTTACACGTTTGAAGGGTGACCCTGTAAATTGGAAAATAAACAAACTTTGTCATTAGAAAGTATTCGCTGAAACGACCATAATGGCGACCATGGGGGTAACAGTGTTCTGCAATAGAGTACAAATAAACGGCAATGATCAGGAGCTAATGTTGCTGCGAACATTGCAAGATAACGAGAACAATATTATCGGTAATCAATCAACGCTGATAGTCCCGAAAAACAGCAGCAGCGGTAACGCAACGAGTTCCGCGACCGTGTTACCCCCTTACGACCCTTCCAGATTGAAGAAGCACGGCAAAAATGGCCAACCGCCGCCTGTTGCCGTTGCTCGAAGAAACGCCAGAGAGAGAAATCGCGTGAAACAAGTAAACAACGGATTTGCCACATTGAGACAACACATTCCGAGTCACATTGCCGCAGGTTACGGAGACAGGGGTAAGAAGTTATCCAAGGTGGAGACTCTCAGGATGGCCGTCGAATACATCAGAGGTCTTCAGAGGCTTTTGGCTGAAGCTGACGGCGTCGAGTACGATTCCAAAATCTCTGCCGGTGCACAGTGTGCTCCTTCCCCAACTAGTAGCATCATTTCTTCGAGTCACAATGGCTCTGGCGAGAGACTCATTCTCGAGGACGATGTTTTAGCCGCGGAAGACGACGAAGCGGAACACCTGGAAGAAGAAGAGGATGGAAGTAATGTCAAATCGAAAATTACGTTGTCCAGGTAAATTCTGGATGTTGAAACGTAACAATAATTGAAAAGAGACACGGTAGATGGTATCGTTTACATTTATGAGAAAAAATACTATACACAATTACATTAATTAACAATAATTTCATTTCTTTCGAAACAGAATTTTACGATCTCTTCCCAATTATCGTTTTATTAATCGTTTTATTGATACACTTGAGTGCAAAAATGAAGAGCAATTTTTCATATCAATTTTATTATATCATATTATGATTTTGCATTTTCTTCTGCGACAGATTATCCCCTAATCGAACTGCCATCTCATCCCCGCGTGACTATTACGCATCCTCGGCAGGCGACGAGGAAAATTTGGAGCCGCGAACTGTAACCGGTGGACAAAATTTCTCCAGGCTGTCGCCGAATTCTGTGGCTTCGCCGCCATCGGAATATTACACTCAAAACGAGGAGAATCTCGAGCCGCAAATTCTTTCACCGTACAGCGGCGCCGGGGACAGCGAGGAGGGTGCGACGACTGTATACGCGACCAGTCCGGAGACCTTCTCCGGGGCCCTTTACTACAAGCAGGAGATCACCGAGACGGGGGAATTCATGGACGTCGTCAGCTGGTGGGAACAGGAACAGGGTAGACTCGTTCATCAACAGCACACGCAACGGCTGACGCACGTGTAACCATAGGTGAGTTCCCCTTTACTTTTGAGTCGGAAGATGTTAAGTTTGTCGACTTAAGGATAAATTACGTACAAATTTAAGTAATTTAACAAATACTTCAATAATACACTTATGGTTTTTTTATTTCATTAAATAATATTAATTAACAGGATATGTTATATATTCGTAAAGTGTTAATTGCTTCATCTTTGTCATCACGTATTAATAAATAGAGGAATTATTATTCGAATAGAGATCGTTCGATTTGAACGCGAAGGTTATTTCAGGCACAAGTTCTTTTGCAAGAAAAAAGGGGTAAGGGTGGAAGTGTATCTTCGTGCGGGTGTCACGAGTTTCTGATGCGTCCAGGATGCACACGTGATACCCGCGTCGCGGAAGCGTCGCCAAGTGGAAACTCGTGTTCGCCCGAACACGTGCTATGTCGGTGTCGGGCCCGAAAATAAACTTTACGCACCGAAACCACTTTGCAAAGTACGTGCCGACGTGACACTCGGATGTCACGGTCTCTTCTGCGTTTTCTGTCAAATCGGGAACCCTCTCGTTCAAAGAGACTTTATCAGGAGAAGACATCTTTCTGATAAGAAACTCGCGCGCGCATTAGTGTATCAGAATTTAATGATACTTTTATATGAAAAAGTTTACTTTCTTTTCCTCTATAATTTATACACAATTATATTTTTATTTGTCACTTTTATTATAATATTAATAAATAAAAGAGAATTTTTATAATGTTATCTTTTTTAAATAATAATTTATGTTTGATTCGTAATTTTAAATTTTGCTTTAGTTAAAATTCAAGCTTGACAGATTTTGACTTTTGTAATCGCGTAACTGCAATTTTGTTTTTTCAATTTATGTATTAAAGATCGGAGAAACCTAGAGTCTATAACATGCAATTTGAGTGACACATGGCCGGTGGTGGATCATGGTGTGTCATCTTAAAAGCGTGCAACCACGAACGGAAGTGGCGGAACGTCTAGCCATATGTTGGATATTCTCCTTAAAATATCTCGCAACCAGACCTTCCTCAATCTTCTTGGTTTCCAATTGCTGGTCATCAATTCCCATGGATATCTAGCACATGTTCGTTTCACGATCGAATGAACTGGATACTTCTTTTAAATCCGCTTAGAAGATTTTATACTTTATACTTTTTAAATATAAAATTGATATGTTCCTACAAACATGAAAAATATCTTATTCATTTTTTTTATATTTCCGCAAAAGAGAGTCTAGAATTATAACGACAAATTATGATTACATGATTAAATATTTAGTTAAATATTAAAGAAAGATTGTAATTTGTATACATTGCATATTTTATTTGTTATATTACAAATACATAGCTAAAGTGAAAAAAAAAATTATTTATAGAAAGGATTATTTTTTTAATATTAATTTTATTTACAAAATTTTTTAAATATTTCTGATACTTTTGCGTACAAGAAATTTTAAATCGATATGTTTCTTAGAATAAAAAAAGTACATAAGTCGTCATGACATTATGATTACATAAAATATTTAATTAAATATTAAAGAAAGACCGGAATTTGCATACATTGTACATTTTATTTATTATATTACGCTTACAAATATATAAATTGAAAAAAATAAATATATTTATTTAGAGAAAGAATTCTTTTTTTTAATATTAATTTTATTTACAAAATTTTTAAAATATTTCTGATAGATCAAGATTTCTGCATAGAAAAAATTTTAAATCGATATGTTTCTTAGAATCGAAAAAGTACATATAAGTCGTCGTATAACCGTAGCGATGACCGATGCATTCGATCTTGGGGTGCGCGATTGCGACGGGAAAAAAATCAGCTGGCGGGCAGTGCCAGTCGCTGTGCCACAAATAGAAGTCGCGGTTTCCTTAGAAACGTGCGTAGCGCCCACGTGTGCCGTACACGCAACACGCAGGCCGGCGAATAGTGTTGGATGCACATACGTTAAGCGACCAGAAGCTGCATTGCCGCCGCGTTGCTGACATATGCGTGGCATGACGATTTAAAAAAGTCGAGTCACAGCCGTAAAACGTTCGGCGTGAAATTTTTGCTCTCAAACTTATTATATTTCTCGTCATCTTTATTCCCAGAATTTCACTCTCTGAGAATGAGAGTGAATATGTAAAAAAGCGAAATACGTTATATTTCGATATTTTTCGATTTGAGAAAGATAATTTTAATTTTAAAACTCATTACCTTTTAATTATTCCTTCAAACTGTTTCCCAAATTTGATGGTACATTTTCTACCCTCGAATGGATCCCCCTTTCAATAAACGCATCTCTCTTTTTGCATTTTCGGTAGAATGTTATAAAAATATATCAGTATACATAACGTAGGGAGCAAAGAGCTTCCGCGCGAGGGCCTGGAATGAGCGTCCAGCAAGTAATTCTCGACAATTATAAAGTGAGGTCATCTACGAAGTTTACAAGATGCGTCGTCGCGTCAAATTAATTTAATAAATTCCTTACTTGTGGCTCCCGGTCACATATATTGGTATGCGCGACCGCTCTGTCGGTTTTCTTCCTCTCGCTTTTAGTTCGCTTCTCGCGCAAAGGGGCACAAAACCTTAACCCCGCGTTAATTCCTGAGGAGAGAACTCGTTTCCCCAGGCCCTTTTCTCATCCGAACCGCGGGCAGTCCAATTAAATCCCTTTTTTGCATAACATGTTATATCGATAACAGAAATCGTGCTATGCGAATTAAGCGCGAATTAATCTACGATAATCAAAATAATTAATCAAGTGGCATAACGCCGGATACGGGAGTTCCTCGGTAGGAATGGTCGGCAGGGGTGGTCGGAAAGCACTGTGAGTTAAAAGTTGGAGTTAAATAATGACCGCGTCTCGCTTTAATAATTGAAACGTATTATAGAGATTAAATGTGGTATGAGATACGGCCGTATTGCAGCCACTTAATAGCGTGAATTTTTCTTGAAACCCTTTCGACGACAGGAGTTCATAAATTCGCTTTATTAAAAAAGGAAAGTAGAAGAAGAGGAGTAGCACTTTTTCTGCTGTTAGCAAATTCTTCGCAAAGCAAGAAATCTTGGAAATTCATCTTGGAATTTGATCTTTATATGTGATGAACAATATATGAAGCAATCTTTTTTTTGTTAACATAATGATTATATCCTAATAATAGTATATGTAGTATAATAATAATTTTATGTTTAACAGAAATTAGCTTAATTTTTTAGCAAATTTGCGTTGCAAATATTCATTGCAAATGTTGGAATTAAAATTACATTCTTTCTTTTCGAAAAAAGAAATATTTTTCAGAAGTAAAATACATATGAGTTATTAAGCTGTAAGCAAATTAGCACGAATTGCGTCGTGAAATGAAATTGCGACAAAGTCTGCAACGATCGTTATAGTTGTTTTCCGCCTTCGACTTGTTCTACGGACTTTTAGTACGTGAAACAAAGAATCCAACGAACAGTTATGCTGGTGGAACCCGCATGTTGGTTATCTTATCAATAAACATTACCAGCATGGCAATGCGATTGCTTTAAAACGATGACGACCGTTTGGAATCGATTTTAATAAATTAAATTCTCGATTTTTTAAATCAGCCTTTCTGACATAATTGTGAAATTACATCACATGTCTAATATTTTATGTTTAATTATTATATTTATTATAAGCCTTCTATTTTTCAATTATAATTTATATATTTTTAATATTATTTTGATGAAATAGTTATTTATAAGATTAATCTAATGAAATTCTTATATGACTATTATTTTTGGAGTTGCTGAGAAAGAGAGAGAGAAAAAGTTTAATTATACATTTAAAAATGAAAGGAAAATTAATAAAATTTTCAGAGAAATTTAATTGCATTCTAAAACATGTATGTTGCTTCTTTTTTTATCGAAATGTGTCAGATAAGGAAATATAAGTTTGAAGATTTCCAGGCAACGAATACTTTGCCTAAGATACTTCATGTCTCAATTCTTAGTATCTTAAAAGTACGGGCGTGGTAGATCCTTTAATTTATCTCTCACCACTTACCATATACCACACACGCTTTTCCCAAGCTTCTTTTATCGGCATCTTTGCGACTACATAGAAAATATATGACATTTTTTATCGGGTTCTTTATGAAGTCGCCGAATTTCAAACTAGGTACATAATAAGTTTTATATTTATTTCAAATTATTATTTTTCTCAATTAAATGTATGTTATAATAAAAAAATTTAATTCAATATATAATATATAATATCCATTTCCTTATCAATAAGGACATAATATGATTAAGAAAATATTAATTTGTACTCAGAAATGATTGAGATACAAATATTTTTGTCTCTTGATACAAATATTTTTGTCATCTCTACACGTATATGGTATATATTTTGTTTTGCAATAAATTAATATAATTGTTTAATATTACACAACAAAATTTAACCTAATTAAAAATAATAAAAATATATCATATATATATAATTAAAATAGTTAATGTTTTTACAATATTTGACATTACACTATTCAAATTATAATTTGTCTATATTAATTTTGTATTTATATATGTTATAAATTATTTATTTATTAATTATTTCTCTATTTATGAAGTTTATTAATTATTTATTTATTAACTTTTTATTTATTAAGTTTCATAATCTATGAGAAGTACAAGATTCTTTGACATCTTTTTTTCACATCCAAAGTATCATGTCCCTTCTTTTTCCCATTGCTTCGTTCTATGGAGAAAGATGAGGATTCGCCACATTATTTGTACGTGCGTTTTTTTCCCACGATATATCCGGAATATACGGGATGTCCTCGATGATTCGTTTCCGAATTTAGTTTCCCCACAATTCAGGTAAACGAAGATTCGCATGATTCAGTGAACAGAATACAATAGCGACACGGGACAAAGGATATTTCTCGAGGATTCACGGGATCCTTTTTTTTCCTTCCTTTTTAGAATCACGAAATTGTGATGGAAAATATTTTCTTTCGATATAAATCTTCGATGAGGGTTCATGAAACTGTTTCGAATAGTAACGATTGTAACAAGCAAGAGAATTTTGCACTCGCAGAATTTCACGATACATGAAAATAATCGAGAGAAGAAGCATATAAATTTTTTTATCATAGAAATAGAAAACAAGTTTATCAAAGTTAAATAATCAAGTTTACATACCTTTGCTGTATTTTATAATATTAAATCCAGTTGTGTGTGTATGTAATTTGTGTTTCACCGTGAAATGTAGTTATCTAAACAAATAAACTTGTTTATAACTTTTTTAGAAAATGGTGACTTTACAATATCAAGCAATTATTTAATTATTTTGTGGAAACTAAATGTCATAATTTATTATATGTCAATTATCTTGTATAAAAGCTCTCTTATATGTATACCAATTTAATATATTAAACGGATTGTGTTAATACTATTTAATTTTTCTTTACTATTTACAGATTTCAATTAGGAAAGGTCAACACTTGCAACAATTCGAGATCCATTATAATAATGTACCTCGCTGAAATTTCGCATGATCTCAAAACTGGGAGAAGATACACTCTCGAAAACATACGACGTCCAAACACAAGCGCGTGATTTTTATTGTGATCAATAGCAAAAGTCGGAAAATTGTACTTACCGTTATAAGTATTCAACTACAAGCAATTTTATTCATCATCTGATCTTTTGGATCGTCAATGAACGTTAAGCTTATGTATGTTGTATATTTTTCTAATAAGTATATATGTATGAAATATTTATTTACAAAAAATTTTAAATTTTGAAAGATATATATCATTTCGCGTCTGAAAAAATTTTGTGCTGCATTAAAATTGTATCTTTTAAAAATTATTGTATTTATATATACAAATTGCATAAAATTGAAATAATAGTGCCTGTACATAGATTTAGTTATATTAATTAATGATTTTTGTAAAACAGAGAGAAATATTTATTTATAATTCTTTTTAGCAGTGAACTTTGCGCTTCCAGAAAGAAAATACTTATTTTACAGCTATTTATATCGTAACAAGTACAATTAATTTAGACATGAATTTCATGAATTTTCATTTCATATCATGAATTTTATTATATTTATATAAAGCTGCCTTACCGCGAATATTTATAAAATTAACATAAATATATATATATATATATATATATATATATATATGCATAATACAGAATACAAACAGATAATTCTCGTCATATTAGTGTCATCGATCGTTGGGATATACATCATTTTATTAAATTTTTATCATATTTATATGTTTCACATATGTTTGAATGAAGAGTGACATTTTTACTTAAAAAGATAATGTTTGCAAAACATTTATCATACAAATGTAGTTTGTTAATAAATTCATATATTTACTTTTTATTGCACAATTCAATATGCATTTAAAATAAATGAATTATAATATACGAATAGGATGCATTACAAGAAATGAGATCAACGAGAAATGTATATAAGAAAACATGTTTATATATGCATTATATAGATTACATAACATATAAACATTTATTTCCATGCCTTGACTATAATCGTTATAAATATTTTGTAGTGAGCCTTTTTTCTTTAAGATTTCTATTATTATTATTATTATTTATTTATATAAAAATTACTACATAATATTTAAAACGCATTATATCTACCAATTTACAATGCGGAAGATGTTTGTAAATATTGTCAACATAATCTGTTTTGCAAATCTCATTGTCTCTGATTTTATTAAGGTTTGATTTCTAATGCACTTTATATAGAAACGATCTATAGGTTGACTTTGATGCGAGACACAATCAAAATATTTGTAAATAAAAGTGCCTTAATTAATTATAAGAGATATAAATTGTATTAATACTTATATTTTATATTGGAATTTTTTGAAAAGATACTTAAAATATAAGTATGTAAGTTATAAGCAGAAAGACATGCTGTTTGCGATATTATGATCTATTCAATAATAAAGCAGTCAGTCAAATGTATTATATATGATATGTTGTGACAATTAAATAACTATTAAATATATTTTAATGTCACTTATTTTTTAGATATATATTTAAGAGCGTGTTAAGAAAATATGTATATTCATGTGCCTTATTCTGTCACTGCGAGTCTTCAATTTATGCTATTAATTATTATTAAGAGATAAAATATCGCTTTCATCATATATCTATATACAGATACAGATATATAAGAATACGATACACAAGAAAAGATTAAGAGCCACCGCGGATGGTGCGTAAATTTTTTCTTAAAGAATAATTATTCGCGAAAATTAAAACGCGCACTAGGCATATGCATATATTTTACTTGGTGCATTTACCAAGATATAGATTCTCATTTTTGAGAATACTATAAAACCCCTCTTTACCCTCCTGAAGAGATGTAGGCGAGAAAAATATCGGGGCAAAGTTGCTGAATCGGGGGAGGTTTTATAGTATTCTCAAAAATGAGAATCTATATCTTGGTAAATGCACCAAGTAAAATATAATATATGCATATGCCTAATGCACGTTTTAATTTTCGTTTTAATAAGAATCTATATCTTGGTAAATGCACCAAGTAAAATATAATATATGCATATGCCTAATGCACGTTTTAATTTTCGCGAATAATTATTCTTTAAGAAAAAATTTACGCACTACCATCCGCGATGGCTCTTAATCGCTCTTTTCTTGTGTATCGTGTTGTTAAAGAGCCTAAGTCTTTATCAATTTATTTATATATAAGAATATTAATATTATTTATAAAAGCGCCTAATGAAGTGAGGAAATTGTTATAAATGTACCTTAAAACTTGTGCGATTATGTTCATTATAATGCTCTTTACGATATAACATAAATAAATTATATAAACAATCTTACGATATATGCTTATTATATAGGTCTAAACAAAAGCAAAAGAGAGAGAGAGATGTATCGATTATGATGGATATTATCTCCTTGTTGTAAATTTTATATTACAAGTGCGTTACAGAATATTCGACCGTTTTTTCCTCTCGTTTTTCAAATTATTATAAGAATATCTCGAAAACTTTATTCTATAATAACGTTAGAATTTTTCCCATAAATTATAAACAAACATATAGACTATTATTTCTTTGTCATCAGTATTATACTGATGTTTTTTGTAAATATCAGTGCCTTGATTCAATTTAAAATAAGTATTATATACAATGTTTTATTTTATATACCTTTTTATAAAACATTTAAAAAATACATATTATTAAGTATGCACATTGCAATTTTTTGAATGATCTGCCTACACCATAAAATATAATATATGTATATATATAAGTCCAAATTTGAATATAATTCAAGGATTTAAATATACCAGAGAATATATTTTATGTGATTATACATACAATGATTAAAATGAAAATTAATTTAAAGTTTATTATTTACTGTTTATACATATAACCGGAAATTAATTTAAAGTTTATTATTTAATATTTTATATTTTGCTGATTTCTTCTAAATATATAAAACCAATAAATTCTTAAAATAGGCTATTTATTTATGTCAAACTGAATATGAAAAAAGAGTTAGTTTAATTGAAAATAAAATCAATGATAATGATAAAAAAATAAGAACTCTTGTAGTAAAATGCTATAATAGAATAAAATATCCATATTTTCTTTTTCCTTCGTTTTTATTTAGTTTATATCTGTTTTTTCTACTTTCCCTTTATTATGTCAAAAGTTTGATTTCCGAGCACGTAAGTTTTATTAAAATGTCTGAAACTATCGTTATATGCCAGAGAGTTTATATATCTATCTAATAGAGACCCAATTGTCTTTCCATTTTTATTACGTGATCATTTAATCATATTTGCATTATCACTTGTCATGGCGCATTTTAAAATTTAAATTCATGCACATGTCATGCACATTTCATAAAAAAATCATATCATGGTAATAAGATAAAAATTAAGAATAAAGATAAATATTTATATTGCAAAACGAATTTTGCAATATAATGACTATACACTATGTTAAAGCAAACGTTTTAATTCAAATAGGAAAGAATTATTACACAATACGAGTAATAACGTTATATAAAACGTTATATAGAAATAGAACGTATAACGTATATAACGTAAAAGTAGAACGTATAACGTTATATAAAAGTAGAGCAAGGATGGTATAAAAGAGACTTAAATTTAATAAAATATTAATACATATAAATATATATATTAGTGAATTTAGTAGTATTAGTATATATTAGTTTATGTTATACCAAAGTACTTTAGAAATAACTTCTTATATATAGTGTATAAATTATTAAAAATCCTCATGTATATGAATACATCTCTCAAAGAAATGAAATGTAAAATAATAAAATTAAAAATGTCGAGTCATGTCAAGAATTCAATATATGTATACAAATGTAATAATTTAAATTAAATAAATTTTTATAATCGTTAAATCGATTTAATATTACAAACATTGCAAATTGTAAACGTTATTAATTATCATTCTTAAATAAATTATAATTAACTAAATTATTTTATAAAAAATTGTAAATAATTATTGCGAAATATAAATTATCAAATAAAAAAGAAAGATATATGTATTGATAATTATTCGAGAAACAATTGATTCCACAAAATTGAAATTATGTGACAAAGTTCCTTTCTATCTATTATTCGTAATTCAAATGAATATAGTTCTGACGTAGATGAGAGGTAAGAGGTCACTGTATTAAGAAATAGTGAATTTGCATTTCCTCAGCTTATAAATAATCGATCAATTCTTACCAGCAGATTAAACGGAGTGTGTTTACAATAGGAGCGCTATTTACAATAGAGTACTATTTACAAACCTGTGCATCTTTGACGCTTTTACAATTATAAAAAAAAGAAAATAATTAAGACATTTTTATTGTAATATATATTGTGTGCGAGCTTGATATAATTTTCGACGTGAATATTTTATTAATTGATCATATCAAAGAGTTGTTATTATCGTGATATCGTGGAATAATAATTTATTACCACAATGGATATCATTCCGGTAACAACGTCGTATTTACCAACCATAGCTTATTCTCTGCTGGCTGTATTTATCACAGCGCTAATTGCATTATATTATTATGTAGAATCTTCTAGAGTGGTTTGTCTTGCAAAACGGCTTCCAAGTATGTATAGAATTGAAACATTTTAATTACTACTGTACTTTCAAGTAAATCTTAATACGATACAAAATTGGATTTATCAAAAGGATTTGAATTTATTGATCATATTGATAATAATAAATTTTTCATTCTTCTCTTTTAGATCCATCGAGCTTACCAATAATAGGTCACGCATTAATGACTATGGGATTATCTCCAGAAACTGTGTTAGTTGTAGGTCTTCAACTTCACAAAAGATATGGATCAGTACTTAGCGTATATTTTGGAACAAGAGTGATAATCGCTCTGACAGATCCAAAAGATATCGAAATAATCTTGAGTAGTTCTGTGCATCTCGACAAATCAGTGGAATATAGGTAAAAAAAAATATTCTATATAATTGACAACAATCTATATAATTTTGTTTTTTTTCTATATTTCTATATTTTTTTTATAAAATTGTGTGTGCAAATTTGCAATCTGCCTATTTTAGATATTTTATTGTATTCAATTTTGCCGTATTCAAAAAGATATATGCATAAATATATATTATAAGATTCTCGTTATCCTTTTTCTTAGACTTTTCCAACCATGGCTTGGAGATGGTTTGCTGATCACAACTGGTGATAAGTGGCGCAGACATAGGAAGGCAATAGCGCCCACATTTCACATGAGTATTTTGAAGACATTTGTACCTTTATTTTATGAGAATAGTATAGATCTCGTTAGACGGCTTCGCGATGAAGTTGGAAAAGAGTTCGATTGTCACGATTATTTATCAGCTGTAACTGTTGACATTTTAACGGAAACTGCGATGGGAGTCAAAAGAGAAAAAAGGCAGCAGACTGGATATGATTATGCCATGGCCGTAATGAAGTAGAGAGACATTGACTTTTTTCTTAAAATTATATATAATACTTTATTATTTAATATTTATATTATGAAGAAAACTCAATGTAATAATTTGAATATTGTAGATTGAGCGATATCCTACATCGAAGGCATTATGATTTTCGATTACGTTCTGACATAATATTTAAACTTACAAAGTTTGCAAAGAAACAAAAGAAATTGCTCAATATTGTTCACACATTGACAAATGATGTAATTGAAGAGAAGTCTAAGGACATTGATGATATAAAGGAAGAAAAAAAAGATAATCAAAAGGACAAATTTATAGAAAATAATGAAAATGATAAAAATATTGCTTATACAAAACTGCATTATGTAAGAGATGATCTTGATGACATTGATGAAAACGACATAGGTGAAAAAAGACGACTCGCCTTTTTAGAAATGATGATTGATTTGAAAAAGAACGGTGAAAAAATGACTGATAAAGAGATTTGGGAGGAAGTAAACACTATCATGTTTGAGGTACTGCATTTTTAATATAATTAATAAATTTAATCGTATAAAGAATTTATTATATATAGAAAGATATTTTTATATGTATAATTTTCTGGTACATATAAGTATTTATATATATAATTTTCTGATATTTATGTATGTATTAATTTTCATAATTAAATTTTCTTTTTCATTTTCCTTCTTTTTTTTCTCTCTCTGCTTCTTTATAAAAAAAATTATATTGTAAGTTACACTATTGTACACGCTATCAGATGTTAATTTGATGCACTTTTGAAGAAGTAAATTATTGATTTATTACAGGGCCATGATACCACAGCAGCTGGCTCAAGTTTCACGTTATGCGCCTTAGGAAATCATCAGGATATTCAGGTAGATTTATTAACGATTTAATATTTTCACAAGAAAAAAATCTTGGAGATCACTTAACATTTATATTTAAATTCTTAAATGATGAATAGAAAGAGTTAAATTTATTAAAAATACTTCAATTGAACGGCCTTCAAAACAGTTGCGACATATATTTTCATTATTCTTGTTAAAGAGATCGATATTGCTCAGCCAATCGCAAATCTATTAATTTTAATTGGTCTATTAATTTTAATCGTAAATCTATTAATTTTAATTTTCGTTGTGTAGGCTCGCGTGCATGAAGAATTAGATACGATTTTCGGCGACAGCGATAGGCAATGTACTTTTCAAGATACCCTAGAAATGAAATATCTCGAAAGAGTTATTTTGGAATCTCTGAGACTTTTCCCACCAGTACCGTTGATTGCCAGAAAACTTAACGAAGATGTACAGATAAGTAAGCATGTCTTGTTGATTGCTATATTTACAATAATATTAATTATTGTTACAAACATTAGGAACCTATAAACTATAGGAATTTGTATAGTAAGTAAACAAAACAAAAAAGGTACATGACATATCTTTCATATTATAGTTACTGGTGATTATATCCTTCCAAAAGATGCCACGATAGTAATTCCACAATTCATAGTACATCGTGCAGAAAAATATTATCCAAATCCAACAGTTTTTAATCCAGATAATTTCCTACCGGAAAAAATGCAACAGAGACATTATTATGCCTTTATTCCTTTTAGTGCTGGACCAAGGTATTTAAAAGATGGTTCTTAAAATAAAGTTTTTTTTTTGGAAATTACTAACAATAAGACTAAAGTAATATTTTACACAAAAGATTACTTGAATTTGACACTCATTTCTCATTTCTTAAAATTTTGGCATATTATATATTATAAGCATTAAAAGCATGTGAAAATATTTTGTTATAAAAGCAATGTAATATACACTGTTATTACAATATTATATTTAATAATATATAAAGAAAGAATTGATAAGATAAAGAAAGATTTGATAATATATAAAGTAAGAAAATTTTGTATAGGTCTTGTGTGGGGCGAAAATATGCTATGCTGAAATTAAAGGTTCTTTTATCGACAATACTCAGAAATTACCGTGTCATTTCTAATGTGGCAGACGACAATTTCGTATTGCAAGCCGACATCATTCTAAAACGACACGATGGATTTAAAATCAAGCTTGAACCGCGTAAGCCAGTATCTCGTACATAATTTCGGAAACAGCAAGAAGTTAACATTTTTGTACCCTCGCAAACGTGAAGCAATGTGAATTGAATCTAAAGTAAATTAAATAAGTTGATATATATTTAGGGAGGATTCCATTTTCTATATACATTATATGTTTCTGAGGCAAATATTTTTTTTGAAAGTCTTGCTACCTGTAATATTTTTCAATACTTATGTGTAATGTATTGATATATTTAATAAATAAATATATTATATTTAAAATATATACATATCTCACATATACATGTCCCACTAAAAATTTAATGTAAAGTAAGTAAACCAAATAAGGCGCATCTTATTGTTAATGCTAATAAGTTAAAGGATCATGCAAAAGCTGACTATATTTTTTTAAATTATCGTTCATTTATTAAACTTTGTAAAAAAACTATAAGAAATTACTTTATTTAAAAAATTTTTATTCTTTCTGTTACATTTAAAAAAACATTTTAAATCTTATAAGGAATTCTAATTTTTAATAATGCCTACATTAAACTTTAAAGAAAAACTCAATATCAATTTATGCAGTTAACAAAAAAATACAAGGAACATTGTAATAATGTATCTGTATTCTATAGGTAAGTAGACAAAATATTAATAAAAACCCAAAAAAAAATATAAATAAAAAAATATTCATGCATAAATAAACAAACATATTTGCAGCAATTTTTTGATAAGAAAAAATTGTTGTTTTTTCCCTGCGTTCCAATTACTGCGCTATGACTCTTATGTGCCAATTTTTATTTAATTTTTGCATGTACTGACTTTTATAATTAAATTTTCTCTTTCGCAAGTAGAACATTATACATGAATACAATGTATGAGAACATGACAACATGAGAACAGATTAATTTGGTATATTACTAGAGAAAATTCATTATTAATTTATAGGTTACCACGGCAGTTGGCTCAAGTTTCGCACTATGCGTCTTAGGAAATCATTAGGATATTCATGTAGATTTATTAGTGATTTAATATTTTTCTGCAACAGAAAAGTCTTAAAAACTTTTTCCCATTTTTATATTCAATTTCTTCATAAAACAAATTATATAACAATTTTGTATTGTATTTTTGTTTCAATGTCTTATACCTAGAATGTTCTCTTTCTCTTTCTTCCAAAATACAAAATTCTTATAACAAACTATTATATAAAAATATAAATATATAAATAAATTATTAATAAATTTTAATAATATGTTTGACATTATATGTTTGACATTCGTCGAGCATTAAAAATATATCGTTAAATTATATGCAAAAGAGATGCTAGTATCCTAGTAATTTTACGATTTGATTTTTATTTTTTACGATAATAATACTGACATTTATATGTTAATAGCTTGTTGCATTTCTATCGAGAGTAATATCGAGAGTATAATATTTTATCAAAATTCGAAGCTTATTTCAAAGTAGCTAGAAAAGCGATTAAATCTCTGCGATCTTCGGCCTTCTTAATACCATGGAATGCCTTTTTTGTTCCTGGAACAAACTTTTTAGGAAATTCGAGATAATCATTTAAACTCTTCTCATCCCATACAACAGCCTTTTCTTTCATGGTTTCCGTAAAATTAAAACCTGGGGCAGCTAAAAAAAATTAACCAATTACGTATTAATAACTGATAATATTATATTTAAAAAACATCAAATTTTTTGAAATATTTTTAATGTTATAATATTATTGAATTTATTTTTAACTGAATTAACAAATTGGATTCATTAATATACATACTTCCAGAAATCTTGCCTATAATACCATGTAGGTTAGGACCTATTTTATGTTTATCACTTTTTTCCGTGGTATGACAAGAAGCACACATTTTTATGAACAGTTTTTTACCATTAATTGGATCGCCCATTTCTCTTAACAAACATTAACAATCATTAATTTATTAATTAATCTAGAATAATTTGTTAAAATAAGATTTAATATCTTAATCGTATCCTAGTTGTAAACGTATAATATATAGACTTTGCGTTTGGCTAGAAAATTGTATAAATTTTAGAAGGAGACAACATGCTTTTATGTGTTGACATCTAAATAAATAGACGAAGCATTAGCTATCGATTAAGACGAGGGAGTCTTTGATATTCGTCTTTGATCGCAATAAGGGGGGACTCTATTTGATTGAATACGGTTATTCCTGATAATAATCGGTTAATAATTCGACTCCAATCATTGACATCAACGTTCAGCTCATATGTATTGTGCGAAGTTGTGTTGTGACTAATGTCATATTATTTTTAAATTTATATATATTTAATATTATTTAATATATATATATATATATATATATATATATATATAATATATATATATATATTAATATATATATATATATTTATTTATTAAATAATATATACATAATATTGATATCAGAAATAATATATACATAATATTCATATCAGATGTCAATGGTTTGGAATATATGGAAATTTTTAATTTATATATATTTAATATTATTTAATATATATATATATTTATTTATTTATTTATTAAATAATATATACATAATATTCAGATGTCAATGGTTTGGAATATGTGGAAATTTTTAATAAATTTTGTATTACACATATATTTTGGTCACTTGTAATTCTTTATAATTATTTTATAATTATTATCAATATCTTTGAATAAATCAGAAGTAAAAGAAATAGTAATTGAAAGAATCGATAAACGTTTTGTGTGATTTTAAACACTTTTTAATTGCCTGAGTATAAGTGCCTAGAAGACATCAAGCTAAACATCACAAAAAGGAAGAAATACGATAAGTGCCTGGTCTTGAAGAGATATAGAATAGAAGTTTCAACATATTTTATATCTATGATTTTGTAATAGTTTCCTCTGCACGTTGCTTCGGCCGTTTCTTAAGATCCACAAAGATAAATTGTAGAGTCCAAGGTATAATGAACGCACCATTTAATACTAGTAGAGAGACTTGATACATATCGAAGCTATCAGTCCAATCCTTAATAAGTCCTATGATTATACATGCATAATTATATTATATATCGACAATGATATGACCTATTTTTTTTCTTACCTACGATAGCGCCGAAAACTACCGTAACTAAGCCACTAATAATTCCAAAAATGCCGTAAGCCGAGGCAAATTTTTCTATATTGATGTTTTCAATAATGACTAGAGGCTGTGGAACCAACAACCACGAACGCACGAAACCGATTAACGCTGTCATAATAAATGCGCCCATAAGAGTATGCTTGTATAATAAAAAACCTAGAAATCATAATTTTTTTTTATAATTCTTTATTTTAAAAACTGAAAATTTTCTAAAAATCTATTTGTTATATTCGCTTAATCATGCGGCAAGATATTTACCTAGCCTTGTGAATTGCGTGACAATCATAGCTCCGAAAAATAGATATTTCGCTTTTACGTCCACTATCAATGTAAAAACTGTTAGTAAAATTTTTGATGCCAGCTCAGCTGTTCCACTAATCGTAATGGTTAGCGCGGCGTCACGTTTAGTGTATCCCGCATCGGCCATTATAAGAGGAACAAAAGAGGAGAAGCAATAATCGGCGGTACACACAAAACTGACGCCAAAACATAAGTTGAGAAAAGTGCAATTCTTTACCAATGACATATCCAAGAGATCTCTCAAAATTATCTTGTACCTTTAAATAATATAAAATAATAATGCGTATATATAAACATTATTTATATAAGAATTATATATAAATTTACATATAAATATATATAATAAATATATATTTAAAAAATATTGGTCTCACACACACACACACATATTAATCAATCCTAAATTTCTAAAATATTGAATATTTAATTATACAAATAATTACAAGAATTATGCTTACTTCATCTCCTTTTGTTTTTCCTCGATGTCTTGCTTATCATTCTCCTTTTGTTCTTGAATTTCCTTATTCGTTTGTTCCTCGCAATTTTTCTTTTCCAGATATTGTTGGCGTATATCACTTAATGCACCAACGCTAGTCGCCACATTGACCAAGCTGGATGCCGATAGAGCTGACACACGCCTCGCTAAACTTTCTCGCATAGATACTGATTTCGCCCTTTCGCGAATTCCACCCTCGATTTCGGAGTTTGAAGCTACTCTTTGCGCAGAAGGCTAATTTATATAATCGATGTATGCGTAAATTGAAAAATACAATATCGTTTAGAAAAGCTGCCAACTAAATGACAAAAAAACATCAGTGGCTATCGAATTTTATGTTACCTTAAGCATTTCATTTAATAAGGGCATTTCTGCGCCATTTTCTTCTTTAAGACTATGAAGACTGCTCCATTTAGTCTTCGAAGATATGTGAATAACATCGATGGTTGACCGACGATTCGACAATGACAGTTCTTGAAATCTATGTTGCTTTATGCGAGCCTTTTCAGCACGAACATCATCCAGTGTTTTGAAGTGCCATTCCACAGGATGCATCAATGTCATGCCAACGATGCTATTAAGACTTATTGCACCCATAATCGCTGCGGTACCTAATATAAACGAAAAACAATTAATTGTAATTTTCTAATTTTTCTATGTTTATTAGAGTCTTACCGCGAAAACCATACAATGCCATCAACTTTTCGGTTAATGTTGGATAAATAATTCCACCCAATCCAATAATGACTTGCGCCGCGCTCATCACCTAAAAAAGTAAAAGACAACTTTGAAAAATTAAAAACTTTTAAATAGATTCTCTTGAGCATAATGATTGCCTTACTTTCGTTCTTTTTTTTACAAAATATGCATTGAAAACCGTATTGCAAACCGTAATAATTAGACCCAATCCAAAACCTTGAAACAAGAAAAGAAAAGCCAAATCGTATATATTTCTGCTAAACGCCAGCAAAATGTTTGATACCGAGAAGCAGAACGCTCCTAAAATTCCGACCGGTCTTGTAGAATATCTTTTCAATAAGGTATTAGTCAGCAAACCTGTAAAGAATATTTTATAGAATTTATGAAAATCAGTGAAACAAAATAATATCAAAAAAATTACAAAAAATATAATAATATTATGAGAATAAAATGTAATCTCTTAAAAATGTATACTGAAAGTTTAAAAAACAAAATTTCTTAAATTTAAATTTTATTTTAAGTTTATTTTTCTTACATTTTATATAAATAATACGATATGGCTATAATAATTTTATTAATTATAAATTAATCTCTCTTTTTCCTATCAATTATATCATATTTGAAAACAAAAATATATTTAAAAATTCAATTTAAACCATCTACTTAATTCCTCGCTCACAAATCTCGATTTAATTTATAACGAAGATGTTATCTTTAAACTTATTTATAAATAAGAAAATTTCTAGATATCTGTACACAGGTGCAAACTTGTTCAAGAATGAAATCTTGAGAAAAATAAGATTAAACAAAATGTCTCTATTTTTTATCGCTCAATTTTTTATTTAAAAATGTATTTATTAAATTTATATATCAAATTTAATAACTTTATAAAAAAATTATATCTTTTCCAAGTTTGTTAATTAAAAAGGCGTTTACTTGCAATAGAAAAACAGATCATAAAGAAGGAATTGGAAAGGCTTGATGCCATGCCCGCCTGTCCGGAAGCTTCAAGGAAATCGCCAAAGATTATGCCATATGATGATCCTGGACCCATCGTAGTCATCTAAAATAACGAAAGTTATCATTTAAATATATCTCTACAAAATTGTTCACCTTTGAGTTAAAAAAATCTTAAAAAAATATCTGTGTAGCTAAAAGTCACATTATTTGCAGATAAACATTTATCTAAAAAATTTTGTTAAGCACTATTATGTTTGTCATATTATTATACTAACAAAAATGAATATCATTGCCAATACAATGATCCATCCCCAACCGCCGTCTGGTGCCAGATCTTCCAAAGTAATTTCATCATCTTTTTTTATCAGTTCTTCGATCTTTATAGTTGTGTTCTTCTTTTTATTTCCGATTACGTTATCAATTGTAGGTACACTTATCGTGTTATTTGTTTTTGTCACTGTCATGCTACGTTTTCTTTCAATCTTAAAGTGATAAGTTTGAAATCGTCAAAAGCTAGTGCACTAATTAATTGCTTTTCTAATTTATTCGAATACATTCAAGAATATCATACCTTTTCTTTTTTTGAGAAGAATCTAAAATCAAAGATATCTAAAAGATATAGAAGATATTTAATAAAAAGTAAGTATAAAAATAAAATTTTAGTGTTCTCTTTTAGTTCCTGAGATATATCTTGAAATATAATAATTTTCATATTCATTTGTATCAACTTTTTATTATATTCTACTTATTTGTTTTTTTAATTTAAATTTATTCGTTTTTATATCATTGTTATTATACTTTTAGATTAGTTACTTTTGGAATATTTTAGTTCGCTAAAAATTTCTTTTTATTTATAAAAAGAAATTTCTTGCTTGTCAACTGCCAGAATTACGCAGAATTATTGTTTAATTTGTAATAAACAAACATTGGAATTACGAAATTTGGAATAAATAATCCTTGGAATTTCGAAATAAGTGTAATAAGTGCAGTTTGATGAATTTTTAGTCATTTTTGTGAATAAATTTGATTATTTATTTCAACTTCGTATTATGCATAGTGACATCAAGTGTCATGAGTACTTTATTAAATATTTATTAAAAATAAAAAATAAAAATTTTTTAAATAAACGCATGAACCAGAAAACGGTTTCGCTTTCTTTCTTACATTCTCAACAAATATTTCTGATTTTAAATTAAAATTAGATTTGTGATATAGATTAGTTTCTTTGAGATGGAGAGATGTGTGGAGCTCCTTTCTGCTCATGATTTATTTTATAATCAAATAAAACTATATGAATAGTCTCGTACTCTTTGTTTAAAAGAAAGTTTTAAAATAAATCAATTGCACATTTAAATCTCTGAGTAAATATTTAACAATAAAAAGATTAATAATGAGTACTTAATAATAAAAATTTCTTGAAAATTATTAAGAATCATAATCTTGATCTGAATATATTAAAGTTATTCTTATGATTTTATGTCTTATCAAAGTTAACCTTATGATTTTAAGTCATAGAAACTAAATCCCCTTTTCTAACAACGTTATTTTTAGAATATTTCAAATCGTATATCAAGTGTCAAAAGAAAGCGCCACAAAATTCAAAGTTACCTAAAAACGTACTCTTAATATATGTCAAAAGAAAAGTGATCCGTTAATTACATGACATATAAAAATTTCACAAATATCAATGTAATAATCAATGATTGATAACGAGAAACGACAATATAAAATTTGTATAAAGCAATCAGGTATATCCAGATAATATAATATCTTGAATAATTAGATGTTAATATAACATATAATTGCAAAATAACATTTTTAGAAAAATATTTTTTACATAAATGTATTTACATATATTTATGTATATTTCTCTTTGTTTCTTAGCATTTGCTATAATAAGATTCTCTCTTTTACACAATATCAGAGTAATCAAATCAACCAATACTTCTGCTGTTTTTACTACATTCTGGTTAAAGATAAGATTTATAAAATATTTACCAAACAGAATTTGTCAAGATAAATATGGATAAACGACACCGATTTCAATACACTTCCACGATAATCGAAGGTAGAGAATGTTCGACTAACTGGAACATGATAGAAACGAAGATTTCAAAGACATCTTATCTACGCACAATGCCATCATATTAAATACCCATTATAAGCCGGAATGAAATATTATCATCTGTAATCATGAAATTATACAAGAGAAAAGCTAAGAATGTACAAACAATCTAATAAATTCTCTGCATAAGATGCATCAATTGAATATAATTGTATATAATATAAGCATTATATACAAAATAAAAAACATTATATGTATATATATATATGGTAATATTATATCGTAATATCATTTTTATTTGTCTTCAATTAATTAATTAAAAAAAATATATATATATTTATATATATATATATATATATATATATATATTTAATTAATTAATTGAATACAAATAAAAATGATATTACGATACGATATTACGATATTGGTTTAATAACTAAACTAGTGAGAAAAACAGGATACAAGTTAACAAAGATTTATAATATAAGATCTTCAAATATCGAAAAATTTCTCACAAAAAATATAAATTCCATTTAATTTTTTTACTATTTAATTCTATTTAATTCTTTTAAAACATATCGCTACATAAATAAGATAAAGATAGTATAAAAATTTTACAGTGGAAAAAAGATAACAAAATGGGCATATTACTTTTTTGTTTCTAATCTCTCATTAGCTAAAAATGTAAAATAAGAATTTTTATTTATAATATTTACTTGAGAGAGAACTGTTTTACCCTTTCTATCAAATTTAATAATACTGTGACTTATATACGAATTCATAATACTAATTCAAATTTTTTTCCTCTAATCAAATTGTTTTAGGACAAATAATTTAAAAAAAAAATTTTTGGCTGAGAAATGTAAGTTTATCGAAAAAACGACACAAACATTAATGATTAAAGATGCATCTAAATATAAGAACATTGCTTTTGATTCTTTTATAGAATTTCTCTTAAACTTTCCTTCAAACTTTGTGCGAATCCAGTATATTAAAGAATATTAAAGAAAAAAGGACAGAAAAGCATTCTTTATTCAATTTCTTTTCTTTATTCAATTATCAATAATGAACAATTAAATCAGTGCGAGTCATTAATTCATAATAAATTTCTTAATAATGTCTCTCATTTCTCTATTATCTTTTTTTTATTATCAACGGAGATAGATTTTATAATATCGTCTCTTACATATCTTACTTCCATTATTTTTCTAAATTCTGTAAAAATAAATTGCAAAACTTAGAATAATATAATATTATCTAATATCACACATTATCTAATATTAGTCAAAGATTTGATAATGTTAGAGCATGTTAAAGCTATTAATTCAATCCTGAATAAATTCTGCGATAATGCGCACAATTATATTTTAGACATGTCAAAAATGAAATACCACTTTTTAATTAACTCTTTTCGTCTTATCTATGGAATCGAAAATTAACGTAAATTGTGAATCAAACAAAAATATCGTAAAATGAGACGACTTATTTTTAAACTGACATTATCACGATAATGCTGCGCAGCCAGCAACCACGAATGTAAGATATCAATTATTATTATTACATACACTTATAATTACATGATCGTATTATAAAAAATTTACAATATACAAATTATGATTTATTATTATTTTTATATATTACTTAAAGAACTGAAAATTTTTGAAAACTTGTTTAGTACATACTAATCAAAGATACTCACGTATTCTTCATGATTTCGAATTTCATGATAATTATGATTACGAAAAGATGTTTTTAAGATGTGTTCACTATTGTTACGAAAATTACAATTAAAAGTTTAAATTTTATATCTCAATTATTTCACTAATTGAAACACTAATTGTAACAGTCAACGCGACATCATGTTAAAAATATTTGCGTCAGAAGCTGCGAGTTTATAACAGAAGCTGATAGCTTAATGCATTAATATTGTCGACAAGAGGAGAAAATCACATTTATCTCGAGAATCACTTAATCTTCTTATCACATGTCAATAAATGTAAAAGAGAAATGTAAATGTTTCTTGAGAAAAGCTTTGAAAAAGACGAAAAAGATGCACACAATCTTTTTATTCTGCACTTTTTATAAAATGTAATATTTTATTTACATAGCAATTTCAATTAATAGTAAACAATTTAGTACATTAATTTTTTTATTATTATTAATTTTTTTATTAATTTTGTTATTATACAAAATTCAAATATTTATTTCAATAATAGTAATATATGGTAATATAAAAAGAAATTTTAAAAAGGCATGCATGTGTTCAGATAATGTTTAGCTTATCGTGATGATCTAAAACAATAAAAATTATAAATTATATATTTATATAAAATCGGTTGTCTTTTGCAAAAAATTTTTTAAAAATTTCTGAATTTATTATTTGAAAAAGAGCAAAAATTATTTTATTTATTACACTAAACACTTTTATTTATCCTTATTATATTAACAAAAATTGATATTATTACTAATGCAAAATCTGTTTATAGAACGATTGAATATATTGCTCTGTTATTATGTCACATTGCATACTTTAAATATAATTATATATATATTATACAATACAATTAGATAGCGTACAGATAACGGTAACGCAAAGAACAAAAATAGATGACAACGAATAAATTTGAAATTAAAAATATATATATTAAAGGACAAACGTTTCGATCCGTATCTGGATCATTTTCAATGTCTTATAATTTAACATAAATATAAATATAAAGAGATCGCAACATAAGAGCAAGGTCGAAAAACGATAGTCATTTATCTGTGATACAAAAAACGCAAATTCGCAGAAAGATGACATAATAAAAACACATGTATTAATAATTAAGCAGGAGAATCGCTAAAATTTGTTTTAAAGCTCTCGCAAAAACACAACCGAATGACATGTCACTCACCTCAAAATTCGAAGCGTGAGGAGCGCGATAGCAGACAAAAGCGCAATCGGGCAAAAGTATGTAACAGATGAAATCTCTTGTATCATGAGAAAGCGTAATGGTCCAAAAATATAGTTCAAAACGACACATGGAAAGTCCAGAATGATAAAAAAGCGATAGAGAATGTCCTGTAACAAATAAAGAAACGGAAGCCACAAGAAATTTACCCAATTAAAGAGATAAAAAATGATCCATGGGAAAGTCAGAGTACACGTCAAGACACGGTGAACCCGTGACTGATTTAGATTAAATATCTGTGACGACTGTGACAAACATGTCAAAAACAGAAAGGCCAACGGAAAATCAAAAAACGAAGTCAAGGAAGTGATATAAAGATGGCAGCACTAAACAGAAAAATCATTCGAAAAAAAGACAAAACAACTAAAATTAAGAAAATTTGTGAATGATTGGAAAATAAGATTTGTCGAGGAGATCCGTATCAGACTGAACGTTAATGATATTCTCTTGGCACGCAATGTGCATCATTTCAGAAAATAATCTTCTTCTGTAGGAAGGTTCTTCATCCAAAAGACATTTTAAGACATTTTCCCAATCAAATTCATGACCAGAAAGTCTATGAGAAGAGATCACCGATAATGAGCGTGTGTTAATGTTGGCCTTGTATTCCTTGATCCTCGTAATCAATTGTCGGCCCGTTTGACCAACATATAACGCTGAACAATTATTACATTTAATTTTATAAACTGCATTCGAATAATTAAACTTAGATAAAGGATCTTTCTGCAATTTGATAACGTTGTTTAATTTTTTATGTACGACAAAGGCTACTAATTTATTAAGACTACTGATGACCGGAAGAAATTTGTCGGAGATGCCTGAGATGTAGGGAATGATGAAAAAGAAACGAGGAGAAGAAGAAGGGGGGAAGAGGGAGGAGAAGAACTAGGAAGACCACCGACAGGAAAAGAGTTTTGAGAGATGAGCCTTCGTAATTTATGGGTGATAGAATTAAAAATGAAATTAAGAGGGTAACCATTGGAAAGAAGGATATTGACAACATTCGAGAAATTCCTTTCATGGTGTTGAGGATGTGATAGGAAAAACATTCTGTCAGTCAAATCAATAATAACTCCTCTCTTATGTGAAATCGGATGTTGTGAAAAAAAATTGAAAAATCCTCTGAAAACGTAGGTTTACGGTACCAGTCGAATTCGATAAAATTGTTGTGAACAGTAATAGAGACATCCAAAAAGTTAAGAGTATTATCGTCTGCAATTTCAATGGTAAACTGTAAACGTTTATGAAAAGAATTAAAAAGGTTAAGAATTTTTGGGCAAGAAACCGAGGGGGCTGCCAATGCTATGTCGTCCACATATCTGACGTAAAAAGGGAGATGCAAATCAAGAATGGAAATCGCTCTCTCTTCGAGATCCTGCATCACTATATCCGCCAAAATTGGAGACAAGGGAGAGCTCATAGGTGTGCCAAAAACTTGTTTATAGATATTGTCGTTGAATTTAAAATAAGTAGAGTTTAATACGACATTAATCGCGAACAAGAATTCTCTGTAAGGAATGTTAATCTTTTGTTGAGAATATGCCAACGTTTTGCGATACCTCTCACAACTAAATCGGACGGAACGTTAGTGAATAATGACACGACATCTAACGATAGTTTATAATCGTCCTCCATGTAAAGTTCTCTCAAATTCTTAACCAATTCAAAGCTATTCTTTACATGGCTTTTCGGTCTCGGGAGGTGCGAATATAAAATGTTGTGGAGGAAAGTCGCAAAGGCATGTAAAGGGCTAATGACTGATGAAACAATGATTCTGAGAGGAAAATTTTGTTTGTGTATTTTCGGTAAACCATAGGCTCGAGGGAGTACACCATCACCAGGATGCAGGAACCTGTGCTAATAGAGATATAATCATTCTTATGTCATTTAGTCAAAAGTGTTTTTAGCTCGTTGAATATCTTTTTTGTAGGATCTTTATCAACTCGAATGTAGGTAGCCTCATCAGACAAAAGCTCATTCATTTTTTTCAAATAAACATCTCTATCCAGTACAATAGTAGAATTGCCCTTATCCGCTCTGGTAACAAGAAGGTTTGGATTGTTTAACAAAAAACTTTTAGTGCGTCTAGCCTTGACAAGGATATCTCTGTTGAGATCCGTGAGGGAAGGAGGGGAAGAAAGGAAGTAATTAATGATGTGGATGACATTGTTCCGAATTTCCTGAGAGATCAATGGATCCATTTTATAAAAATTAGCTTCTACAAATTTAATGAAATCAAAAATGTTGTGCTGTAAAGAGACGTGCTGAATCGGAAGGCTGAATTTTTCCCCTAATTGTAAAAAACACTGTATGTCCTCAGGAATGGTAGTAGATGAAATATTCACAAACCATTTGTTGTTAATGACATTCCACTGTCTCTCATGTGGAAACGAAGAAGGCTCAATTTTATGGATAGAATGTTGAGAAGGGGGATTGAAAGAAGAAACAGAAAAAACCGGATTAGAGGAAGTATTAATGTTAGAGTTACTGCTAGATCTCAACTTCAATCTGTAAGAGTTGGCAGGTGGGCGAATGGGAAGAAAACAGAAATAGGTTTCAAATGAGGGTGACAGGAAGGAGCTTTCTTGATTAGCCAACTAAATTTATTTTGGAGTCTTTTGGATTCTCTCTTGGCGAAGCAGCTGAAAAAAAGTCTTTGTGTATGAAAAAACTGGTTAAGAATGTTGCTTGGAATTGAGTTGAACAAGACTCGAACAAGAGACAAAGCCTTGTTCAACTCAATGAGTCTTGTGTTCTTCTGTGTCGCTTGCTGAAAAACGCCCTTTATCATCAGTTTATCACCAGTTTATCACCAGTTGAATAAACTAATATTATCTATATATATATTATATATAATACATATGGCATATCAGCATGGTCGATAAAACGGTCATCCAATAAAGGTCGGCAGCATTGTGAAATATTCGTGTGTGACTAATAGACACGCGCAGTTACAATTACTCGCCAACTATATTAAGTTGTATCTAATCATTTGTGTTGGCAAACTACAAAGCATTATTAAGCAAGAAACAAGTGAGCAGTGAGAAATATAGAAAGTAGCACAGGAGATAAAATAATCATACGAAACAATCGCGAATATAAATAACAAAATTAAAATTCTACGATTAAAAATATAAATTTTCATTAACATATGTGTTATATTTATATAATATAATTATACTATGTTAAAAAATAACCGTTACAAAAGATATACGAAATGTGACAAAATAAGAGATAATTATATTATGAAACGATCACACATACACACGAATGTTTGTAATAAAACGAGATTTTATAATCTGAATCTAAAGTAAATTAAATAAGTTGATATATATTAGTGAGAAATATTTAGTGAGATATATTTAGTGAGAATTCTATTTTCTATGCACACTATATATTTCCGAAGCAAGTATTTTTTTCGAAGGACTTGCTACCTGTAATATTTTTCAATACTTATGTGTAATGTATTGACATATTTAATAAATAAATATATTATATTTAAAATATATACATATCTCACATATACATGTTCCACAAAAAAATTTAATGTAAAGTAAGTGAACCAAATAAGGCGCACCTTATTGTTAATGCTAATAAGTTAAAGGATCATGCAAAAGCTGACTATATTTTTTTAAATTATCGTTTATTTATTAAACTTTGTAAAAAAACTATAAGAAATTACTTTATTTAAAAAATTTTTATTTTTTCTGTCACATTTAAAAAAAACATGTTTTAGATCTTATAAGGAATTCTAATTTTTAATAATGCCCACATTAAACTTTAAAGAAAAACTCAATATCAATTTATGCAGTCAACAAAAAAATACAAGGAATATTGTAATAATGTATCTGAATTTTACAAGTAAATAGACAAAATATTATTAAAATTTAAAAAAGTAAATATTTATACATAAATAAACAAACATACTCACATATTTGCAGCAATTTTTTAACAAAAGGGAGCGCGTGTATCTCTCCGCTGACTTATACGACTTCAGGTATCGACAGATCCTTTCGTATCCGCGTGAATTTGGCAAGACGATCGTTTGATACTTGTAGATTCACACTGTCACATAATCGCATGGTCTTTCCGTATTCATTTAACAGGAAATTTAAAAACTAGACCTTGTTCGGGCGCGAATCTTAATTGGTTCACATCTTATATATTAAGCGAAAACACGTTACTTTTGTAGTTTTAAATTTTAAACCAACAAATAATAAGAAAGAAGTGTTGTTTCTTTCCTGCGCTTCAACTACCGCGCTATGACTCTTATGTGCCAATTTTTACATGTACTGACTTTTATAAATTAAATTTTCTCTTTTGCAAGTAGAACATTATACATGAATACAATGTATGAGGATATGTAACAAATTAATTTGGTATATTAGTAGAGAAAATTAATTATTAATTTACAGCTTACCACGGCAGTTGGCTCAAGTTTTGCACTATGCGTCTTAGGAAGTCATCAAGATATTCAGGTAGATTTATTAGTGATTTAATATTTTTTGCAACAGAAAAGTTTTAAAAACTTTTTCCCATTTTTATATTTAATTTCTTCATAAAACAAATTATATAACAATTTTGTATTGTATTTTTGTTTCAATTTCTTATATGTAGAATGTTCTCTTTCTCTTTATTTCAAAATGTAACAAAATTCTCATAACAAACTATTAATAAAAATAGACATATGTAAATAAATTACGAATAAATTTTAATAATACATATGTTTGACATTCGTCGAGTATTAAAAATATATTGTTAAATTATATGTAAAAAAGATGCTAGTATCCTGGTAATTTTACGATTCGATTTTTATTTTTTACGATAATACTGACATTTATATGTTAATTGCTTGTTGCGTTTCTATCGAGAGTAAGATCAAGAGTATAATATTTTATCAAAATTCTTTTATTTCAAAGTAGCTAGAAAAGCGATTAAATGCTATCTTCGGCCTTCTTAATGGAATGCCTTTTTTGTTCCTGGAACAAACTTTTTAGGAAATTCGAGATAATCATTTAAACACTTTTCATCCCATACAACAATCTTTTCCTTCATGGTTTCTGTAAAATTAAAACCTAAGACAGCTAAAAAAATTAAACTAATTACGTATTAATAATTGATAATATTATATTTAAAAGACATCAAAATTTTTGGAATATTTTTAATATTATAATATTATTGAATTTATTTTTAACATATTTTATATCAATGATTTTGTAATAGTTTCCTGTGCACGTTGCTTCCGCCATTTCTTAAAATCCACAAAGATAAATTGTAGACCCCAAGGTATAATCAACGCATTATGGAATACTAGTTGACAGACTTGATACATATAGAAGCTACCAGTCCAATCCTTAATAAGTCCTATGATTATGCATGCATAATTATATTATATATCGACATTGATATGACCTATTTTTCTTCTTACCTGCGATAGTGCCGAAAACTATCGAAAATAAGCCACCAATAATTCCAGAAATGCCGTAAGCTGAGGCAAATTTGTCTGTGTTGATGTCTTCAATAATGACTAGAAACTGTAGAACAAACCACGAACGCACTAAACCGATTAACGCGATCATAATGCGTGCGCCCATAAGAGTATCCATGTGTAATAAAAAACCTAGAAATTATAATTTTTTCTATAATTCTTTATTTTAGAAATTGAAAATTTTCTACAAATCTATTTGTTATATTTGCTTAATCATGCGGTAAGATATTTACCTAGTCTTGGGAAATTCATGACAATCGTAATTGCGAAAAATAGGTATTTCGCTTTTATGTCCACTATCAATGTAAAAACTGTTAGTAACATTTTTGATGCCACCTCAACTATTGTACTAATCGTAAGGGTTAGCGTGATGTCATCTTTAGTGTATCCCGCATCGCCCATTATAAGAGGAATACAAAAGAAAAAGGCATTATCGATGCTGCATACCAAACAGACGCCAGAACATAAGATGAGAAAATCGCAATTCTTTATTAATGACATATCCAACAGTTCTCCCAAAATAACTTTGTACCTTTAATCAATACAAAATAATAATATAAAATAATAATACGTATATAAAAACATTATTTATATATGAATTTATAATTTAAAATAATTAATATAAAATAAATTATATATTACTTATATATAATTAATTAAATTATATATAAATATATATAATTTAAAATGCATTAGTCACACACATATATATCACATATATATCACATATTAATCAATCCTAAATTTTTAAAACATATTGAATATTTAATTATACGAATAATTGCGAGAATTATGCTCACTTTATTCCCTTTTGTTTCTCCTCGATGTCTTGCTTCTCATGCTCCTTTTGCTCTTGAATTTCCTTATTCATTTGTTCTTCCCAGCTTTTCTTTTCCAAATATTGTTGACGTATATCACTTAATGCACCAACGCTAATCGTCACATTGACCAAGCTGGATGCCGATGGATCTGACACACGTCTCGCTAAACTTTCTCGCATAGATACTGACTTCTCCCTTTCGCGAATTTCACCCTCGATTTCGAAGTTTGAAGCTACTCTTTGCGCAGAAGGCTAATTTATATAATTGATGTATGCGTAAATTAAAAAATACAATATTGTTTAAAAAAGTTGCTAACTAAATGACAGAAGAACATCAGTGGCCATTGAATTTTATGTTACCTTAAGCGTTTTGTTTAATAAGGGCATCTCTGCGTCACATTCTTCTTTAAGACTATGAAGACTGTTCCATTTAGTCTTTGAAGATGTGTGGATAACATCGATGGTTGATCGACGATTCGACAATGCCAGTTCTTGAAATCTATATTGTTTTATGCGAGCCTTTTCAGCACGAACGTCATCCAGCTTTTTGACGTGCCATTCCGTAGGATGCATCAATAACATGCCAACGATACTATTAAGACTTATTGCACCCATAATTGCTATGGTACCTAATATAAATCACGAGAAACAATTAATTGTAATTTTTGAATTTTTCTATGTTCACTACAGTCTTACCGCGAAAACCATACAATGTCATCATCTTTACGACTGATGTAAAATAAATGATTCCACCTAACCCAATAATGGCATACACCCCCGTGCATCTCACCTAAAAAAGTAAAAGACAACTTTGGAAAATTAAAAACTTTTAAATAGATTCTCTCGAACATAATGATTGCCTTACTTTCATTCTTTTTTTTACAAAATACGTATTGAGAATCGTATTGCAAACCGTAATAATTAGACCCAGTCCAAAACCTTGAAACAAGAAAAGAAATGCTAAATCGTACATATTTCTGATAAACGCCAACAAAATGGTTGATACTGAGAAGCAGAGCGCTCCTAAAATTCCGACCGGTCTTGTAGAATATCTTTTCAATAAGATATTAGTCAGCAAACCTGTAAAGAATATTTTATAGAATTTATGAAAAGAAGTGAAACAAAAAGATATCATTAAAAAAATCACAAAAAATATAATAAGATTATGAGAACAAAATGTAATCTCTTAAAAATGTATACTAAAAATTTAAAAAACAAAATTTCTTAAATTTAAATTTTATTTTAAATTTTATATAAATAATACGATATGGCTATAATAATTTTATTAATTATAAATTTATCTTTCCTTTTCTCGTCAATTATATCATATTTGGAAACAAAAATACATTTAAAAATTCAATTTAAACCATCTACTTAATTCCTCGCTCACTTAATCTCGATTTAATTTATAACGAAGATGTTATCTTTAAACTTATTTACAAATAAGAAAATTTTTAGATGTCTATACACAGGTGCAAACTTGTTCAAAAATGAAATTTTGAGAAAAATAAGATTAAACAAAATGTCTATTTTTTATCGCTCAATTTTTTATTTAAAAATGTATTTATTAAATTTATATCAAATTTAATAATTTTATAAATAATTTATATCTTTTTCAAGTTTGTTAAATAAAAAGGCGTTTACTTCCAATAGAACAACCACTTATAAATAAGGAAGTAGAAAGGTTTGATGTCATGCCGTCCCGTCCGGAAGCTTCAAAGAAATCGCTAAAGATGATGCCAAATGACTGTGTTTGACTTATCGTAGTCATCTAAAATAACGAAAATTATCATTTAAATATACCTCTATAAAATTGTTTATCTTTGTGTTAAAAAAATCTTGAAAAAATATCTGTGTAGCTAAAAGTCACATTATTTGCAGATAAACATTTATCTAAAAAATTTTGTTAAGTACTATTATGTTTGTCATATTATTATACTAACAGAAATGAATATCATTGCCAATACAATGATCCATCCTCGACCGTTGTCTGGTGCCAGATCTTTCAAAGTAATTTCATCATCTTTTTTTATCAGTTCATCGATCTTTCTAGGTGTGTTCTTCTTTTTATTTCCGATTACATTATCAATTGTAGGTACACTTATCGTGTTATTCGTTTTTGTCACTGTCATGCTACGTTTCCTTTCAATCTTAAAATGATAAGTTTGAAACCGTTAGTGCACTAATTAATTGCTTTTCTAATTTATTCGAATATATTCAAGAATGTCATACTTTTTTTTTGAGAAGAATTTAAATCCAAAGATATCTAAAAGATATAGAAGATATTAATAAAAAGTAAGTATAAAAATAAAATTTTAGCGTTCTCTTTTAATTCCTGATACACGATCTTGAAATATAATAATTTTCATATTTATTTGTATCAACTTTTCATTAGATTCTACTTGTTTGTTTTTTCTTTTTTATTTAAATTTATTCGTTTGTGGAAGGCTTGATGAGATTAGTCGCGTTTTTAAAAATGTAGGTCTTAATGTTGTCTATAATGTATCTAAAAAACTGAATGCATTGATTAAACGTGGAAAAGATAGACTGCCTATTAATAGCATGACTGAAGTCGTTTATAAATTAGACTGTAAAAATTGTAATACGTCATATATTGGCCAAAAGAAAAGATTTAGGCACTCGTCTCAAGGAACATTTTAACAACATTAAATTGCACGAAAGCAATCTTTCTGTTATTAGCAAACATAAATTGGAATTTAATTATGATTTTGATTGGTCATTACCGGTTATTTTACACAATGAAAGATGTGAGAAAGAGAGAAATTGCTGAAATGTTTTTTATAAAAAAGTTTGATAACACTATTAACTTACAAAAGGACACTAAGAGTTTAAACAATATTTATGATAGACTAATGAAGACTGTTTAGTCTTTCTTTTTGTGTTTGATCGAGAGGTTGACATAACTGAATCCTGACATAGTGATTTCCTTTTTTCTCACAATATATTGGTTAATTAAGACATTGTATGTACATAATTTTTTTCTCCTTTCACGTGTTCACTTTTTATTGTAATTTAATTACTGTTTATAATATTGAAAATTATTGTAGTTCACTTGATAAGGACCAAAACCCATAGTCGAATTGTGATACTTTACCAATCAATAAATTGCTAGTGTGATCGATTTAAATTATTTCTTTTCATTCTTTTAAATTTATTCGTTATTATATCATTATTATTACTTTCGTTATTATATCATTGTTATTACTTTTAGATTAGTTACTTTGGAATATTTTAGTTTCGCTAAAAATTTTTTTTTATTTATATTTGCTTGTCAACTGCAAGTATGTTTCAGAATTATTGTTTAATTTCGAATAAACTTTGGAATTTTGAAATAAATGCAATAAGTGCAGTTTGATGAATTTTTAGTCATTTCTACGAATAAACTTGATTATTTATTTCAAATTCGTGTTATACATGGTGACATCAAGTATCATGACTACTTTATTAAATATTTATTATTAAAAATAAAAAATAAAAATTTTTTAAATAAACGCATGAACCAGAAAACGATTTCGCTTTCTTCCTTACATTCTCAAAAAATATTTTTGATTTTAAATTGAAATTAGATTTGGGATATAGATTAGTTTCTTTGAAATGCAGTGGAGAGATATATATGTGGAGCTCCTTTCTGCTCATGCTTTATTTTATAATCAAGTAAAACTATATAAATAGCCCCGAACTTTTCGCTGGAAAGAAAGTTTAAAATAAATAAATTCGATATATTGCACATTTAAATCTCTAAATAAATATTTATCAATAAAAAGTTTAATCATGAGTGCTTAATAATGAAAATTTCTTGAAAATTATTAAGAATCATAATCTTGAATTAAATATACCAAGGTTTTCTTATGATTTTATGACTTATCAAAGTTAATCTTATAACTTTAAGTTATAGAAACTAAATCCCCTTCTCTAACAATGTTATTTTTAAAATATTTTAAATCGTATATCAAGTATATCAAAAAGGAGCGTCACAAAATTCAAAGTTATCTAAGAATGTACCTTAATATAAAAAGTCAAAAGAAAATCATGTTAAAGGAAAAGTGATCAGTGCTTTTAATAATTACACATAAAAATTTCACAAATATCAATGTAATAATCAATGATTGATAATGAGAAATGACAATATAATTATTAAAATTTGTATAAAGCGATCAGGTTATGATAATTACATAATATCTTGAATAATTAGATGTTAATGTAACATATAATTGCAAAATAATATTTTCAGAAAGATATTTTTTTACATAAATGTATTTACATATATTTATGTACATTTTTCTTTGTTTCTTAGCATTCGCTATAATAAAATTCTCTTTTTTACACAATATCATAGTAGTTAAATCAAACAATACTTCTGCTGTTTCGATTGTATCCTGGTTAAAGATAAGATAAAATATTTACCTAATAGAATTTGTCAAGATAAATTAAGACCCCAGTAGTGTCTCGCGCCAAGTTCACGTATGGTAAACGTCATTAATTTTAACACACTTCTACGATAATCGAAGGACTATATTCGACTAACTGGAACAGATTAAAGAAACGAAGATTTCAAAGCATCTTATCTACGCACAAGGGCATTATATTAAACATATAATGGCCTATATAAGCAACGAAACATTATCATTTGTAATCATCAAATTGTGCAAGAGGAAAGCTAAGAATGTGTAAACAATCTAAATTCTCTCTATAAGATGCATCAATTGAATATAATTCTATATAATATAAGCATTATATACAAAATAAAAAACATTATATATATAAATATATTATTATATTTAATTAATTAATTGAAGATAAATAAAAATGATATTACGATAATGTTTTAATAATTAAGCTAGTGGGAATAAACAGGATACAAGTTAACAAAGATTTATAATATAAGATCTTCAAATATCGAAAAATTTCTCACAGTGAAAATAAATTCACAGTGAATATAAATTCTATTTAATTCTTTCACTTTTTAAAAAATATCGCTACATAAATAAGGTAAAGATAATATAAAGATTTTACAGTGAAAAAAAGATAACAAAATGGGCGTATTACTTTTTTGTTTCTAATCTCTCATTAGCTAAAAATGTAAAATAAGAATTTTTATTTATATTTACTTCAGAGAGAACTGTTTTTCCTTTTCTATCAAATTTGATAATACTATGACTTATATACGAATTCATAATACTAATTAAAATTCTTTTCCTCTAATCAAATTGTTTTAGGAGGAATGATTTTAAAAGAAAAAATTTTCGGCTGCCTGAAAAATGTAAGTTTATCGAAAAAACAATAAACATTAATGATTAAAGCTGCATCTAAATATAAGAACAATGCTTTTGATTCTTTTATAGAATTTCTCTTAAACTTTTCTTTAAACTTTGTGCGAATCCACAGTATTAAAGAATATTAAAGAAAAAGGAGCAGAAAAGCATTTATTACCTTTTCTTTATTCAATTATCATGAACAATTCTTTATTCAATTATAATGAACAATTAAATCAGTGCGAGTCATTAATTCATAATAAATTTCTTAATAATGTCTCTCATTTCTCTATTATCTTTTTTTATTATCAATGGAGATAGACTTTTTAATTAACTCTTTTCATCTTATCTGTGGAATCGAAAATTAACATAAATTGTGAATGAAACAAAAAAAAATAAAATTAGACGACTTATTTTTAAACTGACATTATTACGATAATGTTCCGAAGCCAGCAACCACGAATGTATGATATCAATTATTATTGTTACATGCACTTATAATTACATGATCGTATTATAAAAAATTTACAATATACAAATTATGATTTATTATTATATTTATATATTACTTAAAGAACTGAAAATTTTTGAAAACTTGTTTATTACATACTAATCAAAGATACTCACGTATTCTTCATGATTTCGAATTTCATGATGATTACGAAAAGATTTTTATGTTCACTATTGTTACAAAAATTACAATTAAATGTTTGAATTTTATCTCAATTATTTCACTAATTGGAACAGTAATTGTAACAGTCAACGACATCATGTTTAAAAACATTTGCGTCAGAAGCTGCGAGTTTACAACAGAAGCTGATAGCTTAATGCATTAATATTATTGACAAGCGGAAAAAATCACATTTATCTTGAGAATTACTTAATCTTCTGATCACATAATAATCTGTCAATAAATATAAAAGGGAAATGTAAACTTCTTTTGAAAAGAGCTTTGAAAAAATAAAAAAAAACGCACACAAACTTTTTATTGTGCACTTTTTATAAAATGTAATATTTTATTTACAAACCGATTTTAATTAATAGTAAACAATTTAGTACATGAATTTTTTTATTAATTTTGTTAACATTATTTATGTATAATAATAATATTTACATGTATAATAATAATTTAATTTGTTTAATGTTTAATAATTTTTATACAACATTAAACAAATTGTTAAATAGCTAACAAATAAATTTATTCACATATATATATTATTAATTCTTGAGATATCAAATTACATAATTGTTGTTTAATAAAATATCTTTAATATAAAAAATAATTTATAACTTATTGAATTAATTAATCCACAAAAGAGGCAATTATAAATTTCGATATTTTCGAAATTTATTGTTACCTTTTTTTGTATGATGTGTAAATTTTCGAATAGTTCATTTTACATATTTTTTTCAAAACGATTTAATTTTTATCTTTATAGAAATATAATTATAACAATGAGACAAATTATATTCTTTCTATTCTTCCAAACCTGTGCAATGTTTACCATACATACGTTGCATCTTTCGTAGTTATATAAGTTAAGGCGCTATTTGTATTACAAATATATTGATGTAATTTAATCTACTAAATTTATATCTACTTTATTATTTATATTAAAAAATTCAATTGCAATTTATTATAAATTCTCCTTTTCTCTTTTTATCTCTATTAATAAATAAGAATGAAAAAATATATAAATTCAATATTATATATATTTAAATATAATATTACATATAATTAAATATAAATTATCTTCACATTATATCATTTTTTATATACAATATTTACATTACATACATTATATTATTATTTTTATATTATATCATATTGTTATGTAAAATATTACGTAAACTTTATTATAATTATTAACGTGTATTAATAAAAATAATTATTTTTTATAAATCTAACTTATATGTGAATCTAGCTTATTAAAAACGTTTTCAGCAAGCAATACAGAGGACACAGTGTATCACTTTATCCTTGGTGTTTGCCGAATGTAAATAAGGATGAAATGATTTGTTACGTTCCTCTGTGTCGCTTGCTGAAAAACGCCCTAAGTTTATCACCAGTTGAATATTATCTATATATATTATATATATAATACATATTCAGCATGGTCGATAAAACGGTCATCCAATAAAGGTCGGCAGTATTGTGAGACATTCGTATGTGACTAATAGACACGCGCAGTTACATTTACTCGCCAACTATATTAAGTTGTATCTAACCATTTGTGTTGGCAAACTATAAAGTTCTCTGCGTTATTGAGCGTGAAACAAGTGAGCAGTGAGAAATATAGGAAGTAGCACAGGAGATAAAATAATCATACGAAACAATCGCGAATATAAAAAAGAAAATTAAAATTCTACGATTAAAAATGTAAATTTTCTCATTAACATATGTGTTATAACATATTTATATAATATAATTATATCGTGTTAAAAAATAACCGTTACAAAAGATATACCATGTGTGATAAAATAAGTGATAATTATATTATGAAACGATCACACAAACACGAATGTTTGTAATAAAACGAGATTTTATAAAGATACAGATAAAACTTGGTCAAAGATACATTTTATTAAATTTATTACATATACACATAACAATATAATATAATTCACAGAGAAAAAAGTATTAAAAAAATTATAATATAAAATCAAATATTCTTACATAACATGATATATATATAATTTATGTAGCATAATATATATAAATAATTATTTGTAAAAATCAGAATTAAAATAATTGATTTACGAATAATTATATATATATATATATTTAAAATATATATAAAACGTCATTTATTCAATACAAAATTTATTAATGATATTTAAAATAATTCTCTTTTGTCTTATCTTAATATAGATAATATTAAAAGAGATATAGAATATATATATATGTAATATTCTGTATACTTTAAATGTGACGTAAAGATAAGATATATAAGATATTGAGAGAAAATCACATACAAACAAGTTCATGGATTTTTCCATTATTTCAAATATGTGCATGTGTAATAGATATTTTTTTTATTCATTGTGTTCACCGAATTCGATTACAATTGATTATACCTTGCATGTTATGTAAACGAATGTTAATATAATCTTCTTTGTTATTGCATAACATATGCATGCGTATTATGCATAAGATTATTTCTTGCTTCAAACTCGCAAGTTCCTTAATGGATTATACATGTCAGATCTATCAGTTCAAAATTTTCCGTTATAGATTATCTAGTATATTTTTTCATAAGAAGGAGTGGAAACAAATAGTGGAAAAACTAAATTGCTGATATTGTGATGAACGATTAATAACTCAGAAACAAGAGCTCATATATATTTTATTTGATATTGTATTGGTATCTGATTAGTGATATCAGTGAGTGTTATTTGATCAAAAAATATTTATGTAATTTGAAGCAAATAGTTGACAGACAAGATTTCAGTATAGTATTTTGCAACATCAGTATTAATTTGTGCTAAACTACATTAAAAACAAATTTGGAAAATGACAGAAAACATAAGAAGAGATGTTAAGAAATCTCTGGATGGTGGCTGGGGCTGGTTTGTTTGCCTTGGAAGTAGTCTAATTACGGTAAATTATAGCAGAGTTACTGTTATAATGTTAAAGTCATTTATTTATGTTTTAATAAAAGTATATTATAAAAAGAAAAAAAAATAAATATAATAATTGATAAAATCTTTATATTATTAAAAAAATAAGAATATGCAATTTGGTGATAAAAAGATTATTTTTGAAATATTCTCTTATAAAATAAGATCTCTCGTAATAATTATTATTAGAAAACTTATAAAAAATTGTTTTAAAAACCTGGTAAAAAACTTTTTCTATTTTTATTTTGCTACTTTTATTATATATTGCACAAATTAATAAATTGTTGATATTATTTCATTCAAAATTTTCTTTGTCTTATCTTAATATATAATGCGTAAAATTGTAGCTTTCTTTGCGTTCTTTGGATCCATCTTTTGGGCTACTTTTTCAAGATCTACTAGAGGACCTTAATGTAGATTCTACAGGAACGTCAATTATAATGAGCGTTCTAGATGCTATTGTTAATTTTTCAGGTAAATGCGACTTTTTCTCAATATCTGATCACATATGATTACTTTAAGAATTCTTTCTTCTTTTTTAAACATTTAAAAAATTTAAAAATTTAGAAAGGAGAGACTTTATTTGTCTATCGAAACTTAATATAATATAAATTTATAGGTTTTCTAGTTGGACCATTATTAAAAAAATTTTCTTATCGACAAGTTGCATTGCTTGGATCTCTACTCAGTTGCAGTGGTTTAATACTTGCATCAAGAGCTAATAGTATGCTTTATATTATTTGCACCTACAGCATCTTAGGAGGTATAAAATAATTATTATAAATATATAGTTTTGCAGTTTCTCTTATTAATAATGACATATTAAATAATATTTCCGCACTTGTATTTTCTATAATTATTATTTATTTTAGGCCTGGGTACTGGCCTTGCGATGGCTTGTTCCTTCGTCGCGCTGAATACATTTTTCGACAAAAAGCGTGGCCAAGCCGTCGGGTTTTCCATGGCAGGAACTGCATTGGGAATGATGCTCGTGCCAATGGTAAAAAATATATTTGAAAAAGAAAAATAAATCTCTCTTACAAAGTTAATAATACATTTTACAGCTAATACACGTATTGTTGGATTTATATGGATTTCGTGGCACAACACTTATCATGGGAGGATGGGCGTTGCATTCTGTAGTGGGGTCATGTTTATTACGTCCACTTAAAGAACAATCATTACCAGTGTCAATCGAAGTAATTACACCAATCTAAAAAATATTAAGTGATTTTTAAGCGATATATATATACTTGCCAAATAACTTATAAATAATTTATCTAATATTTTTTTATGTTAATTATTATCTAATTTTATTAATTATTCATTATGTTAATTGTAATATATTAATAATATTATGTTAAACATTTCTAATATTTTTATATATTATTATATATTATCTAATATTTTTATATATTATTATATATAATATTTTTATATAAATATTATATATTTCTAATATTAATATATTTAATATTTTTTTATGTTAATTACTGAGAAAAAAAATTAAAAATATATTTATGCATACATATATAAACAATAATACTAATATCATAGAAAGTAATATGTATAATAGAATACGTATAAAATTCTTCAGAAAACGCCTGATAAAGAACAAGAAAACGTAGCCTTATTGATGAAAACGAATTCTACTGGACGGAGGATGTCGAACGGATCAATTTGGACCAAAGATCAAAAGATGGAAGATGAATCAAAACTCTCATCTAAAAATGAATCTTTCATACAAAAGATAAAAGCAACCTTTGATTTAGATCTTCTCAAGAATCCCACGTACTTAAACGTCTCTCTAGGTTGCAGTCTTTACTACGTAACCGAATCGAATTTTAAATTAATGATGCCCTTCTTTCTCTCGGATATCGGTGAGTGCATTTTAATTTTAAATCAGTATATCAAGGAAGCAAAAGATGTCTATTCCATTCATGAATGTAATATTTATATCTTATAAACACATGGAGATGCTGAAATTACAAATTATTTACATCACATATAAATCTATGTCAATGGCATTGGAGCAATATTGTAGAGAGCTCGATAAACACACGTCAAAAAACATACATCCTCGCTATAGCATTATGCAGAAATTATATAAATTGTTCGTAGGAACTTAATAGGAATGACGAAAGCGGAGGTCGCTTTTTGTCTATCCTTGACTGCATTCCTTGACATCCTCGCTAGGCTATTGTTGCCGACGCTTTTCGATAAGTTTGGCTGGAAGAAGCGTATAATCTTTTGGATCTTCTGTCTCCTCCTTGGAATTTCTCGTTCTGGTAATTCTTTCATTAAATATGTTACTATTAAATTTGAACGTTGCATTGCATTATTTATTATTTATTAAAGAATAATTTAATACAAAGTTGTAAAAAATGAACAAAGAAATATAAAATTTTGTTATTACATAGTATTAGCGGAACAATCGGCAAGGATATCATTGATTATCATGTTCGTGATAGCGGGATTTTTGCGCGGCGCTACATTGGTGAATCTTAATCTCTGCATATCAGAATGTTGTACTTTGAAGAAGCTACCGAGTGCATTTGGAATATATATGGTATTCAAGGGCTTGTGCGTAGTCACTATAAGTCCTTTAATCGGTATGTTAATTCAACATTAAAAATATACAATATTAAAATGTACATTAAATCTTTATCAAAATGACATTAAGCTTTAATTTAATATCTATTTTCTCTTAAAAAGGATATATCAGAGACGTCAGTGATAGTTACAAGATTTGCATCCATATCATGACTGCCATAATACTCGTTACATTTGTTATGTGGAGCATGGAATTTTTATACAATGTCCTTCACAAACGACAACTTGCAATAGTTAAAAAATTACAAATGCAGATTGAATAACGATTAATATAATTAAAATGATTAGTATAATTAAATCATAGTAAATTGTGTGTAATGCAATAACCGTGTTTTTTTAACACGTCTAATGCAAGTAAACAAGCAGTGAGTTTATATTATATTAATCAAATAAAATAATTTTTTAAAATATTTTTTTCTTTTAATTAATAATTCCCATATAATTAATGATTGTCAAACACGATGATCAACCATGAAATATTATAGGCACGCTATTACATTTCTCTTAAAAAAAAGCAATTTTTGTGCATTATTAAATCGAATGTAAAATATGTTTACAATGATTTCATAATTTATACTCCCACGCACTGTTATCATTTTATCAGTTACTACAGTTAATGCTACTTTGTATTTTCGTAAATACGAATTTATTTTTAGCCAAAAGCAATATGTTTTTGTCAGTTGATTATTGTTTTAAAAATAAAATGTTTACTTGCTATTTCTCTTGGAATATTCTAAATTGGTAAAAGAATCTTCAAAAAGGATGATTTGTGTGCGTAAAGATCTAATGTACACAATCAATATTTCTATTCATACATATATTTATTTATCTTAGTGAATTTTTTTTCCTATGAAATTGTGAATTTATTAAAGTGCGATAAAATCCTAATGCTCCATGTGTCCGATGTAACACATGCACGTCCTCACTCGTGTCATTGCACTTATTGCGAGATAATGAAGCGCCAAATGTGTGCAAAGAATTAACTGATAAATAAATGCACTGAGCGTGCATTCGCATTTGTGAACAAAGATACTGTTGTTACCACTTGTTACGAACGATCAGCGTTTGGATGGAGTTGTAGAGCCGGTTTTTATCGTTCACGCTCTTCTTCGAGCCAGTCTCGGAGCGTCTGCTGTTCATGTCAGAACATATGTTTCTGGCTTTCGCGTGTGGAGAACATTCATAATCGCTTTAAGAATGTGAATTTTAAATGTGTGCATTTAAATGGATTAAAAATTAAACGTGCGAGAGTGTTGCTCGTCTGGATCGATGCGATTTTGAAAGATCTTAATTACGTATAATTAGATTATATAATTGTTTAATTATATATTTTTCAACGTTTAATTATATATTTTTTAACGTTAACAACATAAACCTGACGAACATCTTAGTCAGATATCTGCGCTAAACATGCTCTTAATCACCAAGCAAGTAGTTTACGAAAGAAAAATAAGGACGTCTGAATCATTAGCACGGATAAAAAAGTTGAACTGTTCTGGCGAAGAGCAAACAAAAGAAATAAAACACGTTATTACACATAATTATTGTTGCGCCATTTAAATAATGAGTAATCAAACTAACCGTTAAAAACTGTTAAATTTAAGGATATTTTTTGTCCTAAATGTTTTAATTTTTTTATTATAATTATATTATTTAAGTAAAAAAATATACAAGTATAATAGATATAATATATACAAGTATAATAGATATAATATTCAATTAAGAAAAACACGAATATTATTGACAATATATTAAAAATATATTAAAAATTTGAAGCTTGTTAAAAGTTTAAAGAAATATAGGTATAGATAAAATTATTACAAAATTATCAAAGAAATAACATTTAAATGACTTTTTGATTGTTTGTGAAAGTTGCCGCCATCTTTCATCATTATAAGTACGATCGCAGTTTTTAGAATTAATTGAGTTAAATTGAGACGAATTGTCCGTTTTCATTGCTGTTGTAATACCACTTTACTAATCACGTTGAATTAGTGCAATACATATACACGTACATATATATTTAATACATATATATATATATATATATACATATATATATATATATATATATATATATATATTTTTTTTTTATATATAATAAATTTACACATTACTTGATCATATATTTTAATTAATTTACAATATTTTATTGCATTAAGCTTTCGACATCAAAGATATAAATATTTTGTTTTTATTACAATCTATTTCTTAAAGAAATATCAAAATTACAAAAAAAAAAGATAATATGAATATTTTTATAAACTCATTGTAAATATATGTATATAATGCATATATAGTTGGGAGTTAAATTAAGATAAAAGATATATTTTATCTCTCGTAATTTACAGGAAACATCGCAACTTATATCTTATCAGGCAGACAGGAGAGCAGTCGTAAACGTAAATCGTATGTCATCAGAAAATGATTAAGTCTACAGTTTATCGAAAGTGAAGGACAAGTGAGAATTTCTAGGAATCGTATTCTCATGAAGCAGAAGAGTGATCAATATAAAATTGATAAGATGACACATGACAAAACAGACCAAGGCTGGGCATGGGCGATCGTTATCGGCGTGATTGTTATCAATGTAAATCCGTCTTTCTTTTGCAATTGCTAGAAGGAATTTAAAATGATTTAGTTTCTATTGATATAAAATGTTTTCCCACGCGTGCGATCTTTATCTTAATTAAAAATTATTTAAATTTTTTCTTTCCAACAAAAAGTCGCATCTAATAATTTATTTAAAACAGATATTTTATAATTAGATCTTTTAAGGCAATAGCATTCTATTGATATTTATCGTACTTATAACATCTTGTCATTATATTAAAAAAAATTATAAAATTTTAACATTAATTTTTGCAAAAATAAATTATTTTCAGTTAGCCGTGCTACCAATACAACAGTGTTTTGGACTTATCTTCGCGGAGCGGTTCAAAACTCTCGATATCACCGCGACACAGACCACTGTAATTCTGCATCTTAACTCAACGATCATGTGCAGCTTAGGCCTGATAAGTGGGCCAATGATGAAAAGATTTGCCTTTCGTCAAGTGGCATATTTTGGCGGCTTAACAATAACTTCCGGAATCTGCGCCGCTGCGTTTGCCTTTTCTCTTCCGACTCTCATAATATCGTATTGTATTATTATCGGTACTATTATTGTATTATTATTGTATTATTATATATTAAGCAACTTATATTAAATTAACTTATATATTAAATTAACGAGCGACAGAATCCATCCGTGGCAACGCCATTGACGGATATCCTGTGGAGAGAGCACATTTTTCAGCCTAACGAATAATTGCTAACAATATTCGCAGACTAGAAAAATATGTGAGTCGCAAGTGGCTAGATCGGAAATCGAACCCGAATCTTTCGCTTTCCGGGCAACTGCTCTAGATCACTGAGCCACAGACCTCACACCTAATGCTGCTTTTGAACACAGTGATATGCGATTCCAGAATGATGTATTTCACTCAATGGATGCAATGCCGATTGCCATGGAGGATTCCTGAAAGATCGCTCGCTGACCAAATAAATGCAATATTGTTCAACAATATAATTATTGTTCAATAGGAACAATAATGTTATTCGCGAAATTACAATATTACCAAATTACAATATTATCAAAGTTTATATCGACGTTTATATAGTTGGCTATATTATTATAATATGTAATCGAATATTCGCATAATTATTAACAGAATATTAGCCCAACGAATAATTATAATAGAATATTAGCATAATTATTAAACGCATACATTTTTTATAGGTATCGGACAAGGAATCATTTATCCAGCGACAACCTTAGCTCTAAACACGTATTTTCGCAAGAAGCGCAACGTAGCTATGGGTTTTTCGGTTACAATGACCGGTTTGGGTCCAATCTTGATGCCTCTTTTGATAGATGTGCTTCTCGAGAATTATGCCACGACCGGCACTCTTTTGATCCTTGCCGGGATTGCCACACATTCTTTCATCGGTGCATCGTTATTAAAACCACTTGAAAAGCAGAAAGAGGTGAGTTAAAGGTGAGAAAAGTCGCGATTTTGTATTAAAATCAAATTATTTATTTCAATAATATAAAAAATATAGCATGTTTAGAAGATTTTTTCCATTTTTAGCAGATTATTCTGGTAAATAAAACTACTGATATATTGAAGGAAGAAAAGATTTCGAAAAAAATAGAGACTTCATGTGCTGAGAACGAGGCAACTTTACAAGATGATATTGTTCAATGTGGGTTATTAAATAACGAAGATGCGGAAGAGGAAAGGCAATCGAATCATCGTTTGGAAAATAGTAAAACAAAAGTGAATAAAAGTGGAGAAGCTTTGTTTTCCAAAAAAATTGCCACGAATTTGGATCTCGATCTTCTTCATGACAGTTGTTACATAGCCATAATATTAGGTAGATAGATATCGAATTCACAAGAGTTTTTACTAGAACAGAAATTAGAATTTTCAGATACGTGTAATACAGGCACACCCACTTGAAAAATAGGTATGAGTATCTCGTTGGTGGCGGAAACGAATTTCAACGCGATGATACCTTTCGTCCTGGCCGAATTGGCGAGCCTTGATAGAACGTCGATAGCTACTGTGCTATCGATTCAAGCTGTCGCGGATATCGCAGGACGACTTTGTGTGCCACTGTTAGCACAAAAAGCCGGCTGGACGTGCAGGAACCTTTACGTGATATCCCTGCTGGGATCGATTCTTGGAAGGACTAGTAGGTACCGCTACATAAAGTATACGAACACGAGGAATCTCTTCATGAATCCCGACGAGACCGCGCTCTTTGGGGTGGGTTGATAGCTAACCATAATAATAATATAATATAAATTCATACAATCCGAATTATCATTAAAATAATTAATCACAATGCATATATTTATGAATTTATGAATTACAATAACAACGGTTTCCTGTAAAAAATCTAATACATCTTTTATATATTACAACATTTTTCTTTATTTTATTACCTTTTAAAACGTATACTATGACATACTCTGATACGTCTATATTATAATCTTAATAAAATATAATCAAATTATTTATCTATCTTTAATCTATCTTTGCATTCATCAGCGTTTGTACATTTTTTGTAAATTTTTCAACTTTTTTTTTACTCATGTTAGTTTCTTAACAGTTCTATCGACATGGGGTACTTCCTACATCATTGTGATCGGAGTATCCTTGATTGTCGGATTGGCTAAAGGAACCAAGGCTGTCTTCCAAGCTCTAATTCTTCCCGATTACGTACCATTAGAGAGATTGCCGTCTGCATCCGGCATTCAGATGGTCTGCAACGGCATCCTGTCTATTAGCGTGGGACCAATTATTGGTAAAGAAAAATTCTAAATATGCAATAATGATTTATTTGAGTGTTTAATTCAAACTTTAATAGTTAAATAAAGCATTGTTATATTTTAATTACAATTATCTATTTTCAGGTTTAGTACACGATTTAACAGACAGTTACGTAGGTGCACTGTATTTTACATCTCTTCTCAGCCTGTCCTGTGTTTTCTTATGGTCCATAAGTGGACTTTGGACTCCTCGTAAGAATATTTTAAAATTGACTCAACGAAATCCAGAAGAAAATTCTCAAAATGTTTAAAATTAATTTGATAGCGTTTTAGCGATTTAGCATTTCTAATTTCTAATTAAAAAGTTTTAATAAAAATAACATAAAAAATTTATAAATGTAAATTATAAATAATATTATGATATAATTGGAAAAATACAAATCTATTATTTGTATTTTTACATACTAATATAAACATATTGTATAACATTTAATCACAATTTAACTATATGCACAATAATAAAATGCATCTAATAATAAAATTATTTCATTGTATCTTACTAATTGCTTGTAAAAATTTCGTTGCAATATTTTGCAGTTACTAATTTATAAAGTAATTAAAAATGATATAAATAATAAATATAAATATATATTTAATATATTATGCTTCTGTGTAAATTATGTCTTTTCTATGAATTATATTTTATTTGCAATCTTAGATTTTATGTGTTTATATGTGACATTGACATTCCACAAGTTCACCTGATAAATGATCATCAGATCATCTTTTGTACTTTGATAATGTATTGAACGCTTATAGATTGCAATCAGATTAGATTACTCTTAAACTCTTTATCTTAAGTTTTTTTTTTATCTTTCGTGAAAATGTACGTTAACACCAGTGCAACTTTCATTAAAAGACAAGACAGAACACTACGATCCTACTAGAAAAATATATATTGTGATATTTAGCTTTGTGTTACATTTTTTGTGTATCAGTGTTGAATCAATTAAATCTGTAGGTCAATTTTCATAAAAGAAGAAAGATATTAGATCCACAGTTGCTTATAAATTATATAACATTATTGAACGTAGTAGCACTGGAATCTTCCCTGTGTTAGAGATATTGAAATTGTACATATTAGGCACTTGACTGTAAACTTTTAGCGGAAATAATATTATATAATATTAAGTAAGTATAGTACAGAAAAAGTTTATTTACTTATCACAAGTAATAAATAAAATCAATTCTGACATTTACGTTATATTCGCATGACAAATTCCCAAAAGTCAAGTAACGATCGCAGTATCATCCGTGTAGATAAAATCGATGACGAAACTGCAAAATTACAAGTCACGATTATATATAATATTATTATTGCTTTTATTTGCAAAATATGACGTAAATTTAATATATCATTCAATCAAACATATTGTTGTAAAACAATTGTAAGTAATAATAGCAATTGTTAAATAAAACATTCTGTACAACAAATGTGTAACAAATGTGTGATAATTTCATGAATATTAAATATTAAAATAATTAAACATATGTAATATAATATTTATTTTTAATAAAATAAATTTTTAATACTTTTTATGTATAAAACACTTTGTTCACGTAACGCACATATGATATTAAAGCAACTTTTTAGTGCTCTCTGCATGCTCTCTTCCCATAATACTCTTTGGATGATTAATATTATTTTAAAAATTGCTACAAAATTTTGTTCCGGTATAATTTAATTTTACATTAATTTGTAAAATGTCTACAAAAGTACCACCGGATGGAGGATGGGGATGGGTCATCGTTCTGGCTAATGGATTAAATGGCGTAAGTTACCATGTACATTTTATAATGTACCCAGAATGTAATAGAAATATGACAAAAATAATAACACCACAAAAGTATAACATTAGTCAACAAGCAAAAATTGCTCTTCTCTCAAAATCGATATAATATTAATCTTAATAAACACTTCCTAGATGTCAATCGTTCCTGTTCTACAAGTATTTGGATTAATATTCAAAGATTGTTTAGCCGATCTTAATTTGAATGCGACAGATGTATCAATTATAATCAATGTAAATTTGGCATCTGGTATGCTGATGGGCATGATTAATGGAGCTCTTTTGAAGACTTATGGATATAAGAAGGTAGCAATAGCTGGAAGCATATTACATACAGTTGGAATAATGTTGACAGCATTCGCCAATAGCTTTTCTTTCTTTATTATTTGGTACGGAATATTAACATGTAAGTAAAATAGAATTTTTCAACACAAGTACGTTATTATAATAATATCTTTTATATATATCTTTCGCATATATATGCTCAATTTGGACATAAAGAATTATTAAGATAAATTTTAAATTTGAATCATAAATATCAAACTTTTCAAGCTTTTTAAACACATATGCGTCTTTAAAATTATTTCTTGTACTCTTGTAATCTTTATATTCTTTTTACATAGCCATTGGTTTCGGTATGTTGATGTCCGGATTTTCTCTAGCACTTAATATTTACTTCACTAAAAGGCGAGATCGAGCAGTGGGCTTGGCGATAACCATCACTGCACTAGGCCCGATTCTTATGCCTCAAATAGCATCCTTCTTACTTATAATTTATGGTACACAGGTATATATCAAAAATTGTCTTACAAAGACTCAAATATTTTTTTTTATACGTATAATGATATTTTCTTGTATGTATAATGATTATGCCAAATATATATAAAAGAGAATCGATATATAATTGAAAAGTTAATACTGTAGGGCAAAAAGAAATATGTATATTTATGTCGCGCTTTGATAAGGCTTTTCGTTTGTAACTCCATTTGGATTATGAATGAATTATGCCGATCATAAAATATAATGGCAATTGCTTATCGATGTGGGTCGGCATAGACGTCTGTTTATTTTCTCGTATCATCTAACAATTATATCATGTAACCTTGTATGCAAGTAAATTCTGTATCTATTTATAATATAAAGTTATTAATTATTTAGTAAGTATAAAATTATTTAATAATAAATTGTTTAATAAAGTCTATTTTTTTTAATTTATCAAAGTATACAAATTATAATTATTGACAAGTAGATGCAAAACTTGGCAACGTTTAGTATAAATCGCATATTGAAAATAAATGCAGTTTAAAAAATAAAAAGTAAAAAATATTAAACAGGAAACCATGTTGATACTTGGCGCTTATAGTTTTCATTCAATGATAGCCGCACTGTTGCTACAACCGGTTAAATGGCACATGAAAACCGTACCCGTCTGCTTAGAGACAATTCCTGAAAATTCTAAAATATTGAGCGATAAAGAAGGTATTAACTTGCAAATTAAAAATATACTTATACTCGAAATGTATAATAATTTATAATTATTTACTAGATATAACCAATAATGCAGAAAATGAAGCTAATATGCACTCTTCGAGGCTGACTTTGAACAATTATCAGAGAAAAAGGAAACTATCGACTATATCGAGCATTGATCACGATGTCGAAGTTGGAAGCATTTATGGGTTCGATACTTTATCTCGACAAATTTCTATAGACAGAACAAGTATGTAATCCAATAATATGCATATATAATTTAAATTTATTAATTAAATTTAATAAATTAAATTTAATTAATTAAATTTAATTAATTTAAAAGGAGTAACAATTTAATAAATAAAATTTAATAAATTAAATTTAATTAATTTAAAAAGAGTAACAAAACAATACAAATATTATCATATCATATTATTATTATATCATATCATATTATTTTTAGTGTATGATGTAAATTCTGATATCGAAATGAATCAAGAAACGTCTGTGACAAATTTAAATGGTATCTGCAAATGTTCAAAACATTCAATGTGGAATTTAGGTAAATATCACACTGATTAAAACTTTGTGGCTTTTGGAAACATGATAGGCAGCGAATAATACATTCAGATTTGTAACTAGATATGATAAAAGTTTGATATGAAATAGAATACAATTAACAAGAAAAAATAAAATTAATTAACGACATAAAATACGATATGAAAAATCATTATTCATCATTATTATCTGCATTTCTAAAAAAAATACACTTAGTATTTTAGTAAATTTTATATATATTTTTATAGTGAAAAGTATGGAAAGTGTAAATCTCGGTAGTAGCATAAAAATTTTCGATGAACCAGTACCGAAAAAATTGATTTTCATCGATAATAAAGTAAGTAAAAGTAATAGTGTCAACCAGAACATTGTGGAAAGAAATTCGTTGTTAGAAAAAGAGACTGATAACTGTTCAAATGAAAAAAATTGCGATAAAGACAAGTGAGTATAAAAAAATATTTTTTATTTATTATTGTAATATATGTGCATGTGTGTATGAGAATATAATATGAATATTATAAATATTAGAATTTACCTCTTTAAAAGTCATAGCATTCTTAAGACAAATAAAAATTTAAGACAAAATTTGTTAAATCAGCATTCAAAACTAAATATAACTAAATATATAAATATATAAAATATATAACTAAATATATAAAAAACTAAATATATAAAACAATAAGATTATAATTAAATATTTAGAATAATAAATTAAAGAGAATTTTGTGATTCATATAATACAAGAGATCAATATTGGATTTCTTATCTTCAGTTCAGAAGAAAATAATTTAATAATTAGAATTGTATTTATATTTTTTATTAGTAGATTTTAAATTTTTATTCCAAGAATGTTTTAAACTTCAATAAGATATTTTATATATTTTTTTTATTTCCCTTCATTTTATTATAAATATATAAATTACAATATAGATTGTGTAACTCTATCTCACAAAAAACTTAATAAAATATATTATTTTGAAATATAACAAATAATGTAATAATTACATTGCAGTCAGAAAGATGAATCCGTTTTCCGTCGAATTTGGCAACGAGTGGCTGATCTTTACGACCTTGATCTTCTGTGTGATCCTATTTACATAAATATTATGTTGGGGATGTCGATAGCCGTTTTCGCGGAGGTGAACTTTTCCATACTGACGCCGTTTATTCTCGCTGATAAAGAAATGACAACTGCACAAATTGCCAACGTTATGAGCGTCATCGCACTAATCGATCTCTTTGGCAGAGGCGCGGCACCGTATCTGGGAGAGTGGTTACATCAGTCAGCTAGGATGATGTATATGCTTAGCCTGTTTCTTCTGGCAATTAGCAGAACCTGTAACGTATATTAATTATTTTCTATTATCAAATTTTAATCTGAAAAAATAAAATATATAAAAGTAAAAAAGTAGAAATTATACAATACATAATAACGATAAATTTTTATTGATTTCTATTTATTTCTGGTACAGTGTTGATTTTTACGAATAGCTTCTCCTCGGTAACAATTGTTGCAATCGGTTTGGGATTGGCCAAAGGAATTCGCACGGTGTATATGACCTTAGTGGTACCTAGCTATGTTCCTCTCCATAAATTAGCCAGCGCTTCAGGGATCCAGATGTTAATTAACGGAATAATTATGCTATGCGCGGGTCCTATACTAGGTACTACTAATTTAAAATTTAACTATTTGTTATCTCATTATTAATTTCTCAGTATGTAATCTTTTTTTATGCATGCATAATTTATATAAAATGTTATATGCTGAGAGAGAAGAAAAAGAAAAAGAGAGGAGGGAAATTTAAATAAATTTTAGATTTAAATAAATCTTAGATTTAAAGAATTAATTTGTTGTAGGTTTGATACGAGATAGTACAGGAAGTTACACAATTTGTATTATATTGATTAATACACTAACTCTTCTTACGATATTTATCTGGACAGTAGAGATACTCGTACAAAGGAGGTCTGCACGGAAGAAATCAAAATTGCCCGAATCTTAAAATATAATGTACAAAATAATTCTATTTTTATAAATAAACAGTTTTTACATACAGTATTTACATTGTGAAATTTTAAAATTAGTAAAGAAACGATTAATAAAAACATGTAATTAATTAAATATAATATTTTTAAAAATTCTTACGTATTTCCCGAATGATGTATTAAATTTCTTCGATTGCAATTAAGGTCGTGTCCTTGTTCGACACCATTTATCATAGAAATGAATCCAATTAGAGCACTAATCCTCCCGAGACGACTAGAGTCTTTAAAGACAGACAACTGCAATAGACAATGGAACATCTTTCCCATTATTTTCCAGCGGGAATTCTCACGTCTTGCGACGTGTGATCTTCCTGAAGAGATCTGAAAAGGAAGTTCGAGGGTCAATGAAATGTAGATAATGTTGCATCAAGCTAGTCAATCTGTTTAACAATGTTGGAGATTCCTATTTTCTCGCGTCAAGTCTTTGTATCAAATGTAACATCTTTTACATGACATGCAAGAATTACGATGTACGTGATATATCCATTAATTTTCTTTTTTAATATGCGACGACTTAAGAAAAGTAAAGCAACTTTTATTTCTCTCTTGCACTAAATTACATCTTTTCTAAATATGAAAAAATAACAATATATGAAATATTTTTGTCAAACGTATAGTACTCGAGTGTTATTTCTTTTATGCTATTTTACTCGAAACGAAAATAAAAAACACGATTTCAAAATTCGCGATATAAAATCCCCTTTCACTACAGTACAATTGAAAGAGACTGACTTGCGTGATATGCATGCAAGTATATCCCGTACAAACGTACATTTAGATGCAGCAATGCTCAAATAGTCGTGACACTTTTTGGCGGAAGTCCAGCTTTACGAAATCGGCGAAAGTGATGATGATCGAACGTGGTTGGCAAATGTATGAAGAACAAATTCAAATAGCCGCAAAACGCGACTGTATTTCAAAACAACCGCACCTGTAATTTTCTAAAATCAAGATGAGAAAGTTTGTGCAATTTTCTGAATAATTTAACTGTAAATATAGTTTAGTATTATATATTGATAACATGTTATCACCAAAATATTATGTTTTGCGTTATGCACAGAGAAAAATATAGAATAATATTTAATACATCGGTTTAATATAACCTGCAAAAATGAAAAATCTTTTCTTAATTTGTTGTAGAATTTAAAATATCTTAATTATACTAATTTACATATATAATATATTACTTTTTTATATACAAATATATCAGAATAATATATCAGATAAATACATATTTATTACATTGCCCATTTTATATTATTCATTATTTATTGTTTTTATATTAAGTCTAAACATCATTTTTTTTTAAGCAAAGCGAGAAAGTTTCTGCATTGGAAAGTATTTAACATGCACGACAGATTCTAAGAAAATCTTTAAACTCACCTTTATTTAGTTACAGAATTGATGAAAGCATTTCAGAAAACGAAAATGTGTTAACTTGAGACCCAATTCGTGTAACACAAATTAACCTGATTGATATATACAAAATGTCTCGTTCTTATATTAGCACTTAATGTGCACATTCTTTTATAAAATTTAATTTGAAAATATTTTCTCTTTCTACGGAATAATCAATTTTTTTATCATTAATAGCTTTATTAATAATAAAACAACTAAATATACGAGAGTTTTTTCATATAAAAATTCAAATAATAAAATCAAGTAGACTTTATTTTCAGGGAATTTGAATTTAAGATTGAGTTATATAAAAACATGTAATATTAAAGACAAGCAAATCACAAAAAAATGACGATTTTTCTTGACATTTTTGTAGAAGAAAACTTGACTTCAAGAATATATTATAAAATAATCCAATATCAAATTTCTAAAAATACAAAATTTTAATATAAAAAAGATTATAACATATTTTTTATTTTTTATCTTAATCCAAATAACGCAAGTATGATTGAACTGTTAAAAAACAGCAGAATTCTCTTGTGAAAGAGATAATTATCAAAATGAAAATTATTAAATCTATATACATATATATATATACATAAATATATATATATATATATATATAGCTTATTTACAATTATATAAATTAGCTATATGAAATATTGATTTCCAAACAAAAGTTGTGATGACAACTTAGTGCAAATGCCATGCTGTCACAGTTTCTCCTATTTCTTGTTTTAGACTTATTGAACTACTTATAACTCGTAGAAATACACATGTTCGGATTATAAAATACATTTATCCGGTACACTGGCCACAATAATCACTTATGCACATACGTAGACTCAAAATAGTGAGTGAGTGAAAGAGAGAGAGAGAGAGAGAGAGAGAGAGAAAGAGAGAGAGGATTTACATTACGATTTGCATTAAATCTTATCAAGTAAGAAGTTTGTTGAAATGCAATCACGAAGAATTCTATAATAAAATAACTGTTCACAATCACTCATTTTTCACTAAATATTATCAATATTGTCTGCACATGCACAAATAATCTTTTTGAGCATTTTTCACAATTAATTCGTTATCGCCTGGCACGTGAGACCTATAAAATAAAAAAAAATTAAATTATTTTAAAACGTTTTACTGATCACAGTAAAAATTAAAGTATATATAATATCTCAACGATCAAAAAATGCAGGAAGATAGAAAATTGAAGAAAAGAGAGCCATAATTCTGTTTTAAAATACTCTTTAAATATAAGAACAATATAATCATAGATTATAATATAAAGTTATACAATATTTAAAATAAATAACTAATAAATAGTATAATAACTAATAAGTAAATAACTTTATAAAATAAAAAATAAATTAAAATAGGCAAATAAAATAATTTAGATAAAGAATATAATTATAAATTAAATATACGATATATAATTGTACATACCTTTGAGTGTCCAGCATACAACACAGGACTTTCAAGAGATTCACTGTCTTCGCTCTCGTGTTCATTCTCATCAAGCGTCGCAAATTCCTCGTGCTCCATAATGCCCCATAAAGGAACGCTCTCAGGACCCGTAGAAGCTACAGCCAAGTTGTTCACAGCCTGAGGTAACACTTGGTAGGCTTTCTCGATTAACTCGAACGTATTGGACTTATTCTTGGTTCTTTTCGTGTCCGTTTCTAAGACTTTCGAATTTCTGTCTGCTTCTTTCATCGCCTTTTCTTTCTTCTTATCGGCAGAATTTGATTTTGGAGTGGTTACGTTATATGGCAGAGGCGTCACCACATAAATACGTTCCTTATTCACCGGAGAAATATCCACGGAGAAGCCCTGCCATATAAGGTCGTCCTTTGTAGATGCGGTAGAAGCTTCAGTAGAACTTTCAGACTTTGAATTTTCAGTCATCTTAAACAGAAGGCAGCGAAAAAAGATAAGGCATTAATTCTTGATATCGATATGTTCATGAAATTTTAATCAATTACTTTTACTCGCTGTCCTTCCACATGCTCACTGGCCGAACCTTTGTAATCTAGATCATTGAAACTGAATCCGGCCAAAGTAAATGTTTTAACATTATCGTTGTAAGGACCAATTGCAGAATTAACAGATTCGGTGGTTGTCAGGTACTTATCAGGAATCTGTTTTGAAGGGAAAAGATACGGATTGACCGAACTAGATGATATTGTACTAGCAGTAGTACCCTTCGAATATTCCTAAATTGAACATAAAAAAGGATATTTATCACTATTCTATTATATGTATGCTAGGATTATCATTATAATTTATTATATTAATAATATTTGATATTGTCGAAAGAGTCTATCATCAAAATTACTTTTGCAATCTAAAATAAAATCCACCAGTTTATTCGCCCTACAGGATTTAAAAAATTGTACCTATTATTTTATCTTATCGATTCATAGAAATATTCATTAAAATAGTATGATATTTACCTGTATCGTCCAATTATCAATATTCTTTTGCAATTTATGTACGTCTATGGAGTTATTTACTTTAATACCGACTGGTTTCCTAATAATATTTCCCAATAATGTCGAAATATTCCAAATATACGAAGAGTTCGGAAGGCTAACTTTAACATTGCGTCTTGATTCCTCGATAAAATAGTCGTGATTGGACTCCCTCGTAAAATTCAGAGCCTTTCGCTCGTGATGTGAGTCGTGTGATGAATGGAACGGAAGTGGTGTGTATTGTGACGTGTAGGGAATAATAACTTGCACCTAAATTTAATTACAAAGAATTAGATTAATTATTAACAAGATTTTTTCAAGATGTGTTCTTCTATTCAATAATATCACCTGTTTATTCTTCTTCTTGTCGTTTAGTTTCGTTGATGTCTTATTCGCATCTTTCGGTTTAACATTAATATTTTCATTCAATGTTTCCTCCGCATCGTCAAAAATGTTCAATACAGGTTTCGCAGAGGGCCAATACTTTCTGCTCTCTGTATTTCTCGAAGTCGTTGATAAAACGCTCGGCCATAAATACCCAACCTGATCGGATGGCGGAATATAAGAAACATCTTGCCCCCGAAGAATCTTATTATCACGGAGACCTTCATTGGAGTCTTGTGTCGTAGTATCGTTGATCTTCGATTCTTCTGAAGGTGTTACAAACTTGATCGTCTGGAAATGATCCTCAGGAAAGTAAGATTCTGTTGCAGTAATGTCGTGATGTGTTCCATAAACTTCGTCATCATGTGTTAAAGTTGTCCCGGCAGCCTCGGTATTAGTGGAGTCTGTGAACGCGTTAGAGGTCGGCGGTATCGAGGACGAGTCCGTCCGACTTTCATCCTTGTCCGTGAAATCTAGCAACGGTGACTCCTCAAAATGTATTGAATCTTCACTCTTTGCGGAAGATCCATCTGTAACGCGCAAAGGCGCGCGAGAGTCTTCAGCAACGTTAGCGCTGGAGGACAAATCGTTGTATTGGTGCTCGAGATTGCCCGGTATTTGATCGAGACCGGAAATCCCGTAGCTGCCGGAAAGATTTTGATCGATGGAAACATCGGAATTGTCGAACGACGTTTGATGACTTATGGAATCGAATGAACTTTGAGTTGCGGTATTTTCAAATCTTTGCTGGTCTGGTATAAGATCTGAATGACCGTGAGATATCTGAGTGTCGCTAGGAGACAAATCGCCGTGCGCAACATAATTTTGAAGGTTAAAGTAGTCGAGCTCTCCATTGTTCGCGCCAGGATTGATATATTCTTGATGAATAACTCCTCGATCAGAATTTGAAGGATGTGAGTAAACGGATGCTCCACTGTTAAAATTGAATTCTGCACCCGGGAAAGAGCCATTTCCCGTGGACAGAACATTTTCAAAAACAGGTGATGATGATGCTGGTGGGGCGTCAAGATATTCCGAGTTACTATTGGAGACGGCTTCCACAGAATAATTGAAAAGTTCCGCCTTGTAGAGAGGCGGTATTGCTCCAGGATACAGATGTGGATTTGGCAGCGGGTTAATGAAAGATCCTTCTTCACCGGGCAATGGTGGCGCCAAACTAAAATCCGTAGCTCTAACTTCTTGAGAAGCAGCTCTAACTTCTTGAGAAGCGGCATGATAAGCGTCGTGAGGTGTTTCGTGGTTTCTGGGTGGCAGATATCGGCCATCCAATGATGGCGGTGGTGGCGGGGCGAAGGAAGCAGCTCCCGAATGAGAAAATTCACCGTGCTGTATCGGAATCCAGGGTTCTTTGTTGCAAGGATTGCAGTTTTTGGCTTTGTTCGCGGGAGGATATTCCGAATAAGAAGCTGGAGGAGGAGGTGGTTTGTCGTAAGTCGTAGGAGAGGGACCGCCATAGATCTCCGCTGGAGCTGAAGGAGGTACAAACTTCGGCGATACGGAGGATAACTTCGGAGGATACGGAGTTTCCGTATACGGTGGAGGAGGTGGTGGAGGTAACAGTGTTTCTGAAAAAGCGAAGGGATTCAACCAATTCATGAACTGCGAAAAGTATCCTGATCCCTCGGTTGGTGGAGGGGTAACCAACCTTGCGACTCTACCAGGTGGATGAAGTCTCGGCGGTGGTGGTGGAACAAGATATTCGCTCAAATTGATTCTGCGAATGCGTCGAATGTTGTTAGGGCCACCCCGGCCATTCCTGATGATAGAGGCCGCGCTGATTGCGCAAATCACTAGCAGTAAGAATGGCAAGGCCTGGAATATCAAATTAATGCTTCACAACAAGAGGACCAAGAGGGATTTATTAAAAATAGTAATTTTATTTAAAATAAAAAATAATATTGTGTAAAAAAAGAGAGAAAGAATCTGCAAATTATTCGCATATATTTTGCTATAACTAATTTTAGAAACAATCGTTTAGTTGTTAAAATCGATACATAAGTATTGCTTTTCTCTTTATTCTTTTCTCGATATTCTAGATATTATTTGACCGACGAATGGCTTTTATGTATTATATTATTATATACACTTTCCGCAACAATCAATGACACGATGGTGGAATAAACGTGCGATAGAATAAACCAGGTCGCATCATGGGAATCGTTCTACCGAGAATTATGTATGCCGTGCTCGAAACTCGTCTTCTCCCTTGTTATTTTAGAATGGAGTCCTCGTTGGACTTGGTTTCCCTCTCTTTAGTCCTGGATGCAGCTGATTACCCCGTTTTACGCTTGCTACATGTAATTCATACAAGAAACGAACAGCATTACTGCGCCACAAAAATCATTACGCGAAACGACTAAGACAATTGGTGGCAGCTGCGTTTGAAATGTTTTTCAAACTGCTGCAAATACATACGCTCGTCAATAATTTTCAATAATTTTTCACACTTGTTTAGCGTTATTAGATTTTGCCCGACGTACCTGGTTAATTTCAAAATTGGCTTTCTAAGTGAGTGAAAAGCACTCGTAAATGTCGTTCGAGATTCCGAGGCTCTTCGACCTATTTAACCGACATAGAACCTGGCAATCATCGTTTTCTTGAGGAGATTCTAAGCCAGCCAGTCATTACCGATGGCACAAGAGGTCATAAGGCATATAGAATGCAATGTGAGGTCGAGAATGTGCCACGGATTCAATTCCGTAGAATTGCTTCATATGAGTTTCTTTCGTCTATTCACTTACTCGGTTATATGTGTATGAAATTATTATCTAATGTGTACGTCAATAATTACAGACAAGATATTTCCAATATATTTTTAAATATAATTTTAAATATAAATTTAATCAGTTTTTTTAGAAATAATTATAATTATTTATCGTAATGGATTTATTTCGAAACACTATAGCTTCTGGAATATTGGTGTTCTGATGAATTACTCCTTTAATTAAATCCTTAAAGTCTAATCAGAAATTGCTCATAAGCATAATTAAAAAAATGTTATACAATTATTTCAACGAAATAAAGAATGTAGGACTAAAACGCTACAAAAATAATAATATGAATGATAATATAAATGATAAAGTTCGATGTGCGCGAATTATTCTCTCTCGGGAATAGCAATAAGTGGAGAATTGGTGCAAGGAAACCTTTGTCGCGGAAGACCGCGAGGAAAACGAATGAAATGTCGAAGAAAGGCCGGGAATATGTCGCGATTCGCAGCACCCACTAGCACAGTGCTGAGATTCTCTCACGTGAATTAAATGCAGGAGCTCCACGTGCTAGTTCTTCCCGAGTCCGCGCTTCTTGTGAGAGAGAACGAGAGTAGTCGCGGATGACCGTGTTTGTTCCCGCGAACCGGAAGCCGCATAGGAAAGTGAAAAAACGAAAAAAAGGGAGGCACACACGCGCCTCTAATAACGCGTTACGATGCAGACGAGCGTTATGCAAATTACTTCCGACGAGAGCGCATCTTCTGTCTGTAACACGTTATTCGCGATGTATCGCGTAGATGGTTGCGTTTACAGGTGTTCGACGTAAAATGACTGCTAAATTGATGACTGTAACATTCAAATCAAAATTATTATACACTTCTCGTGAAGAACGAGAAACTTTATGCAATAAAAAAAATGTTCTTCAAAGTTTGCTGTATATCGACGTGATTAGATATTTTTTATTTAATTCATAAATCTTCTGTACATCTATTCGTTTCTTTATGTATGTTTTTTTAATATAATAGTGTAGGTCTAGCAGAGTGAAATGATGTTGTGCTGTTTTCTAGGAGAATCGTTAATGAGAGAAGTCAGTGGGCTACAGATACCCGGCAGGTATTAATCAAGCATGGATTGAGAATAATAGTGACTCCGCACTCTTAAGTCAAGGATGGAATCAAGGATAGAAGAACAGGTCAAAATCTACTAGGAAGCGGATAGATCCGATTTCTCGGCTAGCGATCGTCGAGAGAACATCTGGAGAGCATCGATTTGGCACACAGGTTCCACGATCGTATCGAACGTACAGCTAATACATCGATTCTTTTCTCCGGCCGTCACGTTTGGTTGTAAGATTATGATTCCATTTGGCTGCTGCATTATATCGATTTTGATCGCAATATTGCGGGGTCTCGACATGATGCGAGATGAGAAAATACGATACGAATGCGTTTGCAGCAGCGTAACTACGACATTGAAAATCAACCATGCATCTTGATGCATCTTATAACTTTCGCTCTCAAAAGTAAGTTCTGGCAAGCTTCTTGGCTAATGGAATTGATGAGACGATAAGATGAAAAATAAATATGCAAATCAAATTAAAATCAAAATAAAATTACATAAAATTACATTAAATTGCGCTTTTGTCAAAAGAATTTAAAAGAATTTCTTTACGTCTCAATTTATTAATTACTTCTGATACAAAAGACAATCGTTTATGTATCAATAAATAAATGTACAAACAAAATTGTCATAATTGTACTTAATTAACGCATAATAACATGGTATTAAAGAATAAATACTACAGATTCTAACAAACGTCGATTTGAAAAAAAAAAAGATGCGAGGATGCAATCGCGTGGAGGTTGCATTCGCGCGCTTTCTCATTAAGAGCGTCTCACGATGCCGCAGAAATTCATTATTGAAACGACCATTTATTAAAATTGATTACGCCACTGCGCTCATGAACCCGTCGCCGATGTCGTGGATGTAGCGACCGCTCACACTCATACGACGAGTAATGTAGGTAAGTGGGCTGTGGGTATTACGAGAGTCGAGACCTACAACGCGAGAGAAGACGATGTAACGCGCTCGTGCGCACCTGTAATCCGTGCGTATACATACATATGCGTAGGTGCGTGTCCCACGTGAGACGAACGTGCACGTTTATCGGGAAATGAATATCAACGTTAATCGAGTCGAACCGTTAATGAGGCCAATAATGAGGCTGCGCTCTCTCTCTCTCTCTCTCTCTCCCTCTCTCTCTCTCTCTCTCTCTCTCTCTCTCTCTCTCTCTCTCTCTCTCTCTTTCTCTCTCTCTCTCTCTCTCTCTCTCTCTCTCTCTCTCTCTCTCTCTCTCTCTCTCTCTCTCTCTCTCTCTCTCTCTCTTGCTTGGAATAACGTCGCCCAAAATGAAACCGTCATCACGTTTATGAGAAATCCTCACCAGGTATCTCCGTGAAATCGAGATCGTTTCATCGACGAGATCGATATTCGAAGGCTGAAACTTTCGATGTTGTCCGAGGACCTCGTCGCGCTCATCTGCGCGAACTTTCTTTAGCACAGCACGATTACGCAGTTAAATTACTTTATGAAGAAAATACGTACATAAGAAGATTTATGTACCTCTAGAATATCTCAGAGTACGTTTTTCCTGCGAAATAATTTTTAAACTAATATATATACAACGCGCAACAAGACTAAAAAGATAAAGATATTGTGCTGTCACTTTTCAAGACAGAGTTTAACTTCTCTTTAAGCCACGTCCCGTGGGAATAGTCGAGAGAAAATCGGAAGACGTCGGCGATCTTGTGGAAAAGACGAGCCCTAACGGTTCTTCAACGGCGCGGAAGACAATTACAAGAGCGTCGAGACAGAGAGAGTTAACTATCGTATTTACATCGCGAGCTCTGCTCCAGTTCGACGAGTGTCGGTAGAATATGACATTTGCATCTTTTCGTCTCTCATATGATTTTATAAAAAAACGGAAATAACTTAATGTTTTATTATAATTAATTAAAATTATCAATTTGGAGAAAAAAATATTATTTCCAATAAATTATCGTCTTGTTTGCAAAATAGACTGTAAATATATCTCAGTTTATTATCACGCGAACTTTCTTATTTTAGAAAATTTAATTGCATAAATATTTAATAAAAAATACAAAAACCTAACAAATGTATAAGATCACTTTAGAAAATTATTGGCAACAAAAGAATGTGACCAACAAACGAAAGAAGACTTCACCTTTCTTTTGTCAATGCAAAGATTTCTGTTAGTCTTGACTTATTTGCCATGCTCATTTAAACGATTTGTGAAGTAAATATTACAATATCCGCGGTACACCTATCTCGATTTTTAATATTGACAGACAGTAACAAATTTTTCACATGCAAATAAAATACCAAACAACTGGAATGTTATGCATAATTGAAATATAAAAATAGTTTCGTATTTGCTTAGATGTCGCATAAATCGTAAAAATCAATAATAAGACACTTTGCTAAAGTTGCATCAACAAAATACATGCAAATGAAAAGTAAGTTTAAATTCTTTCCTTAAGGGATCTCTTGTTTAAGCTAAAATTTATCCGATAAGAAATAATGCTTTGTTTACATTTTCCGCTAATTTTGAAATAATAATTTTATATAATTATATTTAATAAATATATATATCTCACACGTAATCACGAAATAATCACATTTCCGTACACGTTTTTGGAAATCGAGACTAGATAAAACGGACAAACGGAAAGCGACAGATTTAGGTCGTCCAAAAGAGTTTCCCTCTTCGATTGGCGCTGTGCCAAACAGCTTGATCGTTCGCCTCGAAAGCGGCATACGTCTTCGTCGTGCGGCGTACGTCTCCGACGCGCACAATTCGCAGTGTGCATAAATCAGCCGTGACTCTCGAGACACAACACTGGCCGTGCATTAACATACTACTTCGCTCTCCTGATTAATTATAGAACGTGACTCTCTGAGATGATTTCCGCCGATTTATGAAATCGAATTAATTCGCCTAAAGAAATCAATTTCGATTAGGATTAGAGAAAACCTGTGACCAATGCCAATTATTTATAATAAGTAAAATTTATTTACAATGTACGCAGAATTTTTTCCCGCTTTCCTACTGCATTATTGCTCGACAATAAATATTTTGTATCTACATATTTTAAAAATAATTTTTTATTGTTTTTTTTATAATTTTTCGTATCTTCCGACAAAAATATTCGTATTATAAATCCCAACATAAATCAATTATACGGAATATATGCGCGAATATTAGAGCTAAAATCGGTGAAACAATATTTGAAATAAATGCAGAGTCCGCATTTATTTTTCATCCATATGCAATATTAATTATACTCGAAAGCGGTACACGGTCTTTTCTATATCGTCAAAGCTCCCATGACTCTCGGTATATTATAATCGTGCAATCTACACGATTCGCCTCGTTATCGATATCGCATAGTAGACTTATGACACATATTAAAATAATCCATCATTAAATTGCTACACTAAAGTGACCTAGAAACGTGAACAGTAATTTGCATTTTAGTCAAAAATTATATTTTATAGCACTAAAAAATTTAATGCTACAAATAATATGTCTTATAACGAATATTCTACATATTACTAGTCCTAAAATTGCACTGCAGAACATTTTTATTATATAAAATAAAAGTATCAGACTATTTAAAAATTTTTAAGATTTGATACAATTCATTTTTTAACTAATAATAATAAATGCAAGCGAATTAATGATTCATAACAATTTGCAGCTAATTATTTAAATTTGATCTAACAACAATATCAACTCAACAAATGCTTATTGAACACCGGCAATAATTTTAATGATTTTTTAGCGATAGTATTACTCACTCTTCGAGCATCCATTTCTCCCACAGTCAGGAACTTCTTGTCAAGAACATGTCACAGTTTGCACGTAAAACCAAAATCACACTCTTCGTCCTGAATCTTTTTCTTGAGAGCAAATCGGATCCTTAACTCTCAATCTTATGACATTGTCACGACGTGTAATACGCGACCGACAGACACGGTAACTCGATTCTGTTCCTCGTCGCGAGAAGGTGAAGGTTGAAGTGGAAGGACGCAGGACCCTGAAATGCGGCACGACCACGCGTGGGAAGGGAGATGGCAAAAAATGAAAAGGAAGGATGCGCTCTTGATCAGGGTCAAAGAGAGAGTCCATTGAAGCTTCTTCGGTCCAAGTCACTTATATACATTTGCGCTTCTCTCCTTCCTACCTGACACCTCTCTCTCCTTCCCACCTTGCACCTTTCCCTTGCTCCAAAAGGATCCTTCCGTACGCAACCAATCCCTTTTTCTTTCTGTCAGGCCACAACTGCATCTACGGAAAAGCGAAGAATTTTTCGACCTGCAGGATTTTCCTATTTCTGACAAAATTCCCTCGATTATGCTCATAATAAGTATTGAAGACCTGGAATCGGAGATCCTGGAGTCGAGTTGGAATGTCAAAACCATGATTTCTTTATTGGAATAATAATAACTGGTTTCAGTTTTATATAATGTGTAATATTTTCTGACATATAACAAAAAATATATATTATTAACTTTTTGATATATGTTTAATATAAAAAAATGTAATATATTAAATTACATATTGCAAATAATTATAGAGATTAGAGACTACTAACAAGATGTAAAATAAATAAATGTTTGATATGAGAAAATGAAATACGTAGAATGATGACTTATTTTTATCCGATGATTTCATAGAGGATATGCACATAATCGACATATAAAGCGAACACGTATAGAAACGTGCAATATAATAACGCCAGGACGTTAAACCCAATGCGCGACTTTCTCGCCGCTTTCTGGCGATTTTGTATTCCGTAGATTCACCCTCGATTTCCTCGTTGTAAGGCCATCGCGTTAAAAACGGCGCATTCTAAATCGTCCAACGTTTCACCTGAAAAGAAGCGTCGGGGATGTCCCAGTATTGTCTTGATTTTAAATGACATTGGACACACAATGTTATATTTCAATTGCATCGCATTAATGTGACTGTATTAATTTATAATCGAGAAGAGAAAGAAAGGAAAAGGAGAGAGATACATAATATATGATATAGTAAATAAATTATTATACTTAATTAGAACATAATAAAATTAAAGTTTAAGTGATAAATAAGAGGGGAAAAATATTGAAGAAAATTAGTCGGAGATCCATCTATAAAATTTAGATTGGAATTTCGAGTACAGGCAAAATTTTATGCGGCAAAATCTATACCAAGGTCTTCTCATTTTATCTGTATACTAAGATTACGTAAATATACTGCTTGATAAACCTGATAAACGAATGACAGTACAATTAAACTATAAATCTCTTTCGTTAGCGACATTATAAATTGAATCTCAGTCGCATCGAATCGACACGACATGACAAAATGATGGAACGTTTATCAATCGTTATCTTTCTGAGTCTTGTGTGCTTCAGCCTGGTCAAAGTCGCTGGGACTCAAAACACGACGAACTCTACCTGCACCGAGATAGGAGCCTTCGAGATCGACGACGGAACATGTAAAAATTATTACATATGCATAGACAACGGCGCGACCCTGGTGCCGGTGATGCTGTCGTGCGCCAGTTCTGCCCTATTCGATCCTAATCAAGGTAGATGCGTGCCCGGAAATACAACTACGTGCCAGCAAACACCACAATACGGTTGCCTTCGCTATGGTAGATTCCCGATACAGGACGCGAGCTGTAAGATGTATTACCTGTGTTATTGGAATGGCAGCGGTTATGCCATGATGAGTAACCTCTCGTGCCCAAACACGCTAGTGTTCAACCCAATGTCGGAGAAGTGCGTACCACCACAGACATATTTATGCTCAGAAACACAAACGTAATCAAATTCCATAAATATATCGCATGAATTTGATTGCAATCTGTGTAAAAGATTTAATGTTGAAAATCGAAAAATCGATGTATCATTATGTAACAATATTATGTAACACTTGTTGAATAATTTAAGTAGAAATAAATAATTGCTGTAAAATAATATTTTTAATTAATTAAAGTAACAAATATGTATGTACTTATCGTACATCAGAGATGAAGAAGGTGGTGAAAAAAAAATTATGTGTGTGTGTAAGATATGTAAGAAATATTACACGGAATAATAATACATTTAACGCGAAAAGGAGATCAAGGTGAATATGCGGCGCGTGATATAATTATCTATAATTACAAATCACAAACATATTTGCGGCATAAAAAGATTGTTATAGACTGATGGAAAAAATGACAAATGAACTTTTGACTATCAAATGCTTAACAGGCATACTTATCACCTGCAGTATTATTTTCAACTTAATGGAAACGATAAAAGTACGTAACAATTCCTCGTTAGTACAATCCATTATAGGCGCGATTCGGTCAATGCGATTGTGCAATTGTTGTTCGCGATTAATTATTTCCGACCGCGTTATAAACGTGCACGCTATAATCATTCGTGCGATAATCAGGTGCGCTTAATAGTTTAAAGATTATTAAACGTTGTAAATATTTGCTTCTTCCACACTACGAAAAAGTCAGATAAATTGATTAATTAAATTCATATATTGTTAAAAAAAGGGAATCGTTGAAAATTATATCGATAAAAATACGTGAAAAAAATACATAAATGTATAAATAAGTAGAATAATATTCTTATTAATTTCTGTATCAATAATTACATTTTTCTTTTTTTATAATCTTAATTACATATTATATTTTTTTATAAATTTGTGTAGGTACATTTGTCGTAAATAAAAAGCATATAATTTCATCTGCCGCGTTTTGAAAGTCGAATGTAGATTACAAAACCTTTATAAATTTATATGATTAAATTAATAAGGATCATTGAAATTTATATACACACAATATAATTTCAATCTTTTTGAAATTACCTTTTATGTGATATTAGATTTGCTAAAGCAGAAAAATAAAACTTGAACTTGCCAAATATCTAATCTATTCAAGAGAAGATTTTGTACAGTGTGACTTCGGTGAAACTTCTAAGATTGCCACCCATCGGCGCCTCTCTGATCCTTTCGTTTGACCAATATCCGACCTCCTCTTCAACCGCTCGTCTTATCCTCGAGTGAATCCTGTCATCCTTGCGATCTGCTATGATACCTGGCAGATTTGTTTGGTCTGTCTTGTTAGTATTGACGAAAGTCAGGTTATTTTGTGTAAATTCCGATACCACGTGTTGCAACCCGACCGAAACATCTTCTTGTATCCCTGGTAATGTCTGTCGCACGACTTCTATCTTTGTCTCGTTGCCGATGTTTTCTTTTATCGAAGGCACTGTGTTTAAAATTATCTCTGTAGTTGTATCGTTTCCATTTTCTGTACGTACAGTGTCGCTCGTCTCCTCTTCAGGATTGTTTGTCGTTGTAGAAAGCTCTATGCTCTCCTGCGTCGCATTAACATTCTGATATTCCAAAGTAGTTAAATTAGTATCGTTATCAGTATCTCTTAAAAATACAGCTACACTGTCATTTTCTTCTTTAGCTATATTTCTTTCATTCTCTATATATACAGCGTTACTCGTCTCATTTTCAATATTTTCATTATTTATCGTCGTGGAAGGATGTATAGCCTCCTTTGTCGAAGGATATTCTGAAGCGTTACAGGGACTAACCGTAATCGACAATTTTTCGGATTCAATAAGATTTCTTCTAACAATATCGAATCCACCTAAATCTTCTATTTTATCATCAAGACTTCTGCGTTTTCGTCTTCGAGACGATACTTCGTTCTCTTGATCGTTGTCTTGATCAAGGATACTGGAATCTTCGGAATACTGGACGTCTTCGTTTTCCTGTTCAGAAGTGGGTTGGTTTGAAATTAAATCTTGACCGGCAGAAGGATTCGTAAATTCCAAATCTTTGTGGTTATCACCAATGGCTTCATTCAATTGCGTAATGTTCGATCTAATGTCGAATCTCTTTGTCAAGCTGTTCAAGCTGGTACAATTTAACAACGCATTCAAAGTTTCTCTGTTGACAGATTCGTTCAAAAATTTCAATTGCTCCAGCAAATCAGAATGACGTTGTGCCGAATTCTCATTGAATGACAAGTGCTTTTCAACCTCGACTAAATTATGCTTCTTCTCTTTTTCATCGATATGTTCCAGAACAACCTTCACTTTCAGAGTTAGTTTGTGATGCGGCATACTTCTTCTTGTCGTACTTCTTCGAGTGACAACGTTATCGATGGTCGTTGAATAGTTCTCAACCTCCTGAGAAGATAAGGTCGCGATAGTTGTGTGAATTTCGATCGTTGATTTGTTAGATAAGTCAATTACAAACGATTGATTTTTTGTTGACGGAAGAATCGTGTTTGATTCTTCGGTTTCCTCCGTCGAACATATCCCTGATTCGCAAGATTTGACGATTTCACTGCCGCATTCAGATTCATTGCAAGATTCCGGACTTCTGACAGATGCGCATTCCTCAGAGTTCTCGCACGAGAAATCAATAATCTCGTTGCTTGTCGTCGATGACGAAGTTGTCTGCTTGATCTCCGTAAACGACTCAGTGATTCCACCTTCAGTGGAAATTGATGGTTCAGTTAGCTTGTTTAAGACACTGCTCAATCTTTCCTTTTCTTTCACAGATTCGGTGAATCTGTACGGTGATTCCGTGATTGTCACACCTTGCGTAGTCTCTTTTGAAGTTATACTTGAAGACGGAACATGGTCTATCGTATTTAATTTTTCGCTCGACAACTCGATAGAAGTAGCCTCTTCTTCGGGTGTCAAATGTTTTTCCTCCTCCTTTTCCGTTTTGCTACTTGTAATACCTATTTCTGGAGTGCTGAAAACGATATTTTCAGGAGTTGTAACAAATAACTCTTCCTCTTCTTCAGAAGAAGATGTTGATGATTCTTTTTCAGTTGAAATCGGTATAAATTCTTCCGTTGTGCCTGATTCGATGGACGCTTCTTTCGAAGATGAAGGCTGTGTAATATTCTTTTGCTTACATAATGGATCTGACGAGTCCTCTTCGCAGCTTAAGATGTCTTTCTTCGTAATAAGTAATGTGGGCAAGATCGTAGTCGTAAATATTTCTGCACTAGGTAATACGGATGGCTGAATCGTGATGCTGGTAGATATATTATCTTCGGTTTCGCCGCCAGTTTCTTTTGATTCAGTGGTCTTCTCTTCGCTTATGATTTCAATACTACTTTTTGAAATGTCATTAGATTTTGTAGTCGCTTCACAAGTGCCGCTTTCGGCATTTTCACAGGATTCAGTAGTAACATCAGTAGGTTTGCTACTCTTTTTATCTTCCGCGGAACTTTCCGTGCAAGGTTCCTCAATTGACTTTATTTTGGGACTAATTTTGATTTCCACTCTTTTCTTCGGGTTTTTCGGATTTTCGCCGTCATTCCACTCTATGACGTTCTTAGTGACCACCGGACCGACTCCACATTTCACCTTTTTATGTTGCCAGACAAGAACATCACCAACATGACTAATTGAAGTGAAATTGACAACCTTGCTGACCTTGGTGTCCTCGTCTATAATCTCGAACAGAGCCGTCTTACCAATCTCACTGTCATCCGCGGTTAATTCACCTTCAAACTTTTTGCATTCGAGATAGTTATCCGGTATAGTTACCGAATTCTCGAAGGAGATCGTGTACTCGCGGATTACCAGCCTCTTCAGCGGTCGAACGGTTTTGTTTTCTTTGATTGTCGTAGTCTCGATCCAACATAAAGTAATGTCCTCGTCCTCGTGAACGCTGCTGCTCGTTTTAATCTTGGAATTATTGCCAACTACATGTTTAAACTCCTTGTCGATGGTTATACGATTCGTTAAATTCGCGACGAAGCTACTCGAATACCTCTGATTCTCCTTCTTACCTCTCGAACAATTCGCCGATTGTTTTTCCTCGTAAATATTCTCTAGCGGTTTATGGTAAGGACGATAAAACAATGGAACCTTCTTCTTAGGAGCGTTTTGTTTATTTTCTTCATATTTATTTTTAGGACGACTGAAGATATTCAGATTCACGTTTTCATTCCTTATTATGCTGTGCAAAAAAATGAAAAATCAAATCATTGATAACACGAATATCAGCAGATTTTATTTTAATAAATTAATTAATATATTTTTTAGACTCATTTTTCTTTGTCGCATTATTTCCTATTATACCCTAATATTAGTTTATATTGTACGCTTTATTATAAAGATTTATTTTATAAAAGATTATACTTATGAATTGTGTTGTCGCTATTGTCATCAGATGAAGAATCCGATAAGTCTCCCGCTTTTCTCAGTGTACGAGATTGCGCAGTAATATCATAATGTTGGGAATCTATTTTTTTATCTTTGAATGCATGCCGCATCTGAGGATTTACATACAAGAAAAAAGATTAATGATAAGATTGAAAAAAATATGGAAAAAATAATTTAAATATAAATACTTATATATGCGTACTATTGCAGATTTTATTAATGCATAATTTTATTGCAATTACAATTAAGCGTGATTGATAGCGAAAAATTTATAGTAGTGTTTAATTAAGCATTACTTAATAAAAATCATAATCATAGAAAAAAACATGATATAGGAAAAGTAGAAACTTCTGCGTTCATCCACAAAATTATGAAAAGATAGAAAAGTATAAATATATCGATGACAAAAAAAATAAAAAAAATAAAAATAAAAAATATAAAAAATACATATATATATATATATATATATATATATACATATATGTTCAAAAAACTTAAGACGTACTATAAATGTATATTAATATATATATATAGAACAAAGAAAAAATTTATTAGAATAAAAAAATAATTACATAAACATGATATATACAAATAAATATGAATGTAAAAATATATGCATTAATTAGTCTACATACTCGACTCGCATCCGAAGAACGAGAGGCAAATGGAATTGCAGCATTATGTCTAAACCAACAGCATACCTATTTTAATTAACAAATATAATATTTCGTCGACAAATTACCATCGAAAACATTATAAATATTTTGTAATGTTAACAATGTAAATTTAATCAAGTAATACAAATTTGTATAAACAAATATACAATACAATTTCTCGAAATATATGTGGAATATGAAGGTTTTCGTGAAGATACTCAATATCACCTGGTGACGCGATCGTGTAAATAATTTAATTTAAAAAATGTCAGTTTCACACAATCGATTCGATCCATCTATGCAAGTCTGATATCGCGAGAATAACTAATCAAATAACTGCATAGTATGCCAACACGAAAGTGAGAATGATCGAGGAATAAAATATATATATGATAAAACGACAATATTCACAGAAACTAAGAAAAAATATAGTTGTGAGCTTTTCTATCACATTTGATGTATTTTTTTGTGATTTTAATAAAGTAAAGTAATTAACTTATATAATAATAATAACAATAATTAGTTTATTCGAAGTAAAGAGAAAAATCTATTGAACCTAATATTTAATCAAACTTTTTCTTATTTTACATTATATATTGCACATCTTTTGTATATTCAACCATTTTATAAAAAAAGGACATTTTTCACAAAATATAAAATTTTTGTAAAAGTATGTTTTATAAAATGTAAACTTTTTTTAAAAAGTAAAATTTATGAAATAAATATGAATCTCATACATAAGTCACTATCATCTTTTAATATATTCTGAGTTTAAACGAAACGTTGAAAATTTTATTATATTAATTTTTATAAATTCAATACTTTTGCTTATATAAAATAAAAAATAAACAATTTTAAATTTATATTAACACTTTCAGATAGATTACATAAATTTGAAAAAGAAGAAAATAACTTACCACGAGAACGAAAGATAATGAATAAGGTGCGCGAATCAACATCTCCACCAAAATCTTTCACTTCTCCGTTCGTTTCAAATCTTCTTATCTCGATCAACCTACATCCAATATCAAATCAAAACTTTGTAATTTCATCAAGAAAATTTCTAATTCTTCACTCTTTACGCGCTATATCTATCTAATAATAAATATTAAATAATCAATCAATCAAATATTTAACTTTTAACTTTAAAAAATAATCACCAACAATCGGGTCACGATTTCCAAGAAAATTGGACCGCTACTTTTCTTTTGATATTGAATGATCGAATGATGATATGTTGACGGCAACACTCATCTAATATTGATTCAGATTCTGTTGCTCTCGAATGCCAACTCGATTGAATCTAGCACCTTCGGTAAATGCATAAGCTACCATCCCCACCTATTGTCCTACCAATCCCGCTCCAATTTTAAGCGTCCGATTCAACTAAATCTTCCAGAGTTGTTATCAGCAATGGTAACATCTCGTTTCTTTCTTCTTGATATTGTTTCCAATATGTTCTTTACCTCGTGCCGACGATCGATTGATCAGTTAAAATTTATCTTACCGCCAAAGCATCCTAAGTAAAAATTATTTGCCATCGCAAAAATAATTACTTCATCAAAAGACTTTAAATGATGAAGTAACGACAAGCATTTTGCGTGTTTAAACTAATCAAATACTTAATAAAATTTAATTTTTATAAATAAACAATTTTAAATTTGCTAATAAAATTTTCGAATATAATTAATAAAAATGAAAAAACTCTCTATCTATTATTTTTATACCTCTCACGCAATAATATTTTATAAACAAGTACTTATATTTTCGAATTTTTATTCAAACACAAGATTTATATTATTATTAAAAATTAAATCAAAATTTTACATTATTATGATATACATTATGTATAAAAACCCTTTTTTTTATTTTACAGATAATATATAAAATTTAAAGAGAGATTATATAAATTAGATTATATAAATTATATAGAGGCATATATCGCGTATGATTTCTTTTGGTTTATGACGAAGATTCTACATCTGGTTATACACCCATTTTAGTTTAACAGGCAATCGATAATTGACCATGAAACATTTAATTTAAAAGTCTTCGTTCGTTATGCACAATAAAACTCTGTCGCTTTGTTCGTCTCTGACAAGAAGAACAATTTGCTGGTGACATTTAATAAATTGCAATTTTAATTAATTGCAGTTCTTGCGTCTTTGGATTATGAAAAGAATAAACTCAATCTAAATAACATTTAATTATACCTTATAAAGTTTAACTGTTTCTTCTATAATTATGTCTATTTTATACAAAAAATTTTTTAAGAAAATATTTTTTGCATTGCAAAAATATTTAAAAAATCTCTAACAAGAAAAAATAAATCATTTACTGATGAAATCAATTTTTATTTGATAGAACATAAAGTCGTTCAGCAAATAACATCAATTAATATTTGCGTGTGGGAAAATCAAGAATACTTTTCTTCCAATGATTATTAGTGTTTGTTCCTTCTTTTTTTCACATTGCTATCCATAAGTCATGACGACACAATCACTCGTTAAACGTATGTTATGCGACTTCGCGGTCACCTATTGTGTACTGATAGAAGTAATGTCAAATTGCATTGTACAATTTTCTTTGTCTCTCGCTGGACGTTTTATTGCTATTCACGCCAAGATGCAATAATTTATAGTTCCTCGTACATGAGTGTTGTAATTTAAACGCTCCGCTGATGCCATCGTTTCCGATTTTACAAAGTCGTTTCGTCTTGTAATACATTTCCCTATGACAACAAAATTAAACAAGTACGCTCTTTAAAGATTGGCAAATAAAAATCAATTCTTTCTGTATTTACATTTTTTGAAAAATGTTTAAACCTTTGTGGAAATTATTATATATGAAAAAATGTGTGAAAAAATAAATTTTATTTCAGTAATTAAAGCAATAAAAAACTTTTATAAAGAGATAAAAAATATATTATTAGATAAAAAAAATCCTTTATTTTTTATCTCGTTATCTAATGTATCTGATTGATATTACAATTATTTCTAATGTATAAACGTCAAGCCAACGTTAGTACAAAATTAAAAAAAAGGATATAATTTATTAATAAGTTTAGTAACAAACTGCCAATAGATATAAGTGTCAACAACCCGGATAGTACGAATACGATTCGGCAATTCAATTGAATAATCGCAGTTGAATTAACTCGACGATTTTAAATGGCTCGAGCTGATCGTTATGTCGCGATCGGTTCGCTCGAGCGTTCTCGATTTGACGTGGCACATTAGATGGAAGAAATCGACGGGAGACGGATATCAACGCGAGTCGAAGAATAGAAGAAGAGGAATGAAAAAAGATCGTGCAAGAGTCGAGCACCGAATCATAAACGCTATTGCACAAAGCATTGCCCGAGTACTCGCCGAAATCAGAGCGCTTTAATGTGCGTGCATTTGATTAGAAATTGTATTTTATGATTCTCACATCTGCCGTTTATAACTTCTTTGTGATCACCTTGCACTGCTATAATCGTCGATATTAGCAACAATCCAATATGTGACATCGTATAATATACTTTATTTTATATTTAATTTTTCTTATAACACAGCTTGGAAAACTTTTTTCATATCTGTAATCAGCTTCGCACCGTTTTGTAGAATAATATATAATCAGAATTATATATAATGCAATCACTATAAAAATTAATCGAGTCGATTTTAAATAAATGCACAATAAGCAATTCATTCATGTATGAAATAATAAAATGTTTTGGCAAAAACCACGAAAATGTTAATAACCATAGATGCTCGTTTAAAAAGCGTTGCATAATATTTTAATCATGCCAAGCTATCGAAAAATACCTGATTATACGTAATAAGATATGAAACTCGGTGTCGAGATTAGTGCAAAAACTGTACACCTGCAAACGATAAGTTATTCAAATTTACAGGTAAAACCTTGAGCCTAAAACTCTCTTAGCTAACATGCTAGTGAAAGGAAATTTTCTTCATAAAAAGGAATTTCCGCGAGATCTATGCAGTTCCGCTTGGTGCTAGTTATGGTAACGACAATTTCATGCGCAATAAAATACAGTCGATTAATATGTTCATCGTATGTGAGATTTATTTATTCATCTGATAATATATGCCTGATTAATTTTTTTTTAATTTTCCTTTAAAATATAAAAAGATCTTATATGGACTCATTTTTTAATTCTATTGCTGATAAATAATAGAGGAACAATGTGGTTTGTGATAATTTGTCTGATAATAATATTTACGATAAAAATCCTGCAAGACTGGCGACGATCATCAAAGTTTCCTCCAGGTAAATGAAATTACCAATTAAATTCACCAAATAATAACATTTTCATCGCAAAGGATTTACAAGTAATAGATGGTAGAAATACTTTCATTATTTAAAATAATGTTTCTATTTTCTTTGATGTCTTTCCAATTTGATTCGCCCGATATAATATTTTATATCGACGTAAAATTTACATAAATATATAAAACGAAATGTTTATATTTGCGAAATGTTTTCAAGGGCCCCGGGGTCTTCCGATCATAGGAAACATATTTGACGTGAAACGTCTGGTCGAGGAGACAAAATTTTATTCTCATGCTTGGTGTCGTCTGGCCGACACTTATGGACCCATCGTAGGCTTAAAACTCGGCATACAATCGCTGATTGTTGTTTCCGGTAGAGATGCTGTGATTGAAATGTTAGGTCGACCAGAGTTCGACGGTAGACCCCATGGATTTCTATATAAACATCGATCAGGAGGTGAACGAAGAGGTATACTATTTACTGATGGCGATGTCTGGCGAGATCAAAGAAGGTATACTTTTTTTGTATACAATTATTATTTTTATAAAAATATAAATTATGTAATTTAATTTAATAAATATATGAAAATAACTGTATCTTTTTGTGCCTTTTTGTAATATCTATATTAATATCAATCTTTTGCTATATAATAAAAATTCTCCTTTAAGGATCTTCTTTTTTAATTACATATCATTTTATAATTACATATAATTTAAATTATGCGACGATAATTCTTATATAATTTTTTAATACGATAATTCGTAATAATTTTTTAATATTTTTAATAAAATATTTTAAAAAATACGTAAAGATATATTTTTGAAATATTGTTATATAAATCATTCTTTGCTTTGTATAAAATTTTAAAAATTAGATCAAATTATAACTTGTTGTTCAGATTTGTTTTGAAAACATTAAAAGAATTTGGATTTGGAAAAATGGCGATGGAAGATATAATATTGAATGATGCAGTTTCCTTAACCAGCATAATAGAATCACTGGCTAAATTGGGACCCATTACAAATTTACACAATCTTACCTCTATAGCAGTCCTTAATAGTTTATGGACATTGGTCGCTGGATCGAGGTATGATATTTGACGTTACATGCAATTAAATTAAATTCAAAAATAATTGGAGCATATCGATCGCAGATTCGATTTGGACGAGGAAAATCCAAAATTAAAAGAAATCTTATCGATATTAAACGATCTTATCCGAAATAGCAATGTCTCTGGCGGCATATTGAACTATTTGCCTCTTTTAAGATACATCATCCCAAATGTTACAGGATTTACTGTACTAAATCAGAGACTAACAAGAATGTCACAATTTTTCAGAGTAATGATATAGCTTTTTTTAACGATATTACTTTTCTATCCATACAAGATGTCTTATTTCAGAGCGAAATAGCGAGGCATAAACAAACTAGAACGCAGGGCGAATTTAGAGACTTTATCGATGTTTACCTAGCGGAAATGGAGCAATCAAGCTCGAATATATCGTGCTTCGATGGTATAAAATATTTCAACGATAATTGAATAAAAAAATTCCCATATTATTAAGACACAAATTTCAATATTTGTTAAATTTCTTGCATGTTATAAAAGTCATTACATATATAAATAAAAACAATAGCATAATATCAAATTAAAAAAATATTATTTAAGAAAATAGCTTATTTTAATGATATTATAATGAATCCTACATTTATATCTATTAAATTCTACAGATAAAAATTGCGCAAGTAATGTGCGAATAATGCAAATAAAACACTATTCATTGTAGAATTTTCTTATTATATTCTTATTTACAGAGGAGCAAATAATTAACGTTGTGAAAGACCTCTTTAGCGCCGGTGTAGAAACAACGAACAACACAATTGGCTTTATAATAACGTATCTCGCAGTGAGGCAGGATGTGCAAGAAAAAGTGCACGAAGAAATTGACAGAGTGCTGGGCAAGGAAGTTTTACCTTGTATAACGTATAAAAATCGGTATGCACGTGTTTAATGATATTGTTCAATATATTATCGTTTATTCGCAAATTATTGCATGCAAAAATTTTCAGACTGCCATATTTGAATGCAACGATAGCGGAGGTATTAAGACTAGCGAACGTCGGCCCTACTTCGATTCCTCATCGAGCAATGACCGATGCTATTCTACTCGGCTACGAAATAAAGAAGAACTATACCTTATTGGCTAATTTAAGAAGCGTTCATATGGACGAGAAACATTGGGGCGATCCAAAAGAATTTCGGCCTGAAAGATTTATTAACGATAGAGGAGAATACGTCGAGGATCCCTGGTTAATATCATTCGGCTTAGGTATAAAAGAAAATACATACATATTCTTCGTAACACAGATAAAATATATATATGAGAAAGATTGTAATAAAATTAACGATAAAACAGGTCGTAGAAAGTGTTTGGGCGAGACTTTGGCGAGAAAAAGTCTATTTCTGTTCACTGCGTGTTTGCTGCAGAAATTTCAGTTCACGTTATCTCCGGAACATTCTAATCCTATTTTAGACGGTATCGACGGCTTTACAATTGCACCACCTGATATATGTGTCAATGCTATCAAAAGAAAATGTCTACTTGGTTAATATATATGATAATAATAATAATAATAATTATTATTATTATTATTATTATATATACACATATATAGTATTATAATAAAATCTGTACATATCATGAATATTGAATAAATAATTATAAGAATAATTTCATAATAATTTCATAATTTCTTGTGAAAACGTGAGTAATTTATAAAATGGAATTAATGAAGAAAGAAAAGGAGAGAAAACTTTTCAAAGATTAATCATCACATTTTTGCAATAGCGGTAATTTATATTTCATTCTTAAATACAAGTTTCTCTATTCCAAGTAATGTTAGAAGACTCTATTTACACATTTGATATACAGTCAACACATTTTCTATTCACAGAAGAAAACTACTTAGAAGAAGTCTTTTTCTACGTTCCATCATATATTCAAAGGAACGTTATTCATTTTTATCGTTGGCCATAATTTGTACCCTTGGCATTTAAAATGATCAATTACATAATCTATAAATCATTTCGCATATTTTTATTTACTGTGACAGTGTGAAGATAAATAATGGAAGACAAGACAGAGTCAAAATAAAAATCTTTTAAATCAGCATTGTCTTACAACATCGAAATAACTATGCATTTCAATTATTTTTGTAATTTAATGTGTAATTTGTAATTTTTTTATATTTTGAATCACATATCAAGCAAATTGTTTCAGAAATTATTTACCTCGAAGAATGATTGAGCGTATTGTGATCCAAAATTCAAACTGAAAATTATTCTCATAGTAAAGGAAATATATAATAGATATTTGTATACAATCTCAAAAAATACATGACTGACGTAAATGTCAGTTTTGATTGACATTTAACGTAATTCCTATCAAAGAATCTTTACTTTCAACATGCCAGATTAATATTTATAGAGATTAATATTTATAAAAACAAATATTCCGTACAATCGGACACACTATAATATACGTGTAGAAGTATTATGAGATATGATATAGAAGTTCTATGTACACTAAGAATTTGGAGATTCGTATGGTCCACACAGATGTAAATCTAACAATAAGAGTAATAATATCGAAAGTATGTGTGTGTGTGTGTGTGTGTGTGTGTGTGTGTGTGTGTGTGTGTGTGTGTGTGTGTGTGTGTGTGTGTGGTGTGTGTGTGTGTGTGTGTGTGGTGTGTGTGTGTGTGTGTGTGTGTGTGTGTGTGTGTGTATATATATATATATATATATATAGTCATCATGATTCAACAATAAGTATAACTAGTTCTAAATGACAATTTTATATAGTCTCTGATTTTTTTTGGTATAAACATTTAAGAATTTTAATAAATGGATTAAAATTAACAACAATAATTAATGAAACCATCAAATCAAATTAACGTGACGTATAACGATAAATTAATACAACAAAAAATGCAATACGAATAAATAAAGATAATCCATTAATTACAACGACAAATTATTACGACAAATTAAAAAGTGATTTTTGTAAATAAGATGTAAAATTTAAATATAAATAATTCACGAACATTGAATTTTTCTCTTCCTTGTTAATACCAATCCATGATATAATGTAATTTCATAATATTTCATTTTCTATAATGTGATTGTTAACTATCAACTATCTCATAAATGTCAATAGATTCAAAATTGTTATTGAACTGTTGTAATTCACATGTTAAAATTTAATTGTTGAACGTTGTAATTTACACGAGTCTAACGATAAGTTCGACGATGTTAAACTAGTTAAACTTGAGAAAAAACATGATACAATATCTCAAAAATCTCTTCTATTATTTACACTTTTCATAATAGGAGTATCATCGGATATCAACCGCATGTCAAGATCATTCACAGCCTTGTAATCAGCTTCATTGTCGCCTCTTAACTCGTTTGCAAACAACTAAACCTAAGATCTACCATAGAGGGCATTAATATTTCAAAGAAATTCATGTGCGGCAAAAATGACGCTTCTTTTACTGGAACTTAGTGTCAAATCTAATCCTGAGTAATTGTACGTGTGTAAAGACGCAGAAATAAGTTAATGCAGAGTTAATCCATTGATCGCGTTATGAGATATTAAAAAGAGAAGAAAGTTCCATGAGAATAAATTACATGTTTTTCATAAATATGATGTAGCCTCTTCAACAACATATAAATTTCTTGGAAACATTATCGTCGGAATTATTTGACAGAATTAGAGAGACTGTCTCTCTCTCTCTCTAAATATCTCTGAAGTGATATTATTATCACCTTTGCTAGGCAAAAGGCCGATGATCGACGATATCGTCGCTAAATTATGTCAAAAAATTACACAATCTGCACGATTGATTCTCCCAAAAATCCCTGGCTAATTAATTCGAGACTAAATAACATCTCGTCTGCGCGTACCTCAGGATGACAATGCCAGGCCCAATCGTGCAAAAACCATTTCTTTTCTTAGCCGCGTGATTTCCCAATAAACATCATGAACTGAAAGGATACATTACAGAATTCAATTATCAACATTAATAGAGAGAGATATACATGTATAGATAATTTTCAATTTCTTCCTTTTTCTTACAATTTTTAACATTTTATATTATTTATTATTAAATTTAAAGAATTATATATAAGAAATATGATTTTTAATGCATAATTTTCTAATAAATTATCAAACTATTATGTATTATAATAAAATGCATTATTATATTTGAGATATTTTTTAAATCTTACCTGAGCTTTTGACGAGGCCGCGCTCCACGTATCTCAGATAATTAAGAAAATCACAGACCGCTATAATCTGCAGTAAATCATAAAATCCTTTAGAGAGCGGAGATTCTTTTTAAATATAGAATCAATTTTTAACTGATCATTAAAACTTACTCGATTGCGACAAATCTGCGAAATGCAGTGCCATTGATTCTCTTGATCACCAAGTCGCATACGATAATGGCATTGTCGTGGTGACTCTAACAACGCGCATTTTCTAAAATTAAAAAAATACTATTACTACTTTTATAAAAGCTATATATCTTATCGTAAATAATAGAAAATCTATTTATATAGCACGAAATTTTTTTAAAATTTATTATAGCAATTGTTGTATTCTTGCAAATTGTAATGCAATGTATATTTCCAAAACATTGTTAAAATATTACAATTGTAAAATGTAATAGTGAATATTTTAATATTCAAAGACGTACTTGGGAAAAGCGAGTTTTGTTTTGTCGCTGACCGCCTCGATAAAAATAATACCGTCTAGAACGGCTTGCCTGACTTTAGCTCCCAATTCTTTATTAGGGAAATCTAGACATAAATCGATATCCTCCTTAAATACTCTCGCGACAAAAGAATCGCTCTTGTCAACGCAAGGATTCGCCTTCCATCGAAGAAACTCTGTATGCACTCTCGGATCAACTTCCAAACCGAAATCTTTACATTCTCTTTCTTTGTCCTTTTCACGTTCTCGTTTCCAATCTTTCTCAAGAATTTCCTTGTCGGTAGATAATGGCAACCTTTGCTCCTTTACCGGTGAATCAGGCGGCGAATTCTCGCGTCCGTATTTTAAATTAAAATGCGACGGCGATCTGCATTAAAATTGCAAATTATTTTTAAACATATTATTAATTACATTTTATTTTACAAATATGAATATAAATGCCTAATAAATTATTACACTATGCTATTTCCGATATTTAAAATATTAGCAATTTTCCAATAATCCTATATTTTCTATAATTGTATTTCTTCATAAATTATAATTTTTTTATATTACATATTTTATATGTATATAAAAACTGTACATATATTTAAAAATTACAAATTATTCATCTTGAAAACAATTATTTACCAGAAATTGTAAGCAACTCTATTTTTTTAATATCTCTTAATGATATGCACAGAAATGCTTCTTCGGGATTATAAACAAATAAAAAATATAAATATTATTTAGAAAAATATAAATATTGTTTATCATTCTTATACGTAAAATACACAGAATATTTTTAAAAAATCATAAATCCAAATAAAAAAATAAAAATTGATTATCACCTTCGATGTTTCTTCATAAAAAGGCCCTGCTGACCTTCCTCTCCATTATTAAGACGACCTTTTGTGTCGATTTGAGGATGCAAATGAGGATTGGGCCTTGACGGTGTGGATGTGAGCACCAAAGTTTTTAAAGCTGCCACTTCGGCTGCAAGGACTTCAGATTTCATGCGACTTTCCTCCAGAAGACGTTCCGCCGTTGCTTGGCGTACATTAGCTTCTCGAACCATATTATGCGCTTCCTAAATATATCTTGTATTAAATAATCCGAATTATCAAACATAAATAAACTAATGTTTTAGCTTTTTGCAAATTTTTAAAATCTTATATAAATCTTATATAAACAATTAAATATTTAATATTATAGCTTTCAATATTATATACAACTTTTAATATTATACATATTTTTAATTAAAGTTTTAATATTATATTTTTCATTAAAATTTTAAAATTTATTGTTATTTTTTACATAATAATATATGTGTGAATACATATATTCTTCCATTTTTTTGTCTGAAAAAAATATAAAACTGGCGACTAACTTGGAAAAGACTGGCAGTGAGTTCTTCGAGCTCGGCTTCTACGTCTTGCCTGATTCGCGAGAGTCTAGCCACTTCCTCGTCTTTCAATTTCAATTCCTCATGAGCTCTTTTAAGTTCTTCCTGCAGCTTCGCCACTGCGTGTTCTTTTACTTCGGCCACTGCTCTTCCCCATTGCAGCGTGGTAGGCGATGGTGGGCTGTTAGTTTTTTTAGGAACGCACAGTAATTCTTGTTTCGATGGTACTTCCAACTAAAATCATATTTACAGATATTTATGTTACATATATTACATACAATAGAAGAAAAAAAAAATTGAAAATATTAGTAAACTTATTTTTGACACTTTAGTGCATAAAAATAAGATTATTTTATTAGTATTTTTATACGTCAAGAATATATATATAAAGTCTCGTAAAATAAAAAATAAAATTACCGTTCCATCTTTAGAAAGAGGAAATTTTCTCGATGTTTCGTGGGAATTGTCATTCTTTGTTGAGTTCATATCAATTTTCTCATCGCTTGTTTCTCCCGCAGATTCAGTTGCATTCAATCGAAAATCCAAGGGTTTTGTATATTGAGTTGTAGATTCCAAGGCTTTCGAGTCGTGAGAATTTAGCTCGCAGGATTTTACCGCCTTCTTCTCTTCTGAGGGATTTCGATGTCTCGATAGAACACCTTGTAGCTTTTCGTTGTACGTGAATAGTGGAGTAGGTATGGTTGAGCTAAAATATTATAATTTTTAATAATATATACAAAAATTACAATACTTTAATAATAATGCTATTAGTGATATGAGATTCAACCATCATATTCTATTAAACATCAATAAAAATTAAAATTTTATAATCTCCACAAAGAAAAGAATTTTGCATATTCCATGTAAATGCAACAAGATTTCGTTATAATAATCGATTATTCGATATTATGCAAAAAAACTGTTATGTGATAAAATAGAAAACTCTAATTAAATATTTACGTTAAATTATAAATATAAATTTATTGTTAAAACAAAATTATTTGTTATTGTTCCTAGAAAACCAATAATTTTTTATTATAATGAAATCATTTCACAAGAAAAACGACAATGTATTATTATAATAAAATAATTTAAAACTTTGATATTCTTCAGAATATTGTTGTATGTAACAAATGTTATAAATTTTGTTATGATAACATGAAATATATTATTTTTTCCTTTAGACTTATTTTTGTATATTAATTGTTGTTTTCTAATTATAATATAAACTTTAGAGAATTTTTATTGAAATGATTCTTAATTATATATCACTATTAAACTATAAAATATACTTCGTAAAAAAGTTTTCTACGAAGATAGAAAAAAATCAACACTTATACGCACCTATCACCTAGGAACTTGTTATCATCCTCATCGAACAGACTAGTAGGTTCCTCGTCTTCGTCCTCGCGTTTAGCGGCGTATCCGAAGAGGTCCGTAGCTGCTCTCGCGAGGTCTGATTTAAGAATAGGATGAGGCGGATGTAACGTGGCGCCGATAGAGCAATCAGCTTCATCCGTATAGAGTTCATCCTCGTCCGTAGTGTATTCCTCGTCGCCAGTTGTTCCAGTACTTCCGGCCCTTCTGTGTTTTGTCGTGAGCGGTCGATAGGCATATTCGTTCGAACCGGAAACCGACTCGTTGGATTCCATTGACTCCGGCTGCTGCTGCTCCTGGACCTCCTTCATGACGTCTCGTTGTGGTTGGACTTTAAGCTAGAAGTGTTCAATATTTGAATGATCATACGTAGCAATTTTTTTCTCTTCATTTTGTTTTATGAAATAGAACTCTATTTCTTTCTCTTTGAAGAACAAATGTATAAACATTAATATATTTAATTTTGAAAAGCATAGAATCACATAACTTGATAATCTAGCATTCAAAAGCCAAGAAGTTCAAATAATTATTCAAAAAAGAATTATTTAAAATAATTATTTATTACAAAATTACTAAAAAATGATATATATTTGTTATATTTACAAAATGATATTTGTTCCATTTTATTTCTAACTACGTGCGTATTATTTATAATGTACAGTGATATTGAAACTTATGAAAATTCACAGAAATCTTTCTCGGTTTGAAGTCCTATACACAAATCCTTGTTTTATAAATAACTCGTAAATTTCTTTCGTAGGCAACATAGATACGCGTGTTGCACGCACGTACTGACTGTTACTCATTATATAAGTATACTTTGGGAAATTTAAGCTTATTAATACGTCGAATAAGCCTATTATTTGCGACAGTTATGTAATCAGAATAAATTGTTGTGTGAAAATTTAAACTATAATGTATGGTTTCGAGGTTGTTACGAATATGCCACAAAATGATTCAAAATAATTGTTGTTACAAAATGATTCAAAATAATAAAAAATAAAGATATATATAAATAAATTCAACTAATTATTTCAATTAAATTTGTTACAACCAATCAATAAGTGTAGAACAACTTATACATGAAAGTAAAATTGAAGTACAATACTGTCTCCGTTAAATTATCTTTCCTGAAAATGTGTATGTATATATGTGTGTATTTCCTAACTACTCTAATATACTTTAAGTACTAGTTTCCTAACTACTCTAATATACTCTTAATATTTGTAGGTACAATTCATGATAATGAAAAGGAACACTATCGTGCTGCACGCATGCCCTTACGTCATTGTCCCATATCTCTTATGTACATAGTACTTACAAGGGGATATGTCCACTAACACGCCCTCTCTCAAATCAAGAGCAATTGGGAATTCGTAAAACTTCTATTCTCGTTATAAATTGCTAATACATTCTGTCTCAAATGACATTGTCGCTAAAAAAAATGCGATAATAATATATAATTTATAAAAATAATTTTAGATGCAAAAATCTCACGTGTATTATTATTTTCTTTTACTAAATCATCTACAAATACAATGTCCTTAATTAAGACTTCAATTTTACTTTCAATTGTAGACGTACTTTTAACCGCATATTTTATATCCTAATAACGCAGAATGCAAATACGAGTAAACTTCTGGCTTAATTTCGCAGAACAATGCTAATTGCCGTGAAAAATATGCGGAAGAGTATGCAACTTGATTTGCATGCATCCATAAAATTATTTTAATCACTGTTGAAGCTACTATTTTACGAATCGCTCTATGAATTTAGAAGTTTATTCTCTATCATCAAACGATGATGAAACTCGACGGTCAGCTTTGTCAATCAATGTAATATCTTTTATTGGGAAAAGAAATTGTTGCAAATACAGATAAGAATATTATATGCGAATTTAATGTATCCATTTCCCACTTGTTTTTTTTTTCTTGTTTTTCACATGATTCAAGTGATAAATAAACGTAATTTCTACAATGTCACAAAACAATACTAATGACTCTTTCGATCTTGAGGAATATCGCGTGGATTGTCTTGACATATTCTCACGAGACAAAGCCGTTAACAATGTGGCACAACCAGTGCCGTGGACTCCACGAAGATGATTTCCTTGGGGACTATATAAGGGTCGTGCGGGAATTGCGTCATTAAACCGTGATCGCGCGAGAAGGCGGCGAGTGGTACAGCCGGGCACACGTTATGCTTATGTAAACACTTCTCTTTGACGTACCATTCAAATCCAGGCGGTACATAAAAAAAGAAATATATATATATATATGTACTATTTACATATAAATCGGATTATTACAGTCCAAGAATTCAATTAGAGGAATTTTATAAAGACCGACACTGTGTCTGGGGAGTATATTTTTTCGGAGTATATTTAATTAGAGAGAGAGAGAGACAAAAAGCAATTCATATTAGCTTATTTATAATTCAACAGTAAGACTAATGTAACATATATTTAACGTACATATAACCTACATGCGAAAAACCCATCTGGTTCATATCGTTCCGCAAAGACTGGGGTAATCCCGCGCTTGATTATCAAGATTGAAAAGATCAAGAGGCGCAATTAAAGTTTATGGAGGAAGCATTGCGTTTCCTACGAAAAATTCCACGATCCGCGATAAAACACCTTAGATATACGCCCCTGGCCTTGTGCACGCTCTTTCTCTCTCTATCTCTCGTATCTCGTGTGTGCTAGTTACGTATACACGGTATTTGAATTGACGGTATCTCGAAGGTGTGGGTACCTATCATTCACATCTGTGAAATGTATGCGTTAACACACACGGACCAGCGTACCAAGCCGCGTGCGACCGTGTACCAGTCGCAGAATACTTGATGAACAGCGTACCACGACAGCGAAAGACACGACTGTGCTCACCCTGTGTTTGTTTTCATTCCTCCCACCGAATATAAACGAAGAAAGATCTATTCTTTCGTCGTGAAATCATCGAAATTTTTGAAAGGCAGGGATAGAAATGCACGAAAACGCGAAGCAGTGATTCGAATTGTCGATTTATCTTGAGAACCGAGTTCAAATCTTTGTCCATTCAATGGAAACGTGACGATTGATTTAAAAAAATCTTTTCTCGCATAAAAATAAAACTAAAATATAAAACTCAAACTCATAAAAATTCTACTTCGAATCATCAACGAGAAGTCTTCGGAATTTGTGAGTCAGAGGTTTCAAATAAACTTAGCGTAGGCAAACCTAAAATGCCAGATGTACGCTCTAGTCTCTCTTCTCATCTAATCTAGTATTATAGATAAATATTTATCTTATCTTCTTACGTACATCCTCTTTTTTCATTAGCAATAGATATTTTATTTATAAGATAAATTCTACTTATTTAAAATACATTTGTTTGCTCTCTTTTTCCAGTTCTCTTTCTAACAATATGATAAAAGAAATATATGAATAAGTCATCAATCTCTTTAGTCAAGCTAAATATGTTTTAGGTAAAGTAAAAATATATAATATAAATAAATATAATAAAATAAAAATATATAATATAAATTTATCAAAAGATATATGTGTATATATAATGCAGAGAGAGATTGAATTTAGCAACATAAGTAATTATAAGTATCACACTGAATAAAAACCATAAAAAACTGATAATTCGAATAATCGACTGCAAACTTGCTAGTCAATCAAAGATCAAAAGGTTCAAGGTATAACGTAATAATAACGTAGGATCAAAGATACTTCTGCCTTGAAAATTATACTAGAGAATAGGCCTCAATCACATGACCTAGATGCATGCAAGTAACGAAGGCATAATTTAATTTCCTGCTCACTAGTAGTCACGCCTCCACGATTAAGTAATCTACTAAGTTAAATTAGCTATAATATTAATATTTATTACTATTTACACTATTAACTGTGTATTTATTTATTTATTTATTATATTTATATTTAAAATAGCTAAACACAAAAGGTTATCTTGCTATAGCTTAAATTGCTATTTGTAAAAAAAAAATTAAAATTTCTCCATAAAATTATATAAAGATTTGCAAAGTCTAATCTCGTCACTTGAATCTTTGAAATAAAATGATATAAAATTGCGAAAATGTGATGCTACCATAAAGCGTATGCAAACGTGCGACAAAATTTAAAGGCGAAATCTGAGCGAAATGTATCACTTTACACATCGTTGCACAATTTGACATCTTGTACACAGGTGCACCTTGTATACATTGCGCGATATATTTTTTTTCATACTGAATAATTATCATGCATGAGAAATATATATGTATATACGTAACTAATACGAGTTGAATAATATATTTGTAACCTTTATATATTTGTAAGTGGAATACGCATATTTCTTTAATTGATAACGTTTAAATTTTGCGATCACTCTCCATATTTTTACGCGGGTTTGATGACGCATACCGTACAATGTCATTATTTCACTTTTTTCGATGCGTAACACATTCATGCGTCACGGCTGATAAATGCAATTTTTTTTTGTTTTTTTACGGTGTTGGGTATTCCATTTTGTTCTTAATTACGTGTTGTATAATGTAGTATGGAAATACAGGATATTATACAGCTTCCGATTGTAGGATCGACATATCATGAATGATATAGTAGGATGAATTAATTCATCCAGCAGTGTTTCGCTTCGTATCACTATAGCTGACTACTATATATATATATATATATATATATATATATATATATATATATCATATTATCGCATAATTCATATTATATAATATCATATTAGAATAATTCATATAATATTCATGCCCTTGAGATGTACAAACTGCGCCAACGGTAATGCAGTAGTAAAGAGAGCAATTTAATTGTTGATTAATCCGAATATTTACATATTTAGAAGAGAAAAGTAAAAAATCATATATTGTATATAATATAATACTATACATAAAAGACATATAAATGATATAAATAAAGAAAATGTATTATTTTCTAATAATGAAATTTACGAAATTTATCTACAGTAATTTATTTTATTTATAAATTATACATAAATGATATAAATAAAGAAAATATTTTCTAATAAAATTTATGACTAATTTATTTTATGAGGCAGTTAAAAGGGAAGAAAATAATCGATGTTATAATTTTTCTCACTTAACATCATATTATATTTCCATGCAAGTAGTATAAGTAAATTAATTATGTATCAAATTAAATTCTTTGCACACTTAATTATTATTTACTGATTTTAATTATATGTTTAATTGGATTGCTTTTTTAATATTAACTGTGCAAAATTCTCTAATATATTCAAGAGCATGAATATATATCTGCCGTGTACATCTCGATCGAGTAGTCATCTGCAATAAAACGCCCGCGTTTTTACTTCGCCGCAACAACAAAATTCACAATCAAATTCGCAATCAGTTATTCAACAATTAAACGCTTAGGAAACAGACGAGAGAGAGAGTGGGAGGAGAAGGGTAAAGCGGAAGTGCGTTATCGTATATTGGTATCTGGTTTTCATTCGATAACAAAACGCCTGCTCAACACAATACGATTACAAACAGATAAATAAAACGAGCAAAGCAGTCGATGCGGATGGAAACGAATAAATTACGCATATTACCAATTATTAAAATGTGCAATGTAACAATATATCGTACATCAAACGCGTTACGATTCTCTCTTTCTTTCTCGACACTTTACGCATATTTTAAATTAATTTCTGGCAAAGAAAGAGCATTTTACTTTGCAATCTCGATTCACGACGACAAATGGAAGAAATATTACTCTAGGAAAATATATTAAAATAATTTCCCACAATGTATTCTATCAAACGGTTTAGCCAATCCGAGAATGAATTACTATCGAAAGTCGAAGGTCAGACTTCGCGAGATTCGATATTTGTCACAAATTGCGACTGCGAATATGAACTGCGAAATTAACGTGCACGTAATATATGACTGTCCCGTAAAAATACACATGCAGCCGATATTGCTATTGTAACAAATAAAAACATACGCGACGATAAATATCAAATTTATCGTCAATGCAGTAACACACACAAAGAAAATTTATTAATTCCTTTATAGATTAATTATATCCAAATCCAATTTATCTTCTTTAACGCATACTTGTAGACGATTTTTATTCAACAAAGAATTTTATCCTCTCATATACTCGCGTCGCGAAATGTTTATTATCTCTTGAAAAACACAAGAAATGACATGTGGGACTCGTCGCGAAGATATGACAGGTAAAGGATGAAAATATCTTTGAACGAATACGATAAAAACAGAAGTGTATCCCGCGAGTGTCAAACTCATGTTGTCAAAAGCATAAGCAAAGTGGCACCAAGTTTCCAGCAAGTTGTACACCGTACCTTTCAGACGAAATCCTCTCGAGCTGTCTGTCTTGTCAGTAACATTCGTTGTGTTATTTCCAGTGTAAAGGATGATCAATCGTGCGATAATTGCAAAATCAATAATAGACAAAGGCAAAACTCAGATCAGTTTGAGTGTCTGAATCCGCGCTTCGCGACGGTTCGGCGCGGACTGAACCTACTACTTCCTCCCACTCTCGGAGATATGCCAATGATCTCTCTCTCCCCCTTCACTTGGCATCGCCACGATCATTATCCTCTTCGCTGTACATCATCAACCTGCTGCGACGATCCAAGAGAGAAGCATTGTGCAACTACGATGCATTCGTAGAAGTAATATATATATATCAATAATAGTTAAATATAGAGTTAAATCTAGAGTGTCGTAAATTGAAGAATTGGAGCAAATTGAAAATTTGGAGTAAATTGAAGAATTATGTGCAAGAACTTCGCAATTTATAAGATCCATTTTAGATACACAATTTTGTGCTCACAATAAATCTTGAAAATTACTTTTGCTTATTTTATTTTTGCATTAAATTCGTCGTTTCTTTATTCCTCTCGTGATTTATAAGTTTTCCGAAAAGCAATGTATAAAATGAAAAAATAATTATCTTCAAAGAATGATTTATTCATTGTATATCTGTTCAGTTCCTGGAAAGAATCGTTAATCATTTATCTTGTAAATAAAATCATTATCCGCTTCTACTCGTACCATGTCTTTAACTGTCTTTTTTTACTTGTCTTATTCAGGAAAAAATCGTTGGCTGCTTGTTTTTCTCACGAATATGATAGATAAATCATTGAGTGACTACATTTTTATCTGAAATGTCAAACGGTACATTTTCGCTTAACATTTATATTTAACGTTTTTATTTGTTTCTTCTTTTTTGGATTTATCTATATCTTTCTTTTGTTCGACTACTTATCTTCGTTTAATAATTTTTTTTTCTTCCACGTGCGATTTTCGATAATAACACATCCCTCTCGTGCTATTACTGTTTGAATAGGCCAGCTGGAACGTTAATTATGGAGGCGGTAATTGAGTTTGATAGGACTCAATGAGATAAATGTGACCCTTGATTCACGGTGACCCCTCTATATCATGACTAGGAGCATTAATGCTAATCATCTACTAGTTTCCTCCTACGCGCATGTTGAGCGCGAGATTATAGTATGTAATTTATTTTTTCTAGGAAATGTGAGAACTGATATTATTCCGCATAAATTTACATTATCGTTATCATCATATATATTAAATAATAAAAGAGTAATAATAGAAGCATTTTGTTAGATATTTTCTTTTATTTGTACGAAACTTTTTAAAGAGCTACATTGCTTGCACAGACAATTTAAGAGTAAGTTAGCATTGAAGGCAACATTAAAATCTTCCACAATGCTTTCCAAACGATGTTACATCGCGAGAGTAACTGACAATTCTTTTTACAACCGTCGCAACCGCGATGCATTGTTCGCTGCATTGTATGTTGCATCGCGCAACTTTGACTTCGTAAGATCTCGACTGTATCTTGTCGACAATAAAATTACATTCGCCAAGAGTTTAAAGTTTATCGTGCTATTTTTCATCAAAATTGTTGATTTATAAATCTGATTTGTATTAAAAAAAACAACCATTTATTTCGAAAGAACTGATGCATTGTCAGAATATACAGAAATGTCACGAAAAAAAAACATCTGTTACAGAGAGAAAAGCTTGCCATAAAGTTTATCCAATTTTTCCGCAGCAAATGTTAATGAAATTCATAATTAGACTACTGTTAATTACAATAGAAGAATGGAAAGTTTTAACGAATAAAGTTTTTAAACAAGTGAAGAGAAACAAGAAAAATATTCAATTCCCTTAATGCCAAGAAGGTTACTATTACTACCACTACTTATTATCGAGCGAATTTTACTTTTTATCGTTACTTAATACAAAGAATAAAATGAAATCTTTTTATACGATATAAAAGATGTAAGAAATTTTATCTGGTCATAAAAAATTTTTTAATTCAAATGTTTCATTGCAAACAAGGATTAATACCGAGAAACTCTTTGAGGTGCTTGAAAAAAATTTGAAAGAAACGCGGCGATCGCTACTCTTTATGTATGTCACGTTTGAATATATATATTGTACGTGTAAGAGTTATTTTTTTCAGTTATTTGTATGCATGCATGTATAGTTATTTCGTCACTTTTGGTGTGATTTTGCCTCGATGGGCGCGGAGAAGCATTAAAATGTATATGCGTACGTATGCGAGAAATATAGACTTTTTTTATGAAATTCAATGCAATAGAACTTGTACATGAAATTTATACCAACAAGAAATTTCCATAAAACTCTAGGGAGCATCTCTGGTGCGACGATGGAGCTTGCAAAATTTATGTTTAGAAGTAAACTACACGGCGTCTGAATTGTCAGTAATATTTCAGCAGCGGCTGCTGCTTGTATTAAATTACATCTTTCAATATTCACTGTGCTCTACGACATTGAAAAATTTACAGACTAAGAGATGCTTTTAATAAAATTTTTTCATCCTTATATCTTTATTAAGCATATTCGCAAGAAAGATTATAAATTTATATATATTTTATATGCTAAACTAAATTTCATGCCTTTTATTCGCTTTAAAATAATTATTTTTATAATTTCAGTTTTTTTAAAAATAAATTTTACTTTCTTCAAAAATAATTATATATTAATCATTATCAAATCTTCCAATCAATAATAATTTTATAGAATTTATTTTTAAATATTTGAAATATGTATATGCATATATTTAATTGATTTCATTATAAAAAATAAATTACATGAAGAGAATTTCAATTTCTCTTGTATAATAAAACTTGATGAATGATTAGATATGTGACGATAAGAGATTGTTTTATATTTTTCAATGTCACTGTTTGATTATACGATCTATCCTAAGCAAAGTCACCTTTATCAAACGACTAATTATCAAATGACTAATCCTCATTACATGACATTAAATTATTTGAAGCTATAAATAAAGGTACAGATAAAAAAGCTCTATTTTGTAATTTTTATTCTTGTATGTAAATATGTGTTTTTTAAAAACTTTAATATAAACATAAATATTCATTTTATTGAAATCCTAACTTCTAATTTTATCTTTGCATAATAATGGATGAAAAAGGCGAAATACAATCCCCACGTAATTTTCTCGGTTTATTTTTAACGCCCAGTCGATGCACCTAAGCTTGCATCGTATAGGAATTCCATACGCATACACGATATTACATACATAGGTGTCTATATGACAGTATCGCGCAAATCATGTGTGGATACATGCTCTCACGTTCCCCTCGAGCCGTGACCCGACTGTGCACGCGAGCCGCAGTGAATTCCATCGTGCAAAAGGGCTCCGTATACATGAAGCAACCGATGCAGAATAGTGTTGTTAGGTAGGTCACAAAGAGCAACTGCCCAGACAATGGACGAGCCGGTAGTATAATGAGTTTATTATTTTATTACGGCGGTTTCTTTCGTGTCACTATCGATGTCAATGAACTCACTCGCAGGTTTATGAGAGAACTATATAAATGTGTATGTTTATATAATAAATAATCATCGCAAATATACTTAATTATTAAATTTCAACATTTTATAACTTAAAAGAATTATAAATTATTTGTAGAGATATATATAAATATATAATTTTCTTATGATTTTTAAAATTACGAATTTTTTTACGTATATATTTCAGTTTATAGAGAAATTACAAAGATAAAAAATTAAAAAATGTATAAAAAATATTAAGAAAAATTAAATTAAATTAAACAAGACAAAATTGAACTAAACGTTTATTTATGTAGAATATAGATTATATAGATTAAGATTATGTGTAGAATTGTGAGAAACCTTTTTTTCTTTATATATAATATTACAGTATATTGTTCCTGTTGAATTTTTTAACGCAAATATCAAAGATAATTATTTATTTATTTATTAAATATAATTACGATTACTTATTTATTGATTTTTCAATTTCAAAATTTTAAAATGTATTTTAAATATATTTCAATTTCAAAAGTTGAATATATTTTAAAATATATGAAGCTTTGAAACAAAATTTTATTGAAATCCAATTCAAATTATGTAAATGAGAAATAATATTATTTAAAATTAAACAAAATATTAAATAATATGTTATTATTTATCTAACGTAAACCATAAAATACTATTCGTTGTTCATGAACAGTTCAAAAATTATTAGTACATTTTAATAATAAAAGTTAATTTCAAATATGTATAGTATATCATAAAGAAAATAATGCTACATATTCAATTCTGCGACACACATAATACAATATTAATATTTTCAAAAAATTTTATTTGAATAAATTGAGATTCATGTAAATATGATAAATTGCAATGTACATAGAGTTTTAAATAACATATATAGATTGAATGGAATACATTCCTCTGAGAAAGTGCACTCGAGCGAATCTATTCCGCTTCAAAGAGCATAAACGTTTTAGGTGCATGAGATTCCATGTGTACAACCGTGGGATCGTTATGCGTCCTCACAAGATAATTCTTAAGATCGCATAATTACCGTTGATTTATGCAAAATACTAACTAGAATTATATTCGAAAGACTTCATCCTAAGTCATATATGCTTGTCGATTATAAAAATATACTTTTAATTTTATAGCATTAACATAATAAATACATACGTGTATTTTTGAATAAATTCTCGTTGATTAATTTATCATGATATTAATGCGCATTAAAATGTACTCGTATATTTCAAGAAATTTTTGATTACATAACAGTCAGTAATCATTGTTTTGTCAATAATGATAAAATAAAATGATGAAATAAATGTCGATATTATTAGTACAAGCTTATCAACAGATGTCTGATTAACAGAAAAATTTGTTTTGCTTGATATTTTTCTTGAGATATGTATAAAATAATTAAAAGTTTTTTTATATTTGAGAAAAATATTGAGACGAAGTAATAATATATTTTCTTTTAACGACAGCTTTAAATGGTCATAAATAATTGAAAGATTCAAAAGTGTTTTTCATTACGAATGTACGTGACACTTCCAACTAGACGTGACGAGACATACGAGATTTATGCAGTTAACATCAGCATCTCTCTACATCCTCCGCATTCGCAGTGTTTTTTATCTTCGCCGATACCGCGAATGCACATGCACGTTTACCTTAACTGAAACAAGATAGATGCAT